AATTCACAGACCCAACATCGTATCAGAACCTTCCTTCTGGCTCCTCATCAGTTAGGGGCACGCATGGCCGACCGCGCTGAGAAACGCGTAGCACATCCCGCAGGCCGGCTCACGACGGACGCGCCGTTTGCCTATGGCACGCAGGACAGCCGCCGAGATTTGTCCTCGACTGGTCCGGATCTTCGTCACCTAATCAGAAGTGCGCCCTTCGAGAGGGCTTCACACGGGAGCAGCATGCGTGGGGGCGCATATTGTATGCCTCGGAGCCAGTACCATGGGCATTTGCCCATGGGGTGGAGCTTTGATTCCGCAAACCGAAGCACTATCGAAGATTATCAGTCCCGGTCTCTTCCAGTATTATGATTAAAGAGGCAACCTTGCGATGTGGTACTGCACTAGAGTCGGACCCGCGTTCATATGTTCCATGGCGCGATTAATTCTCACCGGAGCTAAACTATCTTCGTCTGTGCGAGGGCTCGGGCTATCGGGACGCTGCACATTATCTTGACGTATAGACAGTAATTATGTCCCCGGATATACCCGCGAGGCGGGGAGCTAAGAAAGCAGCAGTGAAAAGGAAAGCAAATGGAGAAGCACCTCCGCGGTGAACTTAGCGTGCGGTCGGCGAACACCCTGGAACGCGAGTCTATGTCAATCCTCTGCATCGGGAGAAGGGGCGAGCGGGTGCCTACCGACTCGAGATAGCTCGACATACCATATGCGCAACAAGGTTTGTGGAACATGTTTAGCGCAGGGACATAGCATGGGAGCGCGCGACCGTCCACCGGTCCGCAATTACTTTGTCGGCGGGCGGAGACGGAGATAAGTGCCACCAGCTCGCGGGAGACTCGACCACTAAGGTCCCCCCGCATAGATTGAACTCACTCGCAGCATGCTTGTACGCACACCCGCTCCACGCCATTCAAACGGATAGGCATGTTCATTATTCCGGGTATCTCTGCATACACTATGTCGTCGCCGGGTATCCACGATTGATGAACGGAAAACGAAGGTGGTGATGATGATGATGGACGTCCCACAAATAAGCTTGCGATACCAGTGTTATGCCACCCGTACGGCAAATGCCACGCATATACATACGATAGAGTCCTGAAATACGCGCGTGGGTGCATGCGTGACAAGAAGGAAGCGCCAATGAATCACCGGGAGTACGCTAACGAGGGGGGGAAGGACGTACATTGAAGAACACTTCCTGCGCCACGGTGTCCGAGTCTTCCCAGTGGCAGACCATGTCAGCACTGCAATCGGTCAAGGGTCCATGATTGGTGTGCGCGGCTTCCAGAAGCAAGCTCGAGACTCACCGCCCCCCTTGCCCCAGGTTCTCGTTAATCTGGGTCAGTACGATATACTTACTACCGGGCGAGTCAGCAGGGTGCACGCAGAGCACTCGCAAAATCCAAGCAACTCACAAGCCTCGCGGTTGGATCTCTGCAGAACACGTCAGATGTCCCGGGTGTCGCGCAAGCGCAGACGGACGCACCAATCATGCGCTCCTTGACGCGCTCGCCGATCTCCTTCATCCAGTCCTTGACCTTCGCGCGGTCCTTCGCGCCGGGCCACGCGGCGCTCTGCAGCGTCGACTGCAGCAGTTTCTTCATGTACGCCTTGAGCAGCTCCGCGTCGAACGTCGGGCGGGGGCCGGGCGACGCGGCCTGCGAGCGGGGGGTGGGGGAGCGCACGGACTGGTCGAGGCTAACCATGATGGCGGTCGTGTAAGCCCAGCGAGAGCGCGTCTAGCAGGCGGTCATGTACAGCGTCTTGTCCGACGAAGCGACGCTGAGCCATGAGCTGAATGAAATCGGGCGCGGTGTTTGGCCCGTGTTTGTCCGCCACGCGGGAAGGGCGCTTGATTGCAGTGCATTCGACTCTCGCGTTCAGAGTCGAAGGCACTCGTACGCAGTGCAGTATACATAACGCAGAATGTCCTTCGAGTCCGTCACGTTCCCCCACCCGCGCGAGCGCCATGAGTCCGTCGCCTCGACGTCGTCCTTCCGCGACGACAGCTTCTACCCCTCGTCCTTCGAGGTGCCCGCCACGTCCTTCCAGATGAACCCGCTCTCCTCGCACCCGCCGCGCACCCCGCGCACCTCCATCATCGCGAACAACACCGGCGCGAAGGTGTACCCCACCGCCGAGTACAACTACGCCGAGAAGAGCGAGGAGCAGAACGTCGACGTGGAGGAGGAGGAGGACGTGGTGGAGGCCGAGGAGGAGCGCGGGCGTGCGGGCAGGGTGCGGAACGAGGAGATCTGGCGGGAGATGCTGAAGACGACGGTGGGGCGGGATAAGGCGGTCGTGCGTGCTCGTGCCCCCTACTCTGCCCGCTGCTTGCGCTGACCGCCACACGCTCGCAGAAACTGATGCAGTACTCGCTAAAAGTCTACCTCCTGTTCCACACAACGGCGATGGCGAGCGGGTTCATGCGCAAGCGCGGCCGCCCGTCATGGGAGCTCGAGCTCGTGAAGCGGCTCGAGCGGACAGTGGCCGGCTTCTCGCTGACAAGGTCTGCCTGCCCCCCTCCGCGCCGAGCCGCGCTAACCACCCCGCAGGCGGTGTCTCATCCTCTTCGACTGGCTAGAGCCCCTCACCTCCATCCAGGCGCAACAAGCCGCGCCCCTCACCTTCGACTCCTCCTCGCCCTCCAAGAGCAAACCGAAACCAAAACCGATCCTCCACAGCCTCCTGCACGCGCCGCCGCTCGTCCTCCTCGGCCTGCTGAACGGCATCGCCGACGACGTGCACACGTTCGCAAAGCTCGGGCTGCTGGGCAGCCGCGCCGGCCAGCGCGCCGGGCGGTTCGCGGACTGGTGCTGGCTGCTCAGCACGCTCGCCGCGCTGGTGGAGAATAACGTCGAGATGGCGATGGTCGGCCAGCACCAGCGGGAAGGTCGGTCCCTTTTCCCGTTTAACTCATCCAAGGGGGATGCTGATATTGTGACGGCCACGCGCTAGTGGAATCGAGGCTGTACGCCGAGTCGATGTCGGGCGCGACGGCCAAGTCGACGCCGACGAATACGAAGATCGACGACACGGAGCTGCAGCGGTTAAACCAGAAGATGTACTGGCTGCAAGTGACGCGAACGAAGCTGCTCATGGACCTCGTCTTCGTCTGTGCGTCTTGCCCTTATGCTCTGTCCGCGCCCGCGCACGCCTAACACTTCTGCTACGTGCAGCGTACGATGTATTCCAGTTCAAGCGCGCAAAGGCGCCTATGCAGGCGCTCACGGGCTTGACAGCCGCTGCATTGAGGTGCGCGCGCATCCTTTTCTGGCTTGACGTGCTATTTGACATGGGACGCGTACATAGCACGGCGAAGTTGTACGACCGGCATAAAAATGCGCTCGTCAAGACGCTCAGCGCTGGTCTGACATTATGATTATGATAAAGTGATATCCAAATACCCCTTGATTCCTCCGCATGTTTTGCTTTCGCATCGCAACCACCACCCGTCCTACCCCCCCTCTAATTCGTATCTCGTACCCCCGTACTGTGCTGTACTATTATTGCTCTGGGCTTAGACTATACTTGGATCTACATTGGGCTATATTCAGTTCAAGCCCAACCCTTGAAGACACGGCCCAGCGCGTGGCTGGCGACATTATCCCGATGGGAAAGCGACACGGGTAATGCGGGACGAAATGTCAGCCCCATGAGAACCAGCGACGTGGGCTGAGGCTACTCGTCGAGGGGGTGTGGTCGTGTTTGCGAAGGCGCGCCTCACGGAGGGCGTCGACCTCCGCCTCGAGCTCGCGGACGCGCGCGCGGGCTTCGTCGAGGTACTTTTCGTGCGCGAGGTGGTTCTGCGCGAGTCGCAGGCTCTGCAAGCAAGCATGACGGGCGCACGTTTAGGTTAGACATTGCAAGCAAAGAGAACGTGCGCGGTACGGACGAGGTAGACAGCAGAGCCGAGAATAGCGACTGGGATCATGGCCGGGACAACGTCGGCGTACCATTGCGCGTGCGGGGACTTGGTCTTTGCGGAGGACGCGTCGTGCGTGCTGTAGCGGCGGGCGGTGGACGCGAGTGTGCGCGAGGAAAGCGAGGAGAGGCGAGACATGGGAGACATTGGAGACTAGCACAGCGGTGGCTGAATGAGAGCGCTAACGGGCCGGGGGCAGCAGATGATCGTGCGTGCAACCTCGTCGGCCTCCGGGTCTCGGAGCGTCCGGCTGGTCCTCGCTCCGGAGCCACAGCAATACACTGCTCTATAGCACTGCACGCAGATGAACGCTGGTATATCTGCTGGTAACCTACGCGATGAACGCAAAGCAAACACAGAACTGCCAGCGATACATAGAGCGGTGTAGGTCCAGACGGACCGCAGGGACCTGATAGTGGCGTGGGATCTCTCGAAATTTCTGTCTCCGCCCTGCAGTAGCACCCCTGAATTACCTGTCACTGCTAGCGGCCCTAAGTTATATACCGTCTGCACTAATCGCCTCTCCTTGCTCTCGTCCGCCTTCCCCGCTGCCTGCCCCCTCCACCATCGTCGCTTGTCTCTACAGACAACCCGACCGCAGGGCCCAAACGCAGCCTGATCACAGGATACACACCAGTCTCAAGCGACCTTACCAGCTGGACTGGACTGGGCTGCATCCGTTTTTTATCCAAAGAGTCGCTTATCGCGCGGTACCGAGGCGACCTTGTTACCTGCATCTTCCCCGTATATACTACGAGCCATGGACACACAAGCCCCCGTCGCGAGCTGCTCGCGATCAACCCCGCACAGGTGCGCATCAGCGCCCGTATCCACGGCAGCGCCCCAGCGCCTGCACTCGCCCAGGCGCGAGCTGGACGCGTCCGACGCGATGTCCGAGAAGGGCTGCGAGCCGCTCACCGACATCCCGCTGCGCACACCCGCGACCGCTTCGCATCCCCTGTACACGCACGACGAAAAGACGCCGGTCGAGCCGTCCTTTGCGTCGCACTCTGCGTTTCCTTCTCGGCCCCATTCACCACACGCTCCTTCGCATCCTTCTTCCCATTATCCTCGCTCCCCCCACCACGGCGCACCTCTGATCCTCGTCCCGACGCGCTCTCCATCTACTTACACCCGCCCCCACGGTCGGCGGATACATAATCTCATCAAGCCATGGCTCCCACTAATACTGTACGCTATCACCAGTCTGGCTTTCGTCGTCGCTATCAGCTTTTGGAAGACCGAAGTTTTCAACGGTACGTTATCCCTTTGCTCCCGCTCTTCTATTCATATACCATCCTGCTCCGAGAATCCAGCGCACTGATAGTATGCCCGTTATTTCTGGCGCACAGGTCTCGATGAGCTGTCACATTGGCTGCGCGAGGACGAGTACTTTGGCTACGCCGTGCTCTTCTTCCTCATCTTTCTCACTACATTCCGTAAGTCACGGTGCACGCATTCCTTGCGAGGCCACAGCTGACGCCTCCCCAGCTCCTGTACCACTATATTCGACGTTCATTATCCTATCCGGCTACACCTTCGGTCCCTGGACCGGCGCCGTCATATCCTACACCGCCGCGCTCACGGGCGCGCTGAGCGTCTTCCTCCTCTCGCGCGCGTTCCTGCGCGGCGCGATCACGCGCTGGCTCGCGCAGACGTGCACGATCCGGCGCGTCGTGCGCGCGATCGAGAAGCGCCCGCAGCTGCTCTTCCTCATCCGCCTCGCGCCGTACCCGTACAACGTGATGAACTGCCTGCTCGCGGCGGCGCCGACGCTCACGCTGCGCACGTACGCGGTGTGCACCGCGCTGAGCCTGTTCAAGGTGGTGATACACACGAGCATTGGGTCGAGCATACATTCGTTTGCGAGTTATCACCTGCATGAGCAGGAGGGCGCGGGTAGGGCGGAGGAGGGGACGAGTGCGCTCGGCCGCGTGTCGACGATTGCGGGCGTGGCGCTCTGCGTCGCGATCCTCGTTTATCTGTCGTATGTCGCGCGCAGGGCGGTGGACGAGGAGCTGGACGACGAGGACGACGGGCTGCCGTCTGCCAACCGCGAAGAGCGCGTCGCGTTCCTGTCTGCGGAGGACGAGGACGCGGAGCCCATGGCGCAGTCGCCGTTTCGGACGTCTATCCCCCTGCCCGGGAGCTCCTGGAACTCGTCGCGTCGCGAGGAGGAGACTATCGGACTCTGATTGATATTGACCAGATCGGACTGGACGGTGTATTATCTTTGTCTCTGTCGTGCTCTCTCGCTCTCGCTCTTACTTACTCTTTCTTTTGTCGCTATTATCTGAAGGTGCGCCTGTGCGTGCGTGGACATTTCGCCGATCCCTGGTGGGGTCCGCCTATCTTTCTTATACTTAGCAAGCGATCTTTAAATGTGTACAAGGTAGTGTATAGTGGAATACAAGTTGGTTCGACGATGGTCCTTCGTACAACATATGCATCACCTACATGTACATCACCTACATGTACAAAGTCGTTCCAGAACGACTGCCCACCAAAGACGGGACAATGTAGCGTCGCACAACATTCGCACGGTGGGGCTTCCGTGTGCGCTGTCACACATGAACAGAACGGCGCCGTCGAAGCTTCTGATCGGGGACGTGCTCGGCTTCGCCCCGTCGCGTTCTCGGGGAGGACGCCGAACCCCATAAACCAACTCTATCTCGATCGATCGATCACACGCTCTGGGCGTGATCTCAGATCGCCCTCCTCTCCTTTCGTTCTTCCGCTTCCACCTCGATGAGGAAACCTGTCCCGCCCATGTGGGAGCCCCACAGCGGCGTGACACGTTACCGTCGACCATGCCATCGCTACCGACCATCGTAGGACGCGTTATAGGCACTTTCTGATAGCACACAGCGGATAACAACGGAATGGTATACGCGTACACAAGGGATAACATCAACCGAGCAGAGGTATCAATGACAATAAACGAACCGCACACACAAGCCTGGTATACCGCTTTTGAGTGAACCTGCAAAGGGAGAGGGACGAGTAGTACATGAAAGCAAACGCAGATAGCACACCGAAGACAGACGCGATTAGGGCCGAGGGAAAAAAGGTGACAACGTTCCGGCAAACGAGCGAGAGCGGTGAACAGCCAAATATTATGGTCCGGCGGGCAAGAGGAACAAAGCAGAAGGGGTCGGACTCCACGGGAGGAAAAGACGCAGCAGGGGATAGAGAGCATATACACAGTTTTGAGAGTCATCTTCATCGTCCGCCTCAGATCTCCCCGACCTTCGCGTAGTGCGGCAGGTGCTCGTTCATCGGCACGAACCCAAAGTCGGGCGAGACTGCAGCGTCGGGCAGGGCGGGGTACAATCCAGCGAGGAGAGGGATCATGGAAAGACTTTGGTCAGCGAGTCAGTTTACATCCGCAAAACGATCACCGATCTGACGGCAGAGAAAGGGCGCGGGGGAGAAGACGGGGCATGAACAAGAACGCAGACGCAAGGAAGAGAACAGAAACTCACATCGGTTCACGTCCGTCTCCGCAAAGCCCTCACCAACACCCGTCCCAGGCGGCGTAGCAGCCGCGCTGCTCGCATGACTCGTCGCGCTCAAGCTACTCGCACTCGTCGAGGGCCGCACACTCCGCTCATACCCATGCCAGCCCGCACCGTGACTCGAATGCCCGTGGCTCGAGTGCGGTGCGTGCCCACCATTGTCCATCGGCCCATCCCCACCCGCCGAGTATGCAAAGTCACCCTGCGCCGGGTTGAAGTACGTGTCCTGCAGACTCGGCAATGCAATCATGCTTCGTACCCGCTGCATGCTATGGCCCCCAGTCTCTTCGTGTGGCTGTGGGCTCGTGGATGGTCGGTCGTAGGGCGAGGGGTACGGGCTCATCGCCTGGCTGTGCCGCCGACCCCTCGAGCTGCGAACCGAGAGGCTCGCACCGTTATGGTAGTTCTTCCCGGCCGCACTGCTATTCGGCCGCGAGCCATTAGGCGAGACTGGCCGATGCGCGCTTGATCCGGGACGCGAGTTGTACCCCTCGTCATACGGTGGCATCGAGCTCATCGAAGACACGGAATAACCCGTATTCGGTCGGCTATCGGGTGAGGGAATTGATGACGAGGTCGCGGTCGGCAGAGAAGAGTACGGGCTTCCGGAATAATTCGTATTGATGGTGGGTCGCTGTTGATGGTGGCCGGAGGACGAGCTGTGGTATCCACCGGGGGAATACCCACTCGAGCTGCTCGGGTTCAACAGACTTGACAAGCTGCCGGAGTGGCCTCCTCCTTGACCGCCCGCGGGGCTCCCATTCCACGAGCCCTGGTTATCACTGTACGGGTATTGGCTCCCCGCACTCCCATACGGGCTCATGCTCGGCAAGTTGCTGAAGCCCTGACCGCCATGACCGTTCTCCTCAGCCGGGCTCATCTGATAATGCCCGCCAGGGCTGTGGGTGTACATGGCAGGGGGATCCGACGGCACAGTGAGCGGAGGTAGTGCACTGCGCATCGCGTGATGACCACTGTGATGTTGATGATGCTGGCTGGCGTGGGGGTAGCTGGAGCCCCATCCAGCGGCCGCGGCACCGCCTTGACTGAGAGGCGTGAAACTGCCTGGCGCTGAGAAGCCTCGTTGACGTCCCATCGAAGAAGGTGATGAGAGAGGCTTGCCTGGTGCCATGGGGTATGAGGAAGAGGGAACATTGAAGGGGACGGAGTTGGATGCGAGCCCGATTGCTGATCGCGGCGCCTGCTGCATGAGAGACGGGTCGTTGTCGCGCTTTTTCGGCTTGGGGAGACGAGGGGGCACTCGCCGCTTGAAGTTGGCGACGACTTCGGGGGGAGAGTGGCGGTTGAGGGTTGGATGCGCTGCGCACAGCGTTAGATGCGATCATACTGTGAATAGGAGGCTCGACTTACACCATGTGCTAGCGTCGGGGTCGTCGATGGCGGGATCGACGTTGCGAAGGTTGACTTTGCGCATGAAGCCATAGATCTAGGTACAGAAACGCGCGAAGGCGGCGCGGAGTAAGTAACATGAAGAACACTGACAAGGAGGAAAGGTAGCCAGGAACGAGGCGCAGAAGAAGAGAAGGCGTGTACTGACGTTTAGTTGCCGGGAGAAGCTGGCGAAGCGCGACTGGCGGTAGACGCTCGGGAGTACGTGCAGTGCTAGCTGTTCTGGTTTCTCCACGATGATGTGTTCACCGGTGGGATCCCATCTAATCATATGATGGTTTTCGGGGCGTTCGAGCAGGCTGGATGCGGCGCGGACATGGTACAGAGGCACAAAGGAGAACCATGGGGATTGCACGATAAGACGCGAATTTTCATTACGGAGAAAACGGGGATAATACACACGCGTAGAGCTTCGTGAGGAAGGTCGCCTGGGGCTTGCCCGTCGTCGGTTCAGCCTTTGTTGTTGTGGCAGGCTGCTGTGACGGTTGCTGGGACGGCTGCTGGGACTGGCTCTGGTGATCGGGGGACTTTGCAGGGGACTGGGACGCGTCGAAATTCTGGTCGGAGCTGGAGTTGGAATTTGAGCTGCTGGTCGAGAGGAGGGACGGCGGGTAGACCATGTCGTTGTTCAGGCTGTACTGCTGCGCGTCCTGGGAGCGGTGGTAGGACTGCTGCTGGGGGCGGACCTGGTAGGTGGACGGCGGGTAGAGGTCTGCCATGTCGCGTCGGGGACGGGTGGGACGACGAGGACGAGCAGAACGGACGCGGACGGCTGGTTGGGAGGCGCGAGCAGAGCAGAGGGCGAAGAAGCACGCCTGATAAATATAAATATAAACGAGCGTGGATATAAACAAGGTTTAAATCAGATTTATATAATCATTTCCTGTACCGGTGGAGATCACGGTCAACACCGACAAATAACGTAACGGGGGGGGCCGGGGCTGGCAGGGCTGTGATTGGCTGCCGCACCACTTATCGCATACACATGGCGGGTCGAAAATAGCCGGGGGACGATCTCGATGCTTGTTCTGGAATCCCAAAATCAGATTGAATCGTAACGTGAGATGCTCTCATGGCTGCATTACCGCTGTCTGCGAACGGCAGAGCATGGACGGCGCTGTGGCAACATCAGCGAGATCAGCTCTGCAGTCTGCACGACCACCGCACGAGCGACCAGGCTTCGGCCGTATGCGACGCTGCGGTTAATCTCCGGCCCACAACCCCAAAATTCGCCGGACTGCGTAGCGGAGAAATGCACTCAACTGGCATCCACGCGAGCCGCCACCGTCTGATGGATCTGCACCGCTTCGCTACAGCCTGCGCCCTCGAAATCATTCCGCGAACTATCTACCAAGTTATCCACGATTTATCCAGCCCATTTCCCCCTCCCCCTCCTCCCTCGATCGCGTCTCGCCCTGCTCGTCGTCCTGTTTCAGCCCCCCCGGCACATTCGTTCTCCCCAGCATGCAACTCATCTGCGCCAGAGACCTCGGGCACCCTGCGTCACTTTCTTGGATCTGTGGCTTCGCACACGGAAGTATATTAAGCTCACGTCTTCTCTTCTTTCCCACCTCGGACGCACCGCACTCACCTCCTGTCTCCTGACTTCGCTCCTTCTCGTCAACTACATCATATTTGTATGCATGCCCTCCGCTCACCCGCTTTCCAGACAATCCCTTCGGCCATTCCTCCGAGTCGCGTCCACGCTCTCACACTTTGTGCGGCGGGACATGGAACACGAGGCTACCAATTATGTACGTGCGTTGGCTGTACTCAGCCCCGGCTTGGGCCCCGCCCCACTATCCTGCTTGGTTTCCTCCACTCATCGCCTTTCCCCGCGTATCTCCAGCTGGCAAATCCCAATCATGATTGTGTGCATAGTATCAGTGACGCCCGCGATGATGCTGATGGATATACGACGCGTCGTGAATCAGCCCAGATGGTGTTGCTGTCTCACCCCATCATGTACTTCATTTCATAGCTGCAATAGACACGTCGAATCCTTTACCCCCGCCTGGCCTTGCCCGAATCGTCAGATCTCGAAGAATTCTGCATCAGAAGCCCCTCTTTCCTCTTTGGGCGATTCTCCCTTAATAGACTTCCCAGAGGCTTCCTGGAGCAATCCGAGCCCAGGTGTCAGTGCTCCTGCTGCCTGTAATCAACTGACTCGGGGATGCTCTTGCTCACAGACAACAACAGACTTGATGTTGCAAACAAAGGTGATAGTAGTGAAAGCGTCCGCATTGCATTACCAGGAACTCAGGTCGGAGGGCTCAGCTTCGAAGCCGTGGATCCCGCCGGATCACTCTCTTCTCGAAAGGGCTTGGACGCGGACGTTCTCGCAGCACCCTCGCATGTCCGCTGGTCTCGAAAAATTCATTAATTATGCACGTCGCCCGACGGGGCGTCCGAACCCGTCCACGTCATTTATTCGCGGACGCGTCAAGGCCGGCGAACTTACACGTACATACATACATAAGGGCCCCCACGCCGGCGCGTGCAGTCCAACCAGGTAATCGGGCAAATCCCCGTCGCCCTGCTCGCGACGTCCCACCCGCTAGAGAATCCGGCGCACCCCAACTCCTCGGCAATAGCGTCCATATACACCGCGCCCGCGCTCTCGAGAAGTCGAGAAACCTGTCAAAGCAGTATTCCATCATATTCCCTCCAGAAAAGGCCAGCAGGCTGCAAATGGGCGGGGGATTTACGGTTGCAGAATCACTGTCTGGGGCGCTGGTGGTTATTGTGCTTGCGATTGCTTGTTTCGTGCTGGGATACCTGGCTGCGCAGTGTCATCCGCGATCACCGACCCTCGATCTCTACGCCCTCTGCGATCAGATCCTAGTGCGCCCTCGCTCGGACTTCCATTGGCTTCCCGGATGCAGCTGCGCCTGCCTGCAGAACCAGCTGCACTCCCTTGCCGCCGGCCTTCTGAGTCTCGACGCCCTGTCCCTCGTTTCGCGCAGGCATTTTCCGAAGGTATCCCCCACTTTTCTTGTTGTCTCACTGCTAGCAAATCCGATAGCCCGTTCTCGGGAATGGCACTATGCGCGAAAGAAAGTTCGAAAGGACCCTTGGTCCATACAGCGGGTACGTGAACATAGCACGCCCACGCGGCCCGGCGTGACACGGGGACTGCGGGGCGTGAGTGTTTTGCGCAATACGGTTGCTCTTTGCACCTGCCTCGCCGTCCCACTCTGGCAAGAGTGCATTCAATCAAGATCATCGATCGCGTCGGCGCGGGCCTCGATCGGTCGGTCCGCGCGCTTGTATGAGAGGAATGGTGCCAAGTACATCGTGGGCGGTACGTGTTGGGTTGGGCCGTATTTTAGTTTTGGACAGACAGACGGAGAGACAGACGGGCACGAGGATTCGTATTCATATTCAGATGGGTTTGAGCCTGAATGGATCGTCGCTCAGGGAGGGAACGCCACAGGCATGCAGCTGGGACGGGGTTGCCTGATTGCGTGTCGTGTGAGTTATTCCTTCGTTCAGGGACTGGATACTTCTGACAACTTATTGTGTATTCCATACCTTGTCCGATTTCCTTCGTAAAAGATGTCTCGCATATGTTTATCTGATAGCCATTGTGGCGTCCTAACCGCGATGAAGAAGCTCCGCCGTCAGTCGTGTAAACGTCTCAGGGAATCTTGTCCTGCCATGCAAATCCTTCCCTCAATAGAGATTAGATTGCATGCCCTCTTCATGGCGTCGTGTAGCTGTGCGGAACTACCGGCATTCATAGTGTCGAGCTTCCTTCAATCTGACTTAGATTTCACTACGCCTGGCATAAACAGCACGAATAGCATATTTGATTGCACCTTCCTAGTTTCGCGGCCAGCATGGATCTTATTTGATCGTGCTTGATTGTGAGAATCGAGTCCCCCCATCCTCGTGCTGAATGCGGCTCTATGCAAATATAACTAGCGGTGAAATAAGTTTTACTATATCATAGAGCCAGCAATAGTCAGGAGGGCACGTCAAATTACGCGCTTTAGCAGCCTCCGGTAACTTAAGAAGCTGTCAGATCCAAGGAATGCCGTGACCATATATCAAAAGACGTCCGCTTTATCTACCGAGGACAAGCAAGTTCCGGTAGATTCAGTAAGTTAATGAACGAATGCAGCCCGCTCAGTTGTGTTGTGCAGAGGACGCCCACCGACGCGTCAGTGTGTCCGGAGGGAGCTGCGACCCAGACGCTAATGAATCGCGACGCGTGACACTACGGGACGCCACCAGTCACAGGATTTGCTTCCGCACATTCGGATCCAATAATCGGCTGGCCTATCACTCCGGCCACTGGCTATTATCCTCGCCATAGCACCAGTCTTCGTCTTGTACAGCATGCTTGATTGCGAATTGCAACTGTCCCTTTGTTACTGTTGCAATTGTTCGCCGGAATCACTACCGTGGCTCGCTCTATTCAGGATGACGATTAGGGTGTGCTGACTGACGCTCCCGGTGATGCAACAGGAGCAAGGACGAAGATACCTGGTAGGTTGATGTGATCCGAGATCGTGTTGGGCTGATGATGAGAATCAGTCGGACGGCTGTATCTCCTTGTGGTGCGTCTTTCAATTGTGCTGCTCAGTAACTCTGATTTTTGCTAGGTGCTCAGTGTCAGCGGCGGTAAATAAGCTTCTGTCCGGCATCCTCGTATGCTAGAGCCCTTGTATTCTGAGCCGGCCTAGCATTGGCCGAGGAAACCCCAACCTCAGCCGGGGAACCGATTTGACTTGCCTTTGTGCGCGATAAAAGTCCTCGTGATTCGATCACTTGCGTTGACCCGAGCGCACTGATCAGAAGATGGACAGACAGCTCTGATCACTCATTGGCTGCCGCCGCGTCCTTGCTCCTCCCGCGGCCAATTCAGTCTCCCTCTCTCAATGTGGGGGCCAAAGATGGTCACCATTCCACTACCGACGGTCTACTTGCTGGGTCTCGACCCTCCTTTTGTTCGTAACTCGGACTCGGACACTTCCCGCCAGTGAGTGTTGGAGGAGCCTTTGTTCTTATCACGAATATCATTTCTTAACTCGGACAATCTTTCCCATGAACTAGGTGTAACGTCTAACAGCTAGTTTACCACTTGGCAGAGGAGACATTTCCTTTGTTCTATCGAGAATCAACGATGGCTCACTGGCACTCGACCTGCCAGTTTCTCTGAGAGCGTTAAAGACGCTCACGGCTAATATTTTAGGTACTGTATCTTCTCTTTACTATTGGTCAGAAATGAATTTCAGCGCAGACATCGCTCACCAACCGCCGTTCCGCCGAATCTACCCTGTAGGGACATTGTTCTCTCAAGGTACTCGGTCCATGCAAACTATCGAATCGTATTCGCGGATCTAACGGTGATCCAGCCTCGACTGGACGTAATACCACGGATACTCCATAGGGGCCTATCTTTCGAAAGATGCAACGATCACTCATCTCGTCCGCCGGACGTACCGCGGTAAGCCAGCCTTTCGCACTTTTCTCAGCCTTCATTCACTGCGATCAAGGCTATCTTCAAGAGAACGTGCCGTCGGATATGTTCTTCTTCGGGCGTCACTGATGATCACTGCTCCAAGTTTAACAGTGATCCACGGTTGGTTTCACACAGCAACTTGAATAGACTTCAACAATGATCCCTCCTTGATCGCACCCAGCAGTGCACAAGAGCTGATAGACAGATACATCCTGATCTTCTGCTCCGGCAATCCCGACAGTGGGATGTATCACCTTTTGTTAGGCACTCCGCAAGATCGGCAAGGCACCTCTGAGTACGTCCGTTCCGCTCAGATTTGGAAGATAGAGTCCGGGGCAGCGAGACTTGTGTTCGCACTTCGGCTGAGCCACGCAGCCTGGGTGTTCAGCCGTTGCATCATGCAATCTTGCAGTAAGAGGAGTTTGCAGATTGCGTCGGTGGACATCCAGAATGGACGTGGCCTCGGTGCTGGGTCACCGAGTCGCGCCTCTGCGTCGTGTCGTACGTCTCCGCCCGCCTGATGGACGTATGCGCCTTACTTACCTGTCGTCGTGGACGGGCCGTCGTTTCTCCCGAAGCGTGATGCCTAGACGTCACGTCTGCGGCGGCTGACGCCCAGCTTTCCCATCCTGTCGCGTCACCATCAGCGTGAGTGGGGTTATTCGGATTCGGACGTCAGCCGCCGCCTAGCGGCATATAAGCGGTGCGCACTCCTCACCAGGTTCCTTACCCTCTCTTCTGCTACGGTCATTTCTTCTGGCCTATGGACGCTAGTGTCTAGCTCTCAGGTCGTATCTGGCTTGGTCTATTCCTTGCAGCAAGTTGTGAAAGGGGCCGCTATCTCTACTACAGCATGGCTACGTGTAGGACGCAGTCGCCGTGCCTCACGAACGCCTCCCTGCCCGGCATCAAGCACATTGTCGTCTACGTCGTGTCAGGGCTCCAGTCCGGGCGCGGAGATCCGTCACCGTGCTTCCCATTACCTAGAAGAGTCTTCACTCCCGCGCCCGTCCAGTCAATGGCATCTTCTGCTCTGACGCCGCCGTCTTGCTCTTTTGGCGCAAACTGGGACGACTCGTCTGTCAGCCGCTTTGACATCGGGTCCGTTTTGATTCCTCCCTTCAGGCTGGCGGACAGTGGAACGGGAGATCTCACCGGCAGGTGGCATCCATTGGTGGCTAGCATTCAGTAGGATAGAGGACCTCCTCTTTGCTTCTGCTTTAACCCCCCACGCACCTCTAAGCAGTCCGACTGTTCCAGAGGGCCTAGACGCAGAGGGAACCCCTCGACCTCTGCTCCCATTGCCGCAGAGCGACGTATGACCTCACGAACGATGTCTCTACCTGGTTGGCCGCTCGCGGTGAGCGCCCGCTGCCGAATAGTCTAGATGTCTGCCACACCTTAGACCCCATGGGATAGCGGTCATCCCTGAAATGACTGTGGCGCTGCCGTTTGCCACGCTGCTCATGTATACTGTGGTCGACACGTTCCCCAGCTTTCACCCCGTCCTCGGGCGAGGCGTGAAACAGACATTGTGCTGCAGAGTGACGGGCGTACGTTTGGTCACTGGCAGCCGCTGTCGGGCGGTGTGGACCTTTTCCTTTGCTTGTCTGATGTTCCAGGCTGTCTCATCTCAAATGGTGGGTACTTCTCCCCTCCTCGGAGCATCCTCGCCCTCCACGGCCTTGCCTCTGTGGCAGCCAGCACTCAAAATGAAGACATGCCACACCTGACGTCACAACCGTACGCCTATGTCAGACATCTTCTCCGCAGACAAGAGCCCTCGTCAGCTCCATTTGTATAACAGACAGTGTTCAAATGTACTTGACGAAGACTCTTGAATTCGCGCTGGTACGGTTCTCCCGCGCTGTACCCCGCGCGACTTGTCCTTGCGGATGGGGGGCCAGTGGTCGATCACCACGGCTGGTTCTTGTGGCCGGCTTCAGCGCCCACCTTGGCAGGTGGTGCCGCAAATGCACCGAGGACAGGCCCCACCTTACCATTGCTGGTTCCGTGGTCCGCGCGACCATCAACACAAGCTGAAACATGGCCCCAAGTGTGCCTGCTACACGGTCGAAAGAACAGGCCTGGACGGTGGTCACGGAGCAGTTTCACGTAGCAAGGGCGGCTAAGTCACAAAAGTCACATCGCCCTCCGGAGAGGCCGATACATGGCGTACTTTCCTACTCTGGTCTCCTGCTCTGGGATAAAGGCACTACAGGTCAAGGTAGCACCTCTTCAGCCTTCCAGTCCCACACCCTCCCTCGCTGGTGCTCGTCCAACTCTTCGACCACTCGCGCTATCCGCTCGACGGCGTCAGGAAGCTCGAACTTGCCCCGCGCAGGGTCGGGTCCGTGCCAGAACGCACCTCCATCTACGCGGTTTCTCTCATGGCAGTCAGCACCTTCTGTGAGGCTCAAACCACTCACCCAAGTCCGTGTGCACCGTCCCGGGATGTATGCCCGCGCATATAGCCGGCAGCTTCTTCGTCTTCAAGTTCAGATCGAACGTCCGGATGGCCTGGTTGAGTGCGGCCTTGGAGCAGCGGTAGCTCGGCCAGCCGCCGAGGGTCTTGTTGTCCGACACGGATCCTACGCGCGCGGAGATGTGGATCCACTTCGCTTGCTCCTTGCTGGGAGAGTTGCGCGGCGGGAGGAAGCGAGAGAAGTGCTTCATCGCGAGCAAGTGCGAGACGACGTTCACTTTGAATGTCTGCAGGATCTGGCCGTTGTCCAGGTCTTCGAAGCGCTTCTCCGGGTGGAGGATGCCCGCGCAGAACCACGCGCGGTGGATGCAGCCCGCATGGTCGTCCCCGCCTCGTTCTTTGAGGTCCGCAGCGAGCTTGTCCGCTACGTTCTTGATGCTCGCTTCGTCGGTCAGCTCGAGCGAGTCGAGCAGCCTGAGCCTGTCTTTGTCGACGTTGTCCAAGTGCGGGGCATCGAGGATGCGAGCTTTGACAGAGGAAGGCGAGCGTGCACGGTGGGTCGCGTAGACTGGAAGAGAGGTTGTGCGGAGGTAGTGCCTTGCGAGGCCGAGGCCTATGCCCCGTGAAGCAGGCGCGACGAGGATGAACGGCGCAGGCATCAAATATAGCCAGGGGGTATGCGAATTCTATTTATTGAATGCAGTGAAGGACGCGATCGGCGGTGGCTGACGCGCGTCGTCATCGCTCGATCACGTCTCGATCGTGTTGCACTCGTCGACCCACTCTTCCCTGTCATCGTCCCAGCCGAGTGTCTCCGGCGCAATGCCCATCTTCCTCAGCATGCTCCCCATCGTCTCTTCCCGCCGCTCCTCCTCCTCCTCCACCTCATATCGCCCCTTCGCGCCGTCCTCGTCCCCTTTCCCCGCCTCGTTATCCCAGCCATACTCTTTCTGCCCGTCGTATCCCCACCCGCCGCTACTCCCCGCCGCGCCGTCTCCGTTGTTGACCTGATCCTTCACCAGCATCCACACCTCCCACGCAACATCCCTCCCCACCTCCCTCCACTTCTTCGCCAGGTCCCGCAACCCGTCTCTCTCGCCGTCTTCGAGGATCTTCACCGCGCGCTTCGTCACCTGCAGCTTCCGCTCTAACGACTGGATCGTCGGCGTCAGGCGCACGCCGCTGACCGCCGCCGGGCGAAGGAGCGAGCTGGAAGACGACGCGGCGGGCGCCGTCGGAGCCAGCGGCGACTTGAACTGCCCCGCAGCCCTCTTCGACACCGCGAACTTGGTGCTCTTCCGTCCGGCGTCCGCTTCCAAGCTCGCTGCGTCTCGCTTGACCCTCTCAACCTGCTTATGCTGACCCTTTCGCGCTTCCCCACCTTTCTGCTTTTCTTTACCCTTGGTATCTTCGCCGCTCGGTGTTTCCCCGCCGATGATCACTGGGCTCCTGAACGGTTTCTTCAGCTTCCTAAGTTCCCTCCGCTGGCCCTGCACCGTCAACCTCTTCGGGGCGGCCCTGTCCCCTTCAATTCTCTTTAAATTTTATCAGCTGGATTTCCTCCGACATGCATTATGTCGAGGGACATACCGCTCTCTTTGCCCTTTCGTCCTCGAGCTCCTCGCTCCCGTGCCGTCTCTTCCTTCCAACACTCGAATCCTTCTCATCTTCTTCCCCTTCTTTGCCCAGCCTCCTCGGAGGTGAGCTTTGCGTGTACATAGATGGCTGCAATTCAAGGAGTAATCAACACAGTACGAATTTCGAAAAGGGGAACAAACAGGCGGTGGGACGTACTGATCGCGCAGGTGAACTCGGAGGCGAGGAAGTAAACGGAGCAACCGCACTCGGCGGGGAGCTAGGCGGTACCAAAGCCTCCTGAATTGGAAAAGGTGGGGACAACGGCGCCGGCGAATTTAAGGCTGGAGCACTTCTGTCCTCCAGCTGTTCGTCCTGTATCAGCGGATAGTGTTCATCGGCTACGTCAAAGGTTATTTTTTCGTCACGCAAGCTGTTCTTCATCTTGGGTTCCCCGTCTAGGTCCATAGGACTAGTGGGTCTTGAGGAACTTGCGAAAACCATAGGCGGGGACGTGAACAAGGCCGGAGGGCTGGAAGATGGCGGGGGCGAGGATTGCGGGAGGTCGAGGACCAGATACGCAGAAGATTCGTCTATCTCGAATTCCACAGCGGGGGTGACATCGACACTGTCCTCGGTGCGGGATATGTGCGAGTCTATACTTTCGCCTGTGCCTTGATTACCGATGATAGAGGAGAGTCCACTGTCCTTGTTTCCAGGGCCGCGTATCGCCGGGATCGCGTTGACAGCAGCAGGGACGGAATGAGAAACAAGTTCCAGAGCCTCGTCCGAGTGGCGAGCGGCGGGAGCATGCAAGTGTTCGGTCGCGGCCTCTGGAGGTACTGCAGGTTCTGGAACAGTCACCACAGGGACAGGACAATTCGTCGGTGTAACCGAGTCGGAAAGGGCAAATTCAGATAATTGCGCGGGAGAAAGTGCGGTACCGTCGTCAGGTCCGATACGAGCAGGATCAGTAGAGTGTACATCCAGGTCCGAGTGAAGCTCCATAGCGGTTGGAAGTACAGAACGTTCAGCGATCTCGGTTTGCGCGATGTCTTCTATACCACATGTTGAATCAGTATGCGCTTCCTTGGGCGGCAGGGGAGCAGGGAGAGCAGGTAGTTCAGTAGCAGTACGATCGTCAGATAAAGCAATAGTACTCTCTGGTACGGGGCCAGCAGCATGCGAGAATGAAGCACTTGAGATTTCAGAAGAAACACATAGGTCCAGAGGACGAGGGGGTGCATCCGCAGGCAAGGCGTCTATATCAGGAGGCGTCGAGAGAAATGAAGAAGACGGTGACACCGGCAGGACAGAAGCTACAGGCTTCCCAGATGAGGCGTGTGGCGGTTCCCGAGAAGTTGCCAGATCTACAGATACAGAGGTCGCTATATGCGCCGAAAGTTCAGAGTGCGCATCAGGAGGGACATCCGAAGGACCAGGTATATGCGCATCCGAGGCGGCATGCAGGGTAAGCAGAGGAAGATCCGCTGGAGCACCCTCGGTACGTTGAAGAGCAGAATCGTTGTCAGTAACAGCAGGGGAATTCACGGGAGGAAATGCCGAGGACAAAGCATCAATAGACACCGGAGCAGCGGCGCCAGAGTGAATAGCAGCAGACGAAGAGCTTGAAGAGATAGATAAGCTGGAATCAGCAAGCATCGTAGGCGCATAGCGCAGTAATGATATGGGAGCAGAGGGAGAGGGAGCATGCAGACTCGGTCCTGGAGAGTTCTTAGTGGGTGTATGCGCACTAACTTGTGACTGATCAGCAGCCTGAGGGCCAGAGTCAGACGATTCAGAGGCGCTGGAAGAGACCTTCTCGGGGCCATCAGTGGTGGTAGCGACAATAGTGCTTTGGTCTGGAGGAAGCAGATAGGCAGGAGCAGTCAAAAACACAGACCCAGGGCGCGGATCAGGCCCAATAGTTGGCTCCGGTGACGTATGCGGTGGTAACGGTTCGTCGTCAGCCCTTTGGCCCACATGAATAGACTCGTGAGTCTCCTCTAGTAACGGTTTCGCAGAAGACTTCAAGATAACCGTCTGTACTTCATCAGGTAGCCCGCCGGAGACGATACTGGCGTTCTCCGGAACTTCATTAACCGCCTCGAGCTCAGAAGGCGTCCGCAGCACAAGTGACTCTTGCTGAGAAGATACTGCAGTAGTATTCGAGGTAACTGAGCCAGAGATTCCTGTAGCAGGAGTAGAATAGAGCTCGACGGTGTCATCAGAACCGGCCATAAGCCTCGAGCACGAGTCAACTTGGTGGCTCCCAGCCTCTACGGCAGACTGAACGGTATTTGCAGTAAGGATGTCGTCGGAGCTATTCGCAGATCCCTGAGTTTCTGAGCTCGAGACAGGCAGTTCAAAGGGTCGGGCAGGTAAAGCGACAGCTCCGGACCCGTACTGACACTGAATATATGCGCAATTGGGATTTTTCAGTCAGACAAGGGCCCTGAACTTACCTCTTGCCGCTTTTGACATTCCAGTGTAGTAGATACGTTCGTCCCTTCAGCAGGCTCCTGTCAAGAAAGAGTATACAGATCCATACTAGCATACCCAACCAACAGATGGACTTACGACACTGGGGAAGGACGTCTCGCCGGTTGGAGGGGTCCATGAGAGAGGAGGATATATCTAGAGTAAGATGTACAGGAGGCCTTATAGTACATCGGGAGCGGCTGACTTACAGGACCGAGATATGCCATGGCGGTGGAAGGTAGCGGGTCAGCCGCGCGATCGGACGCAGACGCGGGCGTGTGACATGGCGGTACTGGTAACGTGGTCGTGACCCTGTCACCCTAATAGTGGCCACAGTTTCCCGCCACTGTCTACCACTTGCAATGTCCCTACCAGACTTTATTTAGCTCAGTCCCATCTACAAGGCCTGTGGAATCGTGAAGAAAAGCTTTGCTATCTTGCGTATGGCTGGATGCCCCTGCTCCAAGTTGGTCAAGATGATCATGATGACATCTAAGATGCCGCGCCCATATCTGCCAGAGCATCCCTTTGACCAGAGGTTTCGTAGCGCGGTCTATTCTGCTACTGTGAACCAGCGCCCTCATATACCCCTCTTTCACTGCTAGTGAACACATATATGCGCGACCTCTTCTCGTACGGAGAGGCATCTGTCAATCCTGGCTGCGAACTTATGTGTGCAAGTTGGTCTGGATGTCTTGCATCCGGGCATACAAGAACGATGCCTCCGAAGTGGATCCGTCGGATGCATCCATCTGTATCTAACAATGGACCAGGTAACGATCTATCATAGGAATTGGTGACGTTCCTAGCCATGTTCGTCTTTAGCGGCGAACAGCTCGGACTGGACAGCTACGCTAAGCAACAGTTGGCGCATGATGCTGTCCTTGCATCTGGGATGTGCTTCCTTTTATAAAGGGTCACCGGGACGATAAAGTGACCTTTCTCCACATCACTCCTCTCTCTCACCGTTCGTGGCGAGTGCTGGTCACTATGGTTCCAGGCATCCTCTTCGGACTCGTTCTGCTACCTGTGCTGGCATCGGCGGCAGCTATACCTTCAAATAATGTAACAAAAATCGCCCTGAACCGCAATGTGCTATTCAGCAACTCCGGTGTTGCCAATATCCCAGCGCTAAGACAACACCTTGGTAACGTAGTCAAGTATGCCGCTCTATTCAATACTTTTGCCTGTATGGTCACACTCATGTTTGCTCTGCCGTAGTAAATATCAACATGGCTTCTCAAATTTCCAGAAGAACACTGGTCACCCTCATCCCCTTTCAGTTGGGAGCTTCTTTAGGCATCTATTCGGTGGTCACCGCTTGAAGCGTGCAGAAGGGAATGTGCCTTTGAGTAATTTCCAGTCCGGCGCGGTATGGAGTGGAGCAATATCTGTCGGTACGCCTCCAGTAACTTACACGGGTAAGTCTGGTGGGCCGCCCCTTCGTGATATGACCGCTTACGAAATATTTGCTAGTCGATTTTGACACAGGCAGGAGAGCCGTTGCTCAGCAATCGATATATTCTAATAATTCTGTAGGTAGCAGCGACCTCTTTCTCCCCGGGGCGAACTGCGACAGCACCTGTGCCGGTCATACGCTGTATAACACTGCAAGCAGTTCAACTGCGGTCGACCAAGGGCAAACCTTTAGTCTGGCCTTCGGAGACGGGTCTTCGGTGACAGGCGAGGTCTTCGTGGACACGGTGACCATCAGTGGCTTGACAGTCAGTGTCGCTCATCTGCCATGTTCATGCTGCAGACTCACGAGGCCACCTCGTTCAGGCAACCGGGCAGGCGGTAGGAGCTGCAAATCAATATTCCTCCAGTTTCGAGGTCAGCCAGTTCCCCGCAGATGGGCTAATGGGCATGGCGTTTCAATCAATCTCGGCCTTCGACCAGAGCCCGGTATTCCAGACTTTGATTAACCAGGGACAGACGACTTCTCCTGTATTCGGTTTCAGCTTAACCAGCACCGGAGGGGAGCTGACCATCGGTGGCGTTGACGGCACGCAGTTCGCTGGCACGTTGACGCAGGTGCCGGTCACGCAGCAGGTGCGTTAGGTTACGCGACTTCATGACACAATGACTAATTTGTAAGATTGTGATCCATGTAGGGATATTGGCAAGTTGACCTAGCCGCGGTGAATGTGAACGGCCAGGCAACTGTGACAGGTGTATCCGCCATCATCGACACTGGCACATCTCTGGTCCTCGGTAATACAGCTAACGTCGCCCAGTTTTACGCCGCCATCCCTGGTTCCGCGGACGCAACTAGTACAGTCGGAGCCGGCTTCTTCACAGGTATGCCAGCCTTTTACATGGTATGTTGATAATTAATTTCTTGAATACAGTTCCTTGCGCCTCCATTCCTTCTGTGAGCTTGACTTTCGGCAGCACAGCGTTTCCTATCAGTGCGGATACGTTCAACCTCGGTCAAGTATCCGCAGGTTCTGCGGATTGTGTGGGCGGGATGGTGGCCAGTGATCTTGGATGTGAGTCTCTTAAGTTACTTGAGCTTTGAGAAGAACTCTGATGCTACCTTCTTGCAGCATTTTGGGTTGCGGGAGATGTTTTCCTCCAAAATGTCTACACCTGTAAGTTGCTCATATGGTTCTGGGGGTACATATCTCAATCGTCGCTCGATAGCATTCGACATGGGGAACAACCAAGTCGGCTTCGCCGCACTTGCGTGAGGGTTGAATGACCTTCTCATGCTTAAGTATACTTTGGTCGATCGAGGGCTTCCACATGTCGGCGCATGGAACGTCTTCGCTGTGGTTAACCTCAATTAGTGTTATAGAGCAGCAGTACTCAGTGGATGTACTAGACGATTGTAGATATAAGGACAATGATACCCGGTGAAAATAATACGTATTCCGCGTGGCACGTCGGATCATTACTTTCTCTGTTGAGTCTTGACCCTCGGGTCTCCTCGTTCGTTTCTCTTGCGAAGCTTCTCCTGTCGTTTACTTGTGGGCCCAACCGGGGGGACGTCGTCCGCGCCGGCCGCCGCCGGTCTTCCGAGGAGGAATGGAGAGACCAAGTTATATCCCTTGTACCCAGCATATAACGGAATCTAGTTCGAGACGGTTAAGAGGGGCGATGATGAACAGTCGTGGAGTCACTGACGACGGAGTATAACCACCACACCCAGTCTCCCAAAGCAGCACTGCCAACCTGGCATGCCCCTTTGGTATACGATGAGGTTACCAGCAGCAAAGGCTCAGATAGAATGGCGTACATGTAATATAAAGAACATCGAAGCACCATTCCGTCATGCCAGCTTGATTCAGGTCATCCCCTGGTGACAGCAGTTCGCCAGAAGCACTCCGTCGGGGAGTCCCCACCCTTGTCAGGAAGCGAGAAAGGAAGAAGGTTATCAGGTATGTTGACGAGCTCAACAGGGTACGGAAGGATAGCGTCAATGTATTCCTCCGTAATAGCAGTCGGAGTAGGATAGATAGCAGAGAGGCAATGAGCATGCCCAGCTGTATGTTCTTGATAGCTGTCTCATTTTGTGCCGCTGCGAGACATCAAGGTATAAGCAACCATCCGTACTTTGTATTATCGACTCACCAATCTTTTTAGCGGAGGCGTTCGCCATAGGGTCGTTAGCCTGAGCACCTCCAGCTGGAGGTGGAAGGGAAAGCGCCTTCACGTGATGCCGACGCCAATAATGAGCGCGTCGGGAGCGCGTCGCACTTTCTCCTAACGTCCATGTCAAAATCCAGCTCGTATCTTTCTTCAACAGACGAACACCCTTTACCTCCTGTAGCCAAGTTATAACGCCATGAGCTCGGCCCGTGTCGCCAACCCTGTCAAGGATATCGCACAGAAAACCCTCCAGGCTAATAAAGATCACCAGTACGCCCTGAAAGTTTATACAGAGCGACTAGAGTCTGAACTAGCCACAGTCGATAAACTGCTGGTATGTTTACTCCTGTATACATACGTTCTACTTATGCGTTTCTGTCCAGACCTCTGCCGAATGGGAGGAGCAGGACGATGAAGCGGATTTGGATGTCGGCGGCTTCGTCCTAGTCCCGGGCTCCGTGAAGCCTTCCGGCCCAATCGCTCATGGTGACTTTCTATCAAAGGTATGACGTGGTGCTTCTTGCCCCCAATCCCAAGCAAATGATTTTACAGGAGTCACCCTTTCGGGATGATGCGACCAGGAGACAGAGGTACTTAGAGCTCACGACCATCCATCCCAGTGAGTTGCTACGCATTATACCTGTCATTGCTTTTATAAATACCTTGTTAGTGAAGGCGAAAGAACTGGATGCTCTGGCAGAAGCTGTCCGGACGGAGAATTACCGTATGCACGCCTACGAGGCGCAAAGACGGTTCGCGTTGTCTATCTTACGCACGTATATTTTACGCTTATCATAAAGCACCTTTGATGCAGCGGTCAAAATGCGCTCACCAGTCTTAATCAACAGCCGCAAAGCTACTTTGAACTCAACAAGGAGGGCATCGACTGGGAACGAGTCGCCTCCAAGGTATTCCTGGTAGACTATATTCACCTTCAGATCTTAACAGCGTATACTATTGTAAGGTATCATCTTCGATATCCTCCTATGTCCAGCGATCGGCGAAAGAATGCGAGATCCGCTGGCTTGGGGATCGCCATCCCGAAATCAACCATGGACCTTGGTCAGATACTGAAGTCGCTCAAGTCAAAGCTCTAGCCGCAAATTATCCGGATGGGCGGGTCAACTGGGTCAAAGTAGCGGAGCAGCTCGGTGTATTCTCATATTCTTCTTCTATGCTCTTCGACCCGGCCTGACGCCCGGTTCTCTAGACTAATCGCACGCCCATCGACTGTATGCGAACTGCCGTGCCTCGCAGGACACACGTCTGGACTGCCGAAGCGGACGATCGGCTCCTCGAAGCAGTGAAGATATATGGACTTGAGAATTGGCTGTTGGGTGCGTCTCCCCGCCCTTTTCAGCTGCGAAACCCTTCTAACGTATTCATATGTACGCAGTTGCGCGTTTCGTCTCCGAAGATGCTACTGCACAACAGTGCCAGAACCGATATCACCGGACATTGGATCCGGAGCTCGCACGAGGGCCGTGGACCGAGGAAGAGGACAATCGTCTGCGCCGCGCCGTAGAGGCATATGGTCATGCGTGGCTGGAGGTTGCGACGTGCGTTCCGGGCAGAAGTAATGAGCAGTGCCGGGATCGGTGGAACGAGCGGTTGAATCCTAAAGTTATCAAGGGTAAGTGGAGCGAAGAGGAGGATCGAGCACTCATCGAAGTCGTTGGGAGATTGGGAGAGAAATGGAAGGAAGTTAGCGAGTCTTTGGGGACTGGGAGAACGGACAAACAGGTGATGCCTTGCGTTGCATATATGCTCCCGCTGACCTCGCCCTTTAGTGTCGGTCGAGGTACGAGAAGCTTCACAAGGGCAAGCAAAGGGAGAAAGAGGCCTCCACCTCCACTACGACAACGCCGGCTGTTGCAACGAACAGCTCTGGGACGCCGGACGCGCCTGCGCCAGGCCCTGCTGTTCAATCTCAGGCTTCATCCTCCCAAACCTGGCAGAGCCTACAAATAAGGATGCAAGATTTCGGCCAAAATGATGGTGCAGGTTCGAGTGTCGACAATCAAGGTGCTCAAGCCACGGCTACGACCTCGTCTCAGGCCACGCCCCGATCCCGACCTCGGCCGAGAAAGGCGGCGGCTAAGCCTGCTGGGCGCGATACTCCTGCTGAAGTACCTCCTAAGGAAGACGAAGCACCCGGGGGCGATTCTAGCTCGCCACCGGCGCCAATGGAGACAAATACAACCGCGAACAGCTCTTCAAGAAAGAAGAGGACCCGCAAGAGCGCTGCTCCGGCTCCCGATGCTGACGCGCCAACTCCAAAGAGAAGCAGATCAAGCAAGAAGAAAGCGGTTCCCCCAGATACTACCGATAGCGAACAAGCTCAGGATCTCCCGAACCAGCCCGGTACGTCCTAACGCATGAGTGTTCATGTCCATATACTCAAGAACTACAGCAGAAGAATCTCCGCCTGTCACCGCCAGCAGTAGTAAGGACAAAGGAAAAACAAAAACACTTCCAAAACCTCGAGGTAGGCCACGGAAGAAGGGAAACGCCCACCCAGCGGGTGATGTGGAGACAGCTGAACCCGCAGCTACCCCAAGCCACGCCCAGGGTGCCGACGTTGCTACGACGTCTTCCGATGATCGTGCGCGAGCAGAATCTCAAACCCCACCCGATACCGCATTGACCGCTCCTGGAACAAACCTTATGGACACATCAAGCAAGAGCGGCGGTCAAAAGCAGAAGGGTAGGTCGAGGAAGTCCGACGCTGCCAAGGGGCCACCACCGAGGGTCGGCACCCGTCGATCCACGAGGCTACAACCCAGTGCTGAAGCAGGTCCCTGAGGTCGTGGCCTCATCTTGCAGACTCCATCTGTAGAAGTAGATCTCACACTGCCAACCTCTTCCCAATTTGTATTTGACAGTACACAAGCAACACGTACTCGAACAACATCTCCAATAACATTCAGTTGCCAATAGCCTACAATGCCCTGAAGTTTTGCGAAAACCACTAGGAACACGAGATATTGCAAGAATTTCGACGACGACATACGAAGGAAACGGCAAGAGCGAAAGAACCAAAAATATACGCTCGCAGTCAAGCCTGTTAGTATCACGCCGCAGCGGCGACGACTGTCGCAGCAGCAGCCGTCGCCCGGGCGTCCACCAGGCCCAGCGGGGCACCAGCCCTCAACTTCGGCGCCTCCTCCACCTTGCCCAGGAGCTTCTCGAATCGGCTACGGGTAACCATGACCGCGCGCTGGTCGACGTAGTGCTTTTCGCCGGCCCTGAGCTGCTTTGGCGCGCTCCCGTCCAACAGGCCGAGTTGCTCGTCGTTCCAGATGTCCTTGATGGGCTTGACCTGGTCGTCCGGCAGGCCGACGCCGGCGCGCCCGCCGAGAGCCTTCCAGTCTTGCAAGCGTTTGATCCCGAGCGTGTTGAAAGTATCATCAACAGCGTCGACGAGCTTCTCCATTTGCTCCTGCGTGTGTCTCGGCGTGATCGTGACGCGGAGACGCTCCTCGCCGCGAGCCACCGTCGGGTAGTTGATGGCCTGCACGTAAATATCATGTTTCGCGAGGAGGTAGTCCGACGCGTCCTTCGCAAGCGCAGCGTCACCGACGAGGACGGGTGTGATGTGACTGGGACCAGGTACAACGGGGATATCCCTCTCCGCGAAGCGCTTCTTCAACGCGCGGACGTTCAAACCAAGAAGCTTCCGGTCGCCCATCCACTCCATCTGGTACCGCACACTCGCGTGCGCGCCGGCGACGGTAACGGGGGGAAGCGAGGTCGTGAAGATGAAACCGGGCGCGTACGAGCGGATCATGTCGACGAACTCGGTTGAGCCGGCGATGTACCCGCCGACGGCGCCGTACGCCTTGCCCAGAGTGCCGGTGATAATGTCGATGCGGTCCATGACGGTGCCAGGGATGGGAGCGGGGGACTGGCCGGCAGCGAGATGCGCCTGGAAGTCGAGGTGCTCAGCAACACCGGCGCCGCGGGGTCCGTACAAACCGACGGCATGAACCTAGAGAAGGCGGAGGGTGTAAGAATAGAAATAAACATGATAGAGGTGCGGAAGAGAAGATACGAACCTCATCCAAGAACGTCAATGCGCCATACTTGTCGGCCAGGTCGCAGATCTCCTTAATGGGCCCGACGGACCCGCACATCGAGTACACACTCTCGAACGCGATGATCTTGGGCGTGTCTTTGGGGAACGAAGCGAGCTTCGCCTCCAAGTCCTGCAGGTCGTTGTGCTTGAAGATAACTTTCCTGGCGCCGGAGTGACGGATGCCCTGGATCATGGACGCGTGGTTCATGGAGTCCGAGAAGAATACGCAGTTGGGAAGTTTGGAACCGAGGGTCGCCAGTGTAGCGTCATTGGCGACGTAGCAGGAAGAGAAGACCAAGGCGGCGGGTTTGCGGTGCAAGGCTGCTAGCTCAGCTTCCAAACCGAGATGCCAGGCACCGTTTCCTGCTATGTTACGAGTGCCTCCAGCACCATGGCCGTACTTGTCGAGGGTGCGACTGCAAGGGTCAATGAGAAACTCGCCTTTCCTAGCAGGTACTAGCACTTACTGCATAGTCTCTATAACCACGGGGTTGTTCCCCATGCCTAGATAGTCATTGGCGCACCATACTTCGACTTCGTCCTTCGGGTCGCTGGTATGAGCGATGGGGAACTTCTTAGCAAGGCGATTGATATTGTTGAAGTAGCGGTAAGAAGCGTCTTTATGCTTCTTCTCAATCTCCTCGTTGTAGAACTTCTCGTAATCGAAGAGGCCAGGCTTGGCCTGTTTCTTGGGTGCCTTGCTGGCCTCGGCGGCAGCAGCATGGAAGGGGCAGCCAGCAGCAGCCGCAGCCGCTGCGGTAGCGTCACCCTTGGCCTGACCAGCATGGGCAGCCTTCGCAGCGGCCTTGCGTTTGGCAGCAGCGAGGTCCTCCGCCATGCGCGCAGCCCTAGCGGCGGCGGACGCGTGCGGGCACATACTAATGTCGGCGCTGGCAGCGTTGTCGGGGAGATGAACTCCCTTCTGTTCGTGTATTTTCTTGACATCAGCGGTGCCGGCAAGGGAGGCGTAGCCTGCTACGACTTGCTTGGAGCGCACGGAGAGGACGGGGCCGAGCACCGGGCACTGGGTCGCCTTCTCGGTGAGCTTGTTAAGCGTAGGGTACTTTGGCGACGTCGCGGTGCACAGGGAGCGGAGGGTGGACTGCTTTGTGCGGCCCAGGTAGGGGCACATGCCTTTGAAGCGGCTGAGGGACGAGAGACGGTCCATGGTGGGGGGATCGGGGGGCGTAGCGAAGGTGCAATGAAATGAGATGGCCTCTTATAGTAATTTTACGACCGGTGTGCGTCCGCGATTCGCCGGCAAATATCCACGCGGTGATTGGCCCGCTCATTAGGCGCTCTTGTCACGTCGCGTGTGACCGACTGAGTGCAACTCGTCTGCGTTAATCGGCCCTTCGTTCATCCATCGTGACTGCCTCTGCCGTCAGCTCTCGCAGTTCTCTTTCCCTTCTTTCTCTGCCGTCTGCTACACGGACTGTGGGCTGTCATATCGCATTACACCGGGGCTTGCGCGCCGTTCATCTCTTGCCAGGATGGAAATGCACTGGTCGGGCAGATTCAAGCGGCCGCACGCCGAGCAGTCAGGGGCTTGGTCCAGGCGTCACGGTCCTCACGTTACTGCCTTTCCCGTGGTGTGTTTCCGTCGTCGGTGGATAAACGTCTGCGACTCTGTATTCGGTCTCTCTCTATACCCGGCATTTCCAGGTGGGACATGATATCAGACCCACATCATACTCTCCTTTGCTTGGAGTTGCCGTCCACTACAACTACACTCAAGATAGAACATAGGTAGCACTTGGGGTTACCATCCATCAAGGAAAGGTCTGGAAACTTGTAACCATCTATACAATTTGATATCAAGTCTACGTCGTACGATCACTACGATCCATCCAAATATACCTTTTCACATCCTACTTCCTCGCTACCAAGCTCAGGCAGCTCTCCAGCACATCCACCGCAAAATCAACCTCCTCCTTCCCCACGTTCAAGCTCGGCACCAGTCTGACGGCATCCTTCCCCGCAGTCAGCACCAGTAAGCCTCTCTCGCGAGCAAGCCCGACCACCTTCCCCGCATCCTCCCCGTTCTTGAATCCCAAGCCTAGGATGAGTCCTCGTCCCCGGACGGAAGGCTCCAGAAGGTCTGGGAACCACCCGGACAGACGTTCAAGGCGCGAGAGCAGGTAAGTCGAAATGTCGGTGATATGCGACACGAACGGCCGGGCGGAGACGCGAGAAAGGACGTGATGGCCTAACGCACAGGCCAGCGGTGATCCACCAAATGTCGTTCCGTGTGTTCCTGTGCATTTGAGATTATAATGAAGCCAGTGATGCATCGAGTTAGTAGACGCGCTAGTTCTAGCACAGCTTGATCAGACACGTACCGGGCGTCATTGTCTGCGCAACACTATCCCTCATCAGCACTGCACCTATGGGGTACCCGCCCGCAAGTGGTTTGGCCATCGTAACAATGTCCGGGTGACAATCCACCGGGAACGTCGAATGCGCCCATAAACTGCCAGTCCTATACAGTCCGCACTAACGATCCGTGTCAGCACCGCACTCAAAGCACGAGACGGAGATGAGATAACTCGTATCACACAGATTCGAGCAAGTCGCGCCGAAGACACCGCCAACTCACCTGTACCTCATCAAAAATCAGCGTCGCGCCGACCTCATCGCACCTCTTCCTCAACTCCCTTAGCCACTCCTGCCGCGCCGCATTCACCCCGCCCTCTCCTTGAATCGGCTCCACGATCACCGCACACACATCCTCGTCAACCACCATCCCCACCTCGTCCACGTCGTTCACGCGCCCAACCTTCACGCCCGGGATCAGCGGGCGGAACGGCGCCTGGTACTTGCTGTTCGGCGTCACGCTCAGCGCGCCCATCGTGCGCCCGTGGAACGCGTTCTGGAAGCACACGATGCGCGTCTTCGTCTCCGCCTGCGCGGGGAAGCGCTCCTTCGCAAGCTTGCGCGCGATCTTCAGCGCGCCCTCGTTCGCCTCCGTCCCCGAGTTGCTGAAGAACACCTTCGCGGACGCGGGCGGCGCGGCGGTGTCGGCCGAGAGCTCGCCCGGGCCGCATTCTTGGTTGGACGTGCCGGAGGGGGGCGCGAGCGACCCTGTGGGCCAGCCGAGTCCGCCTTCGCGTCGCGTGAGCTCGACGAGGAGCTCCGCGAGTCGAGGGGCCCAAGGGTTGTGGTATACGTTTGAGGAGTGCAGGAGTTTGGGTGCTTGCGTCCTGAGAACCTGCAGCGTCGCTCAGCTCAACTGTTAGGCTAACAAGACTTCGTATTTCTGTCTCCCAGCATGGCATGCGACCCCCAGCGGCTACCTTACACACCCACTTGGCCTGCGCACGTCACGCAGGGAGGAAAAACGGAGAAGGGGTATGATTGAAAAGTGCAGATACATACCTCGGCCATGCCCTCGTCTCCATGCCCCAACGCATTCACAGCGATCCCCGCACAGAAATCCAGGTACTTCCTCCCCTCGAGATCCCACACCCAGCTCCCCTCCCCGTGGCTCATCACGAACGGGGGCCTAGCATAGACAGGCAGTAGATACCTCTCTCCGAGCGCCAGGAGCTCCTTGGTCTCATCGCACGCCGTTTCTAATGAAGGCGTATGCGTCGCCTCGAGGTAGGACGTGTTCGGAGAACGATTGGACGAGGATGCGGGCGTCGATGAGAGAGAGCGGATGGAAGTTAGAGTCCTACGAGTCTGGTATGCTGTGAAGGAGTTAGGACGTGAGCTGATGGGAAGCTTAAGCTGCTATACTCACTGCTCGGTTTTACGCCACTGGCGTTGCATCGCAAGCTACCCAGTGCCACGGGCTTTTGTGAGAATATCGTAGGTAGCCGTCCGAATCGTGCAGTAGCTAGGCTGTTCCGTATCATGTCTGAGATATCCAACAAAGGCCTAGCAGCAGAGTGAGAGGCGAGAGGATTTGAAAGCACTAGGACAGGGAAGAGGGGGATCACTGAATGGGACGCTTCTTATTAGCTGTGAGTTATATAGAGTACATGAAAAGCAGAGCAGCGTCGACCACAGCTGGATGCTCTGTAGCAATTTTGACTCAAAACCACTGCTTTTGGGTGATGTTCATTCATAGCAAGTCATTTTAGCGCCTGCGATTTAGCCGGCGGCAGCTATTCCAGTCATCAAACCCAGGCAATACCTTCAGGTATCAATTCATACAATTACATAGCACGGCAAATGCACAGGAGCACTGAGCACTGAGCTCGTAGATACAATCTTTTGGAAGAAGGTTACCGGAAGACAATCTCATGCATCTCACTCCCGGCTGCTCGACCTGGAACTGACGGACATGGAAGAACCAGACGAAGCAGAACGAGACCGACCACGACGCGGAGGTGAGGGAGAGCGCATCTCCCGGTCGCTGTCATCCTTATTCCTCGGAGGAGACCTCGACTCGAACCTCCGGCGCTGGCGAGGTGGAGGCGACCTCGACGGGGTCCGGCTGGGTGACGGTCGCCGATCACGCCGGGGAGGAGAGCGACGGGGCGGAGACCTCCTGCGTGGGGGAGGAGACCGTGAATCGTCGCGAGGAGACGGTGATCTCCTGCGCATATGTGGAGGTGGTGACCTATAGCGATCTCGGGGAGGCGGCGACACTGAAACGTCTCGCCCCCGACCACGGGCGCCGCGAGGTGGATGGGGAGAGGGTGACCTGGAGTAACCACGAGAGGGAGGAACGGGAGAGCCGGACCGGCGATATCTTGCGGCCGGGGGAGGAGGTCCGTCACGTTCAGGGGAACGAGAATCGTACCGTCGGCGGGGAGGAGGGCGAGGAGGAGAACGCGGAGAACGCGAGCGGGAGGGAGAGCGGGAAGCGGATCGGGACATGGATCGTCCTCGTCGTCCATAACCACGGTCACGGGGAGGTGGGGGAGGCATAGCCCGGCGAGGAGGACTCCTGCTTCGTCTGTCCCGATAATCCTTTCCTCTTCCGCCATCTCTGTCCCTGTATGGCGGTGGAGGTGGAGGCATGGTCGCCCTTCTCTTCTCGTTTTCCTCTCTTTCTTTCCTGAGCCTATCTTCCTCCCGTCTCCTCAATCGATCCCTCTCTTTCTTCTCAGCCTCCCATTTCTCCTTCTGCGCCTGGTACCTAGCTCTCTCTTCTTCCCTCTTTCTCTCTCTTTCTTCCCTCTCAGCCAGCCGCTTCATCTTCAGCTCCTCTTGCTTCTCCCGGTCAAAGGCTTCTCCTTCGGTGTAATCTGGTCTTGTGCCCAAGGCACGCGCCATTTTGTTCAGTTCTTCCTTTTTGGCAGCGGCAATGCCATGAGTGTCCGAGGACTTCAGGCTTTTAGCGGTGGGTGCGAGAGACGAGAGGTTGGCAAGGAGCTTCTCCCTCAATGCATTAACTTGCTCTTCAATCTGAGCTTCTTCCAATCTACAGAAGAGTGTTCAATAGGGACGTCATCTTCAAAATAACCAATCCGGACGCACCCTTGGTCCTCCAACTCAAGCTGTAGTTCCAAGCATTTCACTTCCACCTTTCTCTTCCGCTCGTGTTCCAAAATCTCCTGGTCAGGCTCACGGTGTTTCGGGGGCGCTACATCCCAAGCGCCAGCGCGTTCGGCCGCGGTCTCATGTGAGCGGAGGTACGACAAGTTACGTTGAACGTAACCATTTGTACCACTGGACAGGCAGGTCAGTACATAGCTCTATCGAATGCTGGTTTTTGTACGCACCTGCCACGGGGTGTAGTGAGACCGATGCCGTTGTACATGGCGGTTGTATTATTGAAGGAATGTGAACGGCGTCCCAAGGTTGTGGTCGGATTTCTCCGGGCGGAGTTCGAAGCTGTGAGACGCCACACCTTCAAGCGCCACACAGCTGAACCTGAGTATCGTCTTGCTCTTGCGCGCTGAGGGACGCAATATAGCACAGGATTGGATGATGCAGGTAACGTGCTAAAATAGGATGGTACTCTTGATCTAATGAGATGTTTTGCATGTGGTGTGTCGTGACACGTTCAATTCGAAGAGTCTCCCAGCCGAGCTGTGGCTGCATGTACTTAGACATGTCGAGCCTTTAGACTTGGTCAATGTCTGCATGGTAGGAAGAGAGTCTTGGAGAAGCTATCGTCTCATTTCTACTTTGCAGACATGTCGGGATTTTTATGACCTGACCAAGGGACATCTGGGTTCATTGCGAGCATTAAAGAATGCCATGGCCAAGTCTGAAATCCCGGTGCCGCTCGCACTACTGGATGTCCCCAACATGACGGCGAACAAGTTGAAGAGACTTGCTGTGTCAGCCTCAGGGACACTCAATTTTTGGAGTGCCCTCAGATCCACAATTGCATCGGTTACAACCGTAGACGGCAACGTCGACGACGGTTCCAATGCCGAACGCATGGTCCTCCTGCCAGGAGGTGCTTTCGTCCTGATGATTGGCAATGACGGATCGCCTACACTGTTCAGAGTAGATTCGGCGGCCCCACCGCGCGGTGGTGATTCACCTTTCGGACGCGGTCCGTCAGACGGCCGTCCTCGTCAAGAGCCCAGACCAATCAAACACCACGTCTTCCATGCACCTGATGGCCGACTTCAGATTCTGGTCGGTCGCGATTATGAGTAAGATAAACTCCCTTGCTTCCGCTTATTTATCCACCGCTGATTTCCTTCATGCCATAGCGTTTCTGTTTACAATATCGACCTTCAGGATGTCTCCTTGCGACATGTAGTAACCTTCAGTTCTGGTGGAGCGCGAATTGCGTATGCGACAGCTAACGGGGATATCCTCGTCCTTGCTGTCCACGAGGGCGGCGATTCACATCCTCCACTCCGACTTCAGATACGTCTCATTCCTCCGCATCCTCAGAGCGGCACCGTCACGCCCATAGGTTGCAATGCGCCGTTTCCTTTTGCAAGTATACTCCAATTCCCCTACCTGCGTTCGCTGACTATGACCTTCCTAGCTGAGAGGCTCCGTCATCAGGGTCGTCGATAGGAATCACCTATTGGCAGTGACGTCAATCACTGCTTGGCTATGGGTGATCCCTCCCCTCCGGGAGGACTGCGATACGGAGACCGTATCAGACTGGGTCGGCGGACGGTTTATCGAGAACCTTTTCATAGATCGCATTCATACCAAATTCCAACACCAGATAAGTCCAGTGGCCTGGTCCGAGCCGCCGGGACCTGACGGACCCAAGACACACCCTGTATATGTTTTCAATGGCCGTATGCTGCATACGTTCGATCCTTCTTTGGCCCCCGACACCGTGGCCTGGGCGGTCCGAAGATTTGCTCTGCCAGGCACCGAAGCGGACGGGGCACGACCATTGGTGTCGGCGGCGGCGCTAGGCCGTCGAGTGCTGCTGTGGATAGATCCTAGGGCACCGCTCGAAGCAGACGACGAAATCACTATAGACGTTGCCGCCCTGCCCGATCATTCGCATAAGGACGAAACACTGCCAGAGCACTGGCACGCCCTGAACATTGTCGGGCTTCTGCGAAGCAGTCCCCTGCGAGTTCCTGTGCGCCCCGGAGATCGTGTATTGGATCTGACCTTTGACGAGTGGACGGGTAGGATTTGTCTGTTCCTGGAGAATCCCTTGAGCGGAAGGCGCGCTCTGGTTGTCGACGTCGCATGAAATGGCGCCTTCGCCCTTACAAGTGCTCTGACCGTCATTATCAACGAAGTCATTCATCTCAGTCACATCCAAGGATGTAATTATCAATATCTCAGAGCCATAGTAATCCCGCGCTGGCATATACGTACACTGCAGCATACAAAATTCAAGTAGATGCCTAGAGAAAAGTTACGAAGCTGCTAAGATAAATCATTATCAGAAGAACACGAAGATGTCCGAGGGCATAAGAAGAGTAAGAGATCTACGGTTATAACAATGATAACATAAGTATGCGACCATACGCCACCGAAAGTAGGACTCACTACGGACCAGCGTAAGAGTCAGAAGCATGTGTAGTGGAGACTATGCGAGAGTCAGCGGTGTAGACGGCGCAGACACCCAGACGTCGGTGGTATTCTCCGACGGCGCGACGCTATGAGCGTCGTCATATACGCCCGACCGCGGAGTCGCCACCTTAGGTGGGGTCTGTCCAGGTATCTGGAGGTGCTGGGTCGCACTTGTCGCGTCTGCAGCTTCGAAGTAATCCTTCTTGTCTTCGCCTTTCGGTGTTGTCTCCGGCTCCTGGCCCTGTGCAGGTGACAACGACGGAGAAGGGGTGATCTCCTTCGCCTCATGCTGGGGCGTCGAACCATCCGATTCCGCAACTGTCTCCTCCTTCTCCTTCCCCTTGTCCCCGTCCATCGGCTGGTACAAATGCTCCTCAGTCGCTGAATCGGCCGTCACATCATCCGCAACAGACGTGCCGGCCCTGGCACTGGACTCCGGCGTCTCTCCCTCCTCCACCTCATCGTCCACATCCTCATCAATCGTCTCTTCCTCCCCATCGTTCTCCCCGCTGACCAACGCTCCGGTCCGCACACTATACGAGGTCCTGAAGCTTCTGTCGCGCAACATAGACCCAGGACCAGTCCCGACGCGTGCACTCCACTCGCTGGCCTCGCTCTCCCAGCTGCCCCTCCTGGAGCTTCGCGGCCTCAGTGCGCGCACGCTGGCATCGACGTCGCGGTCCAGGTCGTCACCCACGAAGTGGCTGAAGCTGTCCACGGTGCCGACTTCGAAACGGGAGACCGAGTCTTCGCCGGCCCCGATCGTCGAGCCCGTACGACCTGCCGCAACGAGGGCATTGACGCCGATACGAGCATTGGGCATACCGAAGGCGGACGACGCAAGGGTTAACACTGATGCATCGTCCTGGGGAGGCGATGACGGTCGCGGGTTATCACGCGGATGGTGGGTCGTATGTAGCGGAGCTTGTATCGACACGGGCATCGTATTACTTCTTGACATGGCTGCCAAATTAGCAGCATTGAGCAAGCTTGAAGGGGTCGATGGCGATTGCCCGCCATTCAGCGGCATAACTGAGAACGTGACCGACCCGCCACCAGTTGTGCCAGCGGACGATGCTCGGCGATGTGGCGCAATTCGTGCATGTTGAGAGATGGGGGTGGGCGGCTGTGCGATATGGGCCATACCATTCGTCGTTAGATCAACGCTTAAGAGAGTAGTAGGCTTGGTACTTGCAGCCATGCTCCTGAACGTGCGTGGGTCGGACAGGTATGACGAGGACGACCGGGACGGAGAGGGCGAGGGTGGGCCACTGGGAGGGATGGGGCGGACCGAGGCGTCTTCGTCCGCCTCGACGGGGCTTGAAGGGGACCACAGCGAGTTCCCCGCGATGGACGAGCGGCGCGTCGACCGCTCATCCTCGTCGTCGCTCTCGGCACGGGGCACGCGGAAGTCCTCGTCTCCGTTCAGGGAGATGGTGTTCAGCCTCGTGGCGTCCCCCCTGTACTCGTACCGCGTGCCCGTGCTATTCCTATTTGTAGGCAGGGAGGGCGTCGATGGGATCCGCTTCAAGCTGCCGTCTCTGGCCGCGCCGCCACGTCCCTTCCCGTCCCTCCTGTGCCCGGTGTCCGATGTTGTCCTGGGCCGACCGGCCCATTTCTTCTGCAGCCAGCTGATAATGGGTTTGCTAGAGCGGCGGTATGCCTTCTTTGCGCGTGACGGCTGCTGCTGCTGCGGGGGTTGTTTGGATAGGCTCGGCGGGTACTTCTGAGCAGGAGCCTCTTTCTTGGGAGGCTTTGGTCCTTCCTGTGACGGCTGCCGCTGCTTCTCTTTCTCCTTCTCCTTCTGTTTTTGTGTAGACGCTGAGTTGGCGGCGCCGTCAGGGGTGTTCGCCTTGTTTATGGCCGGGGCGAGTGGTACAGGCATGATGTCGGGGGACGCTGAGAGTGGCTCGCTGGGCAGATATGCGGTGGGGGTGTTGCAGCAGTACGGGGTATATAAAGCAGGATGAAGGCGAGGACAGTGACGACCCGAACAAGGGTATCGATCACTCTTCCCACGTGGCTACCTCAATGAAACGACGGTGGCGTCAAGGTGAGCACTCGTGAGTCGTTGGCAGTAGCAGACAATGTTGCGCTCTGTGGATTGAACAAGGAATTGCTCCGGATTTTTGAAACAAGACCGACGTCGAGAAGTCACCCCGTTCTGCGTGATTCACCACCACATGACACATTGACAGCAGGCATGGAGGCCCCTCAACTATCCGAAACACCATCTGCACCCATTTCTGCGCGAAGTGTCGCCTCTGACACAGCACCAATGTATATCGCACGGCCGATATAGATTCACATCAGTATCCAATACCTTGATCGTCAATAACCTGGTTACACCATGTGCATTATACTTTCCATAACAGACAGCTGATCACATCATATCTTCTTCAAGACGGCCTCCACAACCTCCGAAGTCTTCCCCTTCCCGCCCAAATCAGGCGTAAGAACTGTCCCCTCCCTGATCACCTCGTCCACTGCCCTGTCTATCCTGTCGGCGCCCTTGACGTATCCGAGGAACCGCAGCATCAGCGCAGCCGACCGGATGGACGCCAGCGGATTCGCGATGTCGAGGCCGAGGATGTCGGGAGCCGAGCCGTGCACACTTCGACAGATCGCACACAGTTAGCCGAGATGACAGGTGAGTGGGGGGAACATAGAAGACTCACGGCTCGCCCATGATGAATTTGTCTCCTGCGTTGACGGATGGCACGAGTCCTAGCGAGCCTACGAGAGCGGCGGCCGCGTCTGACAGGATATCGCCATACAGGTTGGGCGCGACCATAACATCGTATATCCTATGAGAAACTGGATTAGCTTATACTTGTCAACAAAGTCTGTACATGAACATACTGAGGTTCACGGAACAACCTGACAAGACCTATTTATCAGTAACGTCTATGGTGCGGGGATGAAATCAGATATACCGGTATACAGCGCTGTCAACTATCTGCTCCGCCACCTGGACATCATTGTACTTCCCATTGACCTCAGGCAGAGTGGGCACTTCACGAACGGTCTCCCTGAAGAGACCATCTGTCACTGAGAGGACATTGGATTTGTGGATAACTGTAAGATGCTACATTCGAGAGTGTCAGTCTTCACCCAAAAGCGTATCATGCGGGGTAAGCACCTTGCGAGGGCGACCGAGTGCGATGTCAAAGGCCATCTGACCTATCCGTCTTGACGCCCGCTCGGTAATGAGCCTCGTAGCCCTGGCTTCCTTGCCATTTTCTGTGTGCTTGAGCTCCTCTTGCTTGACATACTGCGAGAGACACATCCGCACCCTTCAGAGGGCTGGTGAACTAACGGATGGTTGACGTTTACTCACGAGACATTCGGTGTTCTCCCGCACGACTACGAGATCGACGTCAGGCTTCTCGTTAGGATCTGCTGCGACCTTTCCTAGTGAGGTCCGCTGAGCTTGGCACGGGTATTCCGTGCACCAATTAGACTCACAGACGTGACCGGCCTAACGTTAGCGTAGAGATCCAGTCTTTTGCGGAGGCCGACGATGGGGGACGAGTACCCAACTACCCTCCGAGTTGGAGAGCTGGTAATGGAGGTCAGCTTGTGGAAGGGTCGCAAGGAACACGCGTGAAGATATACCTAACAGCACCGAAGATGGCGCAATCACATTCTTCCTCGAGAACCCTATTGGAGTGACGTAGAAAGTCCTAAGCAACCATAGATGGAATACCTGAGCCACAATCCACGTACCGAACAGTCTCCTCGGGCAAAGCAACTCCAGTCCGGGTGAAGCACTCGAACCCAGCATCAAGGTCTACGAAGTCGGGCTTGGGGATGTCTGAGCCCAGGGCTACAATGGCTGCCTTTGCAGCCTAAAGATAATAATTCAGCACATGCACAGAAATGGGGCGGATTAACCAGGAACGCACAGGAATCACTTCGACGCCGATCCCGTCTCCGGGGATCAGCCCAATTTTCAGTGACTGCCGCGTTGGGCTGGCCGACGTCGCTAACGCTCTTGACGGCGGCGCTCGCAGCGACCTCAGAGGTAATCGCTGCATCATTTTGTCCCAAATACCCGACGAAGAATGGCGACTGGAGACGAAGGATTTGGAAATTTCAGACGATAGAGGTCGGCCGACGCGTGCCGATGCGCGACTTTGGCACACGTGATCCGGACGCGCTGTCGCGTTGATTGATTGAACGCGCTCGCGTCACGTATAACAGGCCTGTCACAGTATTTTGTTCCGTGTCTCCTTCCCTCACGACTCGCGTTTCTCATTGACATTAGCAAGCCCCATCTATCTTAACATGCTACCCAGCCCAGATTCTTCACCCCGACGTGCTCTCGGCAACCGCACCAATGCCTCTCCGGACCCATCTCCGACCTACACACCGCTAAAGCCGTCAAGGACGCTAGCGTCGATATTCTGTCTGCCGACGCCTGCTCCAGAACGCGATAGACGAAAGAGACCGTGTCCAGAGGGGGATGAAAATGCAAGGAAACGAACAAAGGTGGAAGTGAAAGTCGAAGAAGATGACGAGTGGGAAGTCGAGACGGACGTGGACAGCGATGTTGATATGGATGATGAAACACCTGCTCGGTATCGACGGCTGACTAGAAGTGTGTTTGGAATTGCAAGGGAGCGAGCCATGGGTGACACACGGTGTCCATCAAGCAGACATACCAGTGCGTCGCGGTACTGTTGACGAGGTATCTCATCAGCTAATATCCGGAGCAGTCAGCACACGACCCGTCCTACAGTCCTTTGTGTCTTCGCATAAATCGGATACGTACAAATGCTTGTCCATTCTCCCTGAATGTGACCTTACCCCTCCTTACGCGTGTCAATACTCGCACGGTGAGTAAGTCTCACCTCCACTCCCCCTCCGCCACTCAATACCTGCTTTCAGCGGCGAAACGAGGTGGCGCCCCACATCTTGCCGTAGCAACCGAACAAGGTACAGTATACATCTTCGACACATCTAAACGGCAAGACTGGGAATACGAGCCCCAGCGCGCCACCCTCCAGCCGCACCACAACGGCGTCTTCGCTCTGAGTTGGTCCCCAAGCGACACCCTGCTCGCAACCTCCGCAGGAGACCACGTCACGCGCATCAGCGACGTGGCCACCTGCAAAACACTTTATACACTCCAAAAACACTCCGGGACAGTCAAATGCAACGCCTGGGACCCCCGGCAAGAGCAGGTGCTGAGCACAGGCGGGCGGGACGGAAGGATATGTATTTGGGATCTGCGTATCTCAGCGAGGACGAAGCAAAAGATATATTTACCGGGGGAAAGTGGGTCCTTCCTGAAACCGGTCATGGAGATTATGACCGCCCATGGAGGCTCGAGTCTGAAGGAGACCGGGAAGAGGAAGGGCAAGAGCTCAGCCCAGCAGTCAGGCGTGAGGAGCGTCACCAACATACTTTACCCAGAGGTGGACCCCTACGGGTTCGTCAGCAGTGGGTCGTTTGATGGGTGCGTACACATTACAAGTATAACGCAACAAACCTGACTCTTGCTGGGGCTCGTTGCAGGATTCTCCGCCACTGGGATATGCGCTGCCTATCGTCCAAAAAAGGGTACGAAATCTGCGGGACTTTCGACTCACCCTCCGACCCCACAACCTTCACGTCCTCGCGTCCCCGGGGGATCGTCTCCCTCACGGCCGGGAGCGGGCCCACCGCCGGGCTCATCTTCGCGCTGGGCATCGACTCGAAGATCCACACCTACACCCTGCCCTCGCTCGCGCCGCTCTCGTGCGGGGCGGGGCGCACGAAGAAGGGCTGGGCATACGAGCACCCCAGTATGCGGACGAACGACTTCTACGTCGGGGCGAGCGCGAGCCCGTGCGGGCGGTGGGTCGCATGTGGGGGCACCAGTACCGACGGGCACGCGTTCCTGTTTGACGTGTCCGGGGCTGCTCGGCATGCGGATGCTAGAGAGAGCGGGCCCGGGCCAGATGCGGCTGGCGTAGAACTGAGAGGCGCGCAGACTGGGAGTGTCGGTGCGCTAGACTGGGCTGCAGATGCGACGCTAGCAACTTGTGCGGATGACGGCACGGTCAGGGTGTGGAGGCCGGATGCCGAGGTCTGGAGGAATTGCGTGGATGATCCGGAGGAGGGGAAGTGGGACTGGAGTTGGGCCCAGCGATAGCGAAGCCCGTGATTCAACAAGGGAAGTTATAATCTGGATAATGCAATGTAATTAGATACCTGAACGCCATATACCTGTACTCAAAATAGACATTGATTGAACTTTCGTGGACGATGAAGCACGCCTGAGATGATCCAAGTCAACCACTTGAGAACTAACCAAACGTGACAATTACAGATTATGTAGCGGTATAGATAACAGCGTGAATGCAGGTCCAGGTGACGTGTGTAATATGCAAGATGAGGGGGTGCCGGCCTAAGAGGAGGGGAGGTTTCATGACGTGGGATCTTCTACTTTTTCTGTATTGCATTGACCAACCTGTGTTACAGGGAGATGAGTGACCGCTGCAATTATGCAAAGAGAATATTGCATACCAGTCCAATCCCTCCTCAAGACCCTCTCCTTTCGTCGCACAACTACCCCTCACACTCCATGCCCGTCCCTTCTCCTGACCCGCAAGCCCGAGCTGCTCACTAATCTCCTCCGGCTTCATCGCGCCTGGTACGTCCTGCTTGTTGCAGAATACGAGCAGCGGCACGCCGTTCAGCTCTTCTTCCGAGAGCATGGTGAGAAGCTCCGAGCGGGACGTGGGTATCCGTGCATGGTCGGAAGAGTCAATCACGTATATGATGGCAGATGTGTTGGGGAAGTAACAGCGCCAGTATGGACTGGGGTTGAGATCGTGGTAAGGAACAGGGTGGCGGAACCAGGTGCGGTATCAGAGATGGAAAGACGTACCGAATGGAGGACTGCCCGCCCAGATCCCATACTTGGAATTTGATGTTTTTATACTGCGGACATCGTCAGACGTCTACAATGAATCTGCATGCGTATAGGCATACTGTGACTGTCTCGACGTTGAATCCGATCGCTGCCCTCGAGTCAGATGACGCGTTTCAGCATATGAAAGCGCAACGTACTTGGTATCGTCGATACAACTTCACCGATCTGCGTTTCCTGTGTTAAACTTGCGAAATACCCGATAGTTTCATACTCACCTGTAACCTGTACAGAATTGTTGTCTGCAATAGCCCCAGTCAGTCCGGACGGTAATACCCCGCAATCCCGGCTTCGTACCTTGCCAGCCGAATCCAGACCGAGCATTAGTATCCGTACATCCTGCCCCTTACTCCAGCCTACTAGCGAGGATATTGATTGGAATAGCGTCGATATTGATAGGCCCATGGTGTCGTGTGCGAGTGAAAGCGAGGATGCTCAGCGACCTGACATTGCACTCTACTAAATAGGACTGGCAATGCGTGCTGGTCGATCCGGCCGTTGCCGTACTAGCCTTCGCGGGCCGATCTATTTATTGCGCGCGTATAACTCTGCTGCATACGAGACCCGTTACGGCTGGGCTACTCAGGGCATGGCTGTCGATATTGCCGAAGGGACCGCTGGGAAATCCGACAAAGCATCGAAGAAGGCGCGCAAGGAGAGCAAGACTCCCGAGGAGCTGAAGCGGAAGGAGAAGAAGGCGGGGAAGAAAAGGCGAGCGCAAGAGGCAGAGGGTGAAGCGGAGAAAGAGGACAGGAAAAAGGAGAAGAAAAGACGAAAGCTAGAGGAAGGTCTGTCTGTCTGCGATGGCGGTAGAGAGGAGACGAAAACGAAGAGACGAAAGCATGAAGATGTACCGGAGCCAGCAGAGAAAGGAGATTCTGCCACGGACGCGGTAGCCGTCTCTCAAACGGAGACTAACGTCAAGAAGAGGAAGCATAAGAAGAAGGTTGCTGATGATGAGCTACAAGAAATGAATGACGGGTCTAGTATGGACAATGACGAAAACGAGCCGAAGAGTTCAAAGAAATCTAAGACAAAAAGCAAGTCCACCGAGGACGACGTGGAGCCCCCGGCAGAGAAGAAGAAGAAACGCAAGAAGTCCGATAAGGAAGTTACAATAGATGAAGACAAGGCCTCGAAACCAAAGGCGAAGAAGCGCAAGCGGTTGAAGGACAGTCCCAGTTATCCTGACCCTTCAGAAGACAAGACTCTGACCGAGCAAGCTTGCAAAGGTGAGTGCTTTTGTGGGCATTAAAATCCAAAGTATGCGGGCTAATTTCCCTTGAGCCTTGACCTATGCATGGTCCCAGTTTCATGAAGCAGAGACATGGAAATTCAATAAGGCTCGGCAGAACTGGCTCATCCGAAATGTGTGGTCTGAGGAATCGGTGAGTCGTGAGGCAACCACTGCCAGACCTGATAGCTGCATCTCTTCCGATATAGATACCAGATGCATATCTTCCTCTGGTAACGAAATACTTATCGAAAGTGCAAGGGGGTGTTCGCGAGGTAAGCGTTCACGCCGTCAATAGCTGGATACCGAAGCCCACTTTCCTGTGCTTTATCCTGTCTAGAACCTGCTGAAGCTTTGTCAAGAGAAGCTGGCATCCGACCCCGCAGCCGACACACAGCAGCCAACAGCCGAGAAACCTCCACTGAAGTCCATCCTGAAAACAAGTAAAACGGACGAAAGCGGGCAAACTGCAGCTGTTGAGCATGTCAACCCTCTGCCAACCAATAACGAAACTAGGCGTGTCAGAGCGCAGGCGATCCTACAGGCTCTGATGCCGCAGAGTTCGGACGCAGAGGAGACTTCATGATGGAGTTGCAAAGTGCAGCATTAGTGGTTCGTACGGGTATTCTCTCTACATCCAGAGCTGCGCCAGGATTGTGTAGGTAGCTGATTGACCGGCGACGATGTATGACGCGCGTATGTCATACGTTCTTTCGTTGTTGTGATCGAGCCCAAGGAATCGACCATAATCGCGAAAGAATTGATGATGGGACGCTACGGCCATTTAAGCGAAACTTCTATGGCAGACATGAGTCTCAAGGCAAGGCAAGGATACGATGGGGTGATTCTGATACGAATGGATTTCATCGATAATACAGGGTGCCTGCGCCTAGACACCGACTCTCCATCGCTTCCTTGGGTAGATGTGAGCTTCCCAGTTTACTATATGACCCAATAGCTCTCCGTCCTCCTGCCCTGTGGTATCTTCCGTAGCCAGGAGCAGGTTCTTCAGGGACTCTTGTACCAACCCCGCATTCTTCAGTTTCTTCTCGAGCGAAGATGGAGCAGCCTTCTTGGGCGGAGAGGGCTGGCCATATCCGCAGTTAGTTTCAGGGATGGCTTCAAGGGGATGACGGCTTACGGGTGTTCTCAGGTATGTATGTTTGGGTGGTAGAGGAGGCATGTTCTCGTAGGGAAGCGTGCGGAGTGTGGCCGGGACGAGCAGTACAGGGTTGGTCTCATCATCGGATGGTAACAGTTCGGGCGATGGCGACCGAGGGGGTGCAGGTTCCAGAGCGATTGGTTCATAACCTTCCTCTCCCTCTAAATGGGCGATCGATAAATCAAAGTTTTATTTTGACGTTTGAGAACGTACGGGATTTCCGCTTCTTGGTCTTCCTGGCTATCTGCCTCAGCTTAGCGATCTCCAGGCCGCATTCCTCTTGTGCGAGTAACAAGTCTTTAGCAATGGGTTTCGCCCTGTTGGCCAGGTTTGCGTATTCATGCGCCTGTTCATATATACGAGAGACAACTGGAGCAGCCGGCAGTCCGTATCAGCAGTTCCGGTTGTGGCGATGCCATCTTGGAACGTACAAGCAACCACCTCTGCCTCGAGTCTTTGCAAAGCAATGGATTCTGCCGCATCAAAGCCAGCGCTCTTCAGTTGGGTGGATATAAGCCTCTGAGTCGCCTGGGATGCTACTTTCGGCGAGATTGAACTCAAGTCTGGTGGAGACAAAGGGTCCGGTTGGGGCGACGACTTGAATTTGGACGGCGAACTTGGTGCGAACTGTGGTGTGTACTGTGAATATACGCCATACTGTCCCTGCGCGCTCGGCTGGTATTGCGGAGGCTGATACTGGGCCGGGGTGTACTGATACGCTTGTGAGGGATAGTGGCCGTAGGATTGCGAATAGTCGGCGGTGCTGTAGGACATTGTGGCCGCGCAGCGCAGGAAGGTTCCAGGACGCGCGTGGACTTGAACGGAGTTAGAGTCGGACGAGTGCTATTTATAGATGCCTCTCTCATGATGACTGGCTTATCTTCCCCAGCTGCAGCGACTCTCTTCGTTTCTCTCAACGGACTTGTAACTCTACTCTAATATTTATCTTGTGCTATAACGAATGTCTACGACAATGGCTGCGGAAACTGTCCAAGAAAGACCCGCTGTTCCCGTCCGCACGGAGACCTCGAGACGAAACCGGCCACAGGTCGTCGGCCCAGAATCCGGACCAGAGCCCCCTTTCCCAATTCAACTAGAGGGCGCTGTACAGCATGGATTTGGGAGAGGTGGAAAGGATCTAGGTTGTCCTACCGGTCAGCTCTCTTCGTATCCGTTTCTGTAGCCGGCTCACGATGCATCAATAGCCAACCTCCCAGATGAAGCCCTACCAGCCATGAGTGAAGTCACCCAGACGGGCGTGTACTATGGCTATGCTCGTGTATACCCTCCCAAAGATGCGGATAAGGAATTGAAGGAGGAGGATGTGAAGGTGCTGCCCATGGTCATGAGCTTGGGGTGGAATCCGTTCTATAAGAACGAGCGATTAACAGCGGTGCGTGCTCATCCGATTCTGTCTCTAATCTTGCTGCTGATCCTTCGTTGCAGGAGGTGCATATCATGCATGATTTCGCCTCGGATTTCTACGGGTATTACTTGAAGGCGCTGGTCCTTGGCTATATCCGACCGGAATTAGATTATATTTCTAGAGGTACGTTCGTCACCACTCGCTACACGCATGAAGGGTCATGCGTTCGCTATCCTGCACAGAGGCACTTATAGAAGACATTGAGACTGACAAGAAGGTTGCATTGAACTCACTATCGCGCCCCGCGTATGAGAAGTTCCAAGCAGATCCTTTCTTCCAATCGTAGTGCACAGAGCCAGGATAGACATAAATTAAGACATACAGATTCAGGACGGCTTGCGATCCGGTGGCTTGATATCTTGGACTGCTAAGTGCTCCAGAGACTTAACCTCGGATGACGAGACTTTGCGTTATTCGAAGGAATGGGCGTGTTCGGCCTATCCTTCAGTTTCTTCTTTCCGTATGTAAGATGAAGAACAGCCCTTGAGTTCACTTCCTTCCCTTGCAGAGCGCGCAGCGCCTTCTCTGCAGTCTCTATAGTCTTGAAAATGATCAATCCGTGCAAAAGCTCGTCATCCTTCTTCGCTGAAGTCATTTGGTCAGCATAGTCCCAGCTGTAATGAATTCCTCGCGCGTACCTGCGATTACGTTGTTGATGTAAGGCCAGTATTTGTTCAGGGCTTTGTGCAACTCCGCACGAGTAGCGGGCATAGGTTTAAAGTATAGTCCACGGCTTGGCTTCAAGCGCTTGATCCATGGGCTGTATTGCAAGGCCATTTCCGACAAGCCGACTATTAGTGGATTTTTCTTGAAATAATTGACGGCCGCTGTGGTGGGCTGTTGTGTCTCAAACTCTACACGAGCAGAGCAGAGGGTGTCTGTCATGACTGTGGGGTCGCGTTGAGATTGAGCTGGAGGTTGTCTTCCAGAGGGGGGTGGGGAGCACATACCTACGTCGAGCGACAAGACCTCTCCGAAGGCGCTGAACTGCCTTTGCAGCTGTTCAGCAATCTCCTCGGGAGGAAGATCTGTCTGACCTTCGACAATGAGAGTGTTTGAACGCTTGTCGGCCTTCTTGACATCTTTCTGAATGACAGAGCTATTGTCTACAGATCCCCGTTGTCGAGCTGCACGTCCGGAAGACGCTATGGCTTCGCTGGACTGTGATGTACCCGATGATTGGCCCACTTCAAGTTTAGCTTCAGTGTCCGCAGGACTCGAATTGGTATCCGACAAGGAGGGCGTAGTAGCCAAGGAACTCGACGCCCGGTGAATATTTGATTTTGAGACGGGGCGACATCCCTTTAGGCTGGAGCTATATGGTCTGCAGGATGCTGCCGCAAGCCTTGCCTGTTTGGACAAAGCACCCTTGAGCATTCTGTTTCAAGATGTGGCTGGATGTGTGAGGGGTAGCACCAGGTACATGTACTATCGCTGCAGGGGTCGCTCTTCAGATATTTCAACCTTCGGCGCACTCTACGATGGCGAGAGCGAATGCAGAAATACGCCTTCGGTATGGCAGAGTGTACTCGCGTGTGACGTAGAATCACATGAGCGTTACGGGATGCGTTGAACCAATATTACGCGTCGGCAATCAAACCCGCCTTAGACGCGTCGTCCCCTGTCGGCGCCTGCGGTGACGTTCGCAAGACCAATTCGAGGCATCACGCGTTGTTCCCGTGGATGGCCTTGCATGCGTTCTTCAACTTCTTCCAGCGCGGCCCGACTGCAATATTTAGCGGTTTCGCCGACGTTATAAATGACTGGGCGAGCACTGAGTTCTCGTCGCTCGTGGCGTCCTTGAGCAGGTCCGATATGAAGGTCCTGTTGCAGCTCGTGTCCGTGTTCGGCGCGCTCGGTGCAGTTGTCCAGGCGCAATGCCCGGATTACACGACCTATGCACAGGTGAGTACTTAGCTGTGGAGGCGGCTTGCGTAGATGCTGATTGTGAGTAGAGTCCTCAAGGGAACCCATCAAGCGGCCCTCTGGCACTGCCGTATATGAGGCCTGAGCCGGCTTGCAGGACGTTCAACAGTAGTGCTGTTGAGGCGAGTGTAACGTCAACAAGATATACCGGAGGATTCACGCCCGTATAGCAAGTGATAGCGAACATGACGACGCGCTTGAAGGACCCTGACATTGCTCGTCTGTTCGAAAACACGTTCCCTAACACGCTCGGTACGTTCAAGCCAGCGGGATACACTGCGTCTGCTCAGTGAGACTCTGAAGATACGACTGTCAGGTATTATAACGAAGTAAGTCACCCGATGAACGAGTAAGGGCATAAGCATAACAGCACATCAGACAGAAAATCTGGCCTTCATCATCACAGGGGTACGTGAATGCACGTTACAGAGATAGGGTTGGCCTGACGTATGCAACACCAGGATATCACGTAGGCCCGGTTTCGCAATGGACAAGCAGACCGTGGCTCTTAACATTTCTTGCACAGGGCGCAATGGCTGCGTGACACCGCCAATCAGGTATCTCGCAGTATCCATAATGACTTCTCCGATCGGCCTAACTTCTGTAGTTTGCTCACTATCACACACTTCTGTCCATAGACAAGGACCTCGCTTCGCTTGTCAAGGCTGTCATCAACAATGAAGCGAGATACGTCTCGCAATATCCCTACTGCGGTGCTTTCCAGCCTCCACCGGAAAGCAGATTAAGCCCTACAGTAAATGACTGGGCGCTCGACGTCACAGTCAATCCGTAAGTAAAGTCGTTCACACTCGCGAGGAGAGTTTCGATGTGATTTGGGCCTGCACACATGACAGTCCGGTGGATAATCAAACCGTTTTCGAGTGCAAGGTCAGACACAATGTTGCCTGCGAGGTTATTGGTTTACAACTATCTCGTATCTCAGTACGAGCTTGATTCATTGTGCGGATTCATCAAACTGTCAAGGTCCTACTATCAAGCCACAGGCGACGACTCTATGATGAACGATAACTGTAAGAACTCCTCAGGCCGACGGGGACTATCCTAACCTTTGTGGACGTAGGGTATGCAGCTATCGACCGAATATTCCGAGTCATCAACGAACAGTCTCAGCCCTCCTTCGATGAGAACTTCAACTGGATCTCGTACTACAACTGGACCGGTGGGAACGGTGCTCTGTCTCCTGCAGTCGACAACGGCGGCAACGGCGAGCCGAAGGGCTACACTGGCTTGGTGGGCACTCATCACAGGCCCTCCGATGATCTCAGCGTGTTTGGTCAGTGTTCGCGGTTTGCTTCGTGAGAGAGGGCTGAAAGGACGCAGCCTTTCTGACTCCTGCGAATGCGATGCTGAGCGTCGAGCTGAATCATTTGGCTGAGATACTCGATGCGGCGGGCCAAGGTCAGAATATCAGCACTCAGGCGAAGAAATGGAGCAAAACTATCAGCGACGCCATATGGAACACTACTGTCAGTCCTCTTTTTCCTTTCGCTGGAAGGTGTTGTTCATTGACTATGCCGCTAGTTGTACAATAACATATTCGCCTACGAGACAAATGGTAAGACGCGGACCGGGCCTCAAGGAGAGCAAGCTTGACTGACAGAACGCTCCTTAGGCCTGGGTTCGCGATATGTGATGGATGATGCGAATGTTCCAGTGTGTCCTCTCACCGCGCTCTTCATTCCATCTCGTACCTGACTGCTGCTATAGTCGCTGCTGGCATTGCCCTACCTCGGCTTTCTGAACAAGACAGATCCTGCCTACGTAGCCACCCGCAAGGTGCTCTTGTCGAGGAACAATCCCTACTACGCAGCAGGGCAGACCTTCAGCGGCATCGGGTATGTGTATGCTCTCGGTTCGACACAATTCACGGTCCTCTGACCACGCTTGTGCAGTGGTCCTCATGTCGACCCGTGGCACCCATGGTAAGTGTGAATCGCTGGAAACACGGCACTATTAGTATTCAACAGAGAATCGCCACCAGGCCCATGTCGCAGGTGTCAGCCATCTTCGGCACGGACGACGACGCGGAAATTACGAAGTCGCTGTATCTCATTGCGAACGTTAGTTGATTTCTGCACTGCTCTCGAGCGATGAGTTTCATGATTGTATTGACTTGCCCGCGGATGCTTGTATAGAACACACACGGCCTCGGTCTGATCCACGAGTCGCAGTCGATCTATAATTCCTCTGATTATACGCGACCGTGGTTCGCGTGGGCGAACAGCTATTTCGCCGAGATGCTGTTGGACCTTGCACAGCGCAAGCCGTACCTCATCTTCAAGGACAACGTATCGTATACTCCTGGCCAGTAAGCGTAGGACTATGATTATCTGACTCAACTCGGATGGAATACGTTCATCCTTCGCGCTGGCATGTACATGTCGCGAGGGGTACTAATCTTCACTGGCAGAATTATAACATAAGGGTTCGCTCCAGCGTATATATCCCTACTTTTCGTTATACCAATCTATTGCCTTGATGCGCAGCTGCCAAGCCACAAAGTTGTTGATGCAGTCAACGTTCGTGCATAAATAAAGAGGAGGTAACGTAACGTGAGCGCGAGGGCTTCCCTTTTCGGTTGGGGGCGAGAGTGATTACCGCCAAGCTCATGTTTCGAGAGAGTACTCTCTGCTACCCTTTGTACTACGCGTCTTTCTTCTATAATCGACCTAGTACAGCCGCAGTTGACCTTGAAATCCAATGTCGTATACCCCTCGCGAAATTGGCACGCTCATTGTTGTCATACTGAAAGCGGTATGAACGTACTTGTCTCTCCTAAACGTATTGACCTCACCGCAGTCACTTCAACTAGAGAAATCTACCCAACAAAAGACACATAGGGAAGCAAGATCCCTACTGTACCGTGGTCTATAATAATGAGAAGCGAAGGACAAAAGCGATCAAGCGGGGTGGCCAGCACCCGGAGTGGGACGAGGAGGTCCGGTTCACGTTGTATGAGGATGTCGACGACGAACTGGCACGAACATCCAACGGAGGCGAATCTCCCCCACCGCCCCCGCCTAAGGACGACAAGGCCCCGAGGGGCGTTAAAGGAGGGAAGGTCATGAAGTTGGCCTGTTATGCGGATGATCCTAGAGAACCTGATCTCATCGGTGAAACCACCGTAGACCTCACGGAGGTCCTAACTAAAGGAGAGACCGACGGTTAGTACGGACGATCTCTCTGTCGGCTTTCGTTGATGTGTGCGGTCATAGAATGGTTCACGCTCATGCACAAGGAACGATACAGTGGAGAAGTGTATTTGGAACTAACCTTCTGGTCCAACGTCAGTGATGTTCATATCTGCTTAGCGGTACTTCTATAACGTTTTAATAGGCACCACCGCCGAAAAAGAAGTCTGTGCCAAAACCTGTCGCGAACAAGAACCAATACGGTGGCGCTGGATCGTTTGTCCCTGCCGATGAAGCCCCCCCGTCTTCTCCGGAGGGTACTCTGACGCAGAGTGCTGTCTCATCTTGGGCTGTCTCTAGCGAAGGAGCCAGACGCGACTCTGTCCCAGGAGCGCTCAGGCCATCCGGGTCTCTCGCTAAATATGATTTATACGTACCCCCATATGAGCGGATGAATGACCCAAATGGCGGCGAGTACTCTTCTGCAGTGGACCAGATGACAAACGACTTCGCTGAGTTCGGCGTAGAGGGGCACAGAGGAAGAGCCGGCAGTCACCCCGTACGCCACCCGCTTGCTATGTGTTCTTTTGCTAACGTGCCTCCCTGTAAGTCCGTTCGAAATGAATACCCACCCCGGTCCGCTTCTGCAGGGGGTGTTTCTGCGTATGACTCCTTCAGCCACCACTCGCATGGCTTCAACCAAAGCTCCTATTCAGATGGCGGCTCATCGTATTATGACCTGCCTTCTGCTGGATCCGTGCATCCGGGTGATAATCAGAGCACGTTTTCGACCGCGTCGCAACTGCCCACCCCATCGACATATTCGACTCCTTTCGATCCTACGTCGCAGTCAGGCTACCCGCCTTTTCGGGCGCCTCCACGTGCTGGGCCCCGTTACAGCATTCCGAGTTCGTCCTCGGGCTTCATGCCCCTTCCAGCGCCTTCGGGGTTTGTCCCGCTCGCAAGCCACCCATCCGAGCCATCAGGGTTCGGCGCACCTCCGCCTGCGGCCACGCCAATGCCGTCTGGCTTCATGCCCGTGCATACACCCGCGCCTTCGGGGTTCATTCCCTCCGGTCCATCATATCAAGGCCAACCACAACAGGCGTATCCTTACTATCCCTATCCACCTCCGCCAAATTCGGGGCCTCAGCAGTATGCCCCTCAGCCACCTTCATCTGCACCACCGCAGCAGCATCCGCTGCCCCATCCCCCGAACTCCGCCCCTCCACTACCGCATCACTCTCACTCTGCACCTCCTCAACCTTATCCAGGTCACATGCCTGAAGCTCCATCTCCCTCCCATGATCAACCTATACTGCCTCAGAGCACATCCAGTTCACTGAGCACCAATGGGGGATCGAGGCCTCTTCCTCAACAACCCCAGGCATATCCCCCGCCGCAGGCCCCTCCTCGAAGACAGTCATCCCTTCCAGTCCCGCCTCCGCTGCCTCTACAAGGACAGAATCAGAACGCTCTTGCTGTTCTTCAGGCTCAGCCAGCTGGACGCATACCTCCACCCCCACCATTACCCGGTCGCGAGTCTAGTCCACATTCGTATCCTTTCAACGTCCCGCCTCCTCCACCTTTACCGGCTTCTCAACTAGTCAGCAGCAATAGCGCGTCCAGTACATCTAGCTCTGGTCGGCCTCCGCTACCTCAGCCCCCCATTAATTATGGTGGGCAGAACCCTCAACCTATATATCAGCCGATCCCACCACCGCCGCCACCGCCGTCTATGCAAGGAGGTCAACCGCCACAGCCTCCGATAGTACAACCCTATAGTGTTAATACAAGCCAGGCACCGTATCCTGGACCGCCACCAAGGCCTCCCCAGATGAATGGAATGAACTCACAGTGGTCGACACCTGCCGGTCCTCCTCAAACTCACTATTCACCACAGTGGACGGGTGTTGCTCAGCAGTGATCATTAATCCATGCCTCAACTACATATCGACCGTCGCCAATTCCTACAGTACGGACCTGTAGCCATATCTTGTCCTTGGGCTTCATCTTGCTTTGTTCAGATCAATATCTCACGGACTTGCTATTACAGTTTTCGTCGTATCGTGTCCACTGTATGCAATGAATGATACATCCTCACGTATTGTAGCTAATAGGAGAATCCCACCGTCCATATCGAGTACGGCAGTTATAGACTCGTACTGATCAGTAATTCACGAAACGCATCCACGCTCGAAAGCGACTAGACGTACCGGGATTGATCATGCTGGTCGCTTCGAGTGCATGCTCACTTCCCTCTCAGCTTTCCATTTGGCAATCTCCGTTTCGGTTGGGACAAGCCCTCTTCGCGCCAGGTCGAGTCTGGCCTCCCTTCGTAGAGCTGTCTCTTGCATACGCCGGTCCTGTTCATGGGAGAGCAATGCGGTATCGGCGCATACTACCAGGCCGTATATGGTGACTAGAACGAAGACACGGAGATTCAGATACAAGGTTGATACTCTTGCAAACTAGCTCACATGTTGAGACTAGGAAGGCCTTGAAAGGTAAGGTCTGTTTCCTGGGTATTGCAGTCAGTTTGATGGCACTCAGATGGAGTATACAATCAGGGATTGCACCTGAAGACAGGCCAAGAGTAGTGGGCCAAAGTGATAACACCCAACCCTAGGCAAGTGTATCGCAGTGCTCCCTATACGATACGCAAGTCTTATTGAGCGCTATAAGGCGCAGACGGGAGCATACCAGCGTCGCTGCCTGTGCCTGCAGACGGTATGCCCTATCGACATCTTCTCGCCTTCGAGTGCGATCGGTCATACCAGCAGGGATCCGATTCTGCAACGGTTAACGCCATTTGCAGTGCCGCTTACGATAAGCCTGGTGGCCCGAGCAAATTTGGTATGTGGCTTGCTAAATATGGTAGAAATGTATGAGGAGAGATTGTATTCGAACGTATCAAATCATTAGGACTCGATTGTGTGTAACGACAGATGTGCGTAAAATACGCATGAGCCGGACAATAGTGGATGCAAGGGTAGAGAGCGAGAATAATACTATGCGGATCTAACCTAACGGCCGGGTCAGCCTGTAATCTATTGTTGCCAGTTCACTGTCGTCTGAACACACAATGAGGCTGTCAGATCCCTGGAAGGCTACCTGCACGATTTTGCATCCAGGAAAACACGACATCTAATATAATCGAGGTCGTCAGCAACCATGTGGTTCTTTGAATGCTTTCGGAGCTGCGCACCGCCAGTGGAGTTCCCTGTGTATTTCGCAGGTCCCAAAGGCGTACGGTTCCCTCACGGTCGCCACAGGCGAACTTCGACGATCGGATATCACCTATCAACATGCTTTAATACTGGAGAGTATGTCAGACAAGGCTGGTGCACACCTTTAATATATCTTCCGTGCGTATACAGACTGGCGTATCCGAACCTTTGGACAGGTTTCTCCGGCACCAGTCTATGATCACGGATTTCGAATTGCTGCTCCCGATGACCGACCTGCACTCATTGAAATCAGACTAATGAAAAAGGAGACATGAATATTTAGCATTACCTCCAGTAGAGTACAGAAGGGATTCTCCAATTCGTGAACGTGGTATACAGAATTAGATACCTTGATGGTTCTAACCACTCGTTCAGATGACAGATCCCACAAATTAACAGAGCAATCGGCGCTGGCAGTTACTACTTTGTGACTGGTGTCGCGAATGCATACCAATGATTGGACGGCGGAAGTATGCTTGATGTTTAAAAGCGTAGGAGCTGAATAGATCGAAGATGTACCGTTTCGCAGAGACCACACGTGGACCTGGTGATCATAGCTTCCCGTGACAAAATCTTCACCACGGCGCAAAGCGCATACGGCGCTTATACCAGTGCCATGCCTCTTTCCAGGGTCGCTACATGGGCGGGATGGTCTATCCAGCGTGACCGAGTTAGCGGCCTTGACCTTCGTCAGAATATAAAGCGAACAAGGAGAAAGATAGTATCCACCTTGCCTGGAGCGACCTGGATAACAGAAACCTGATGTCGGTCCCTGGCATGTCCCAGAATCATTACCGTGCGATCAGCGGTGTTGAGGATACAAGCATCATCTATTGACTCCCGCCAGGGGTCTTCGGGTATTCGTAGACTTTGTGGAGGTTTACTACAGAAATCAAGTTCGCATGTGCTCAGGTGCATGGTGTGGTTTACCCACCTAGGTTGCGACACGTCAATGGAACAAATGAAACCATGCATGGAGACCGCATAGAGCAACGTGGACTCATGCCCCGTGGTTGGTAAAAGCATGCGGCGGGGTTTATCATGTTGGTGCTTTGGTAAAGCAACGATATCCTGACCGCGGTCTGGTGGGGATCGGACTGAAGCACGGTATCCGGAAATGCTATATCCGCTGGCCGAACTAGAGGACGAAGGGCGTGCCATGAGATGTAGGGGCTTGGACACGTTGTTAGTACTTGCAGCGTGGCAAGTCACCTCTGAAATTGAAGGAGCTGCCATATAGCCATTGTCGCATGTCGCAAGAGGTGGGTGTATTCGTACAGTAGTGGATACAAATCTTGTTGGCACGAATATAGCGCGACAAGAATTTGCACGACTGCACGAAGCTGCTACCTGATTGCTGGCAGGTGTATTATTCCGCCGCTCGACAGACGGCCCGGTGGGCCCTAAGTCTTGCCCCTGCACAGGCTGCGCTGCCGCTTCAATGCTGCAGGTGTCGTCCGTAAGATCAATTATCTCGACGTCTGGAGGAATATCGAATCGGTACTTTTGCGACGATTTCTCCGGACGCGCGGGCAGTGAGGTGGTGTGCACTTCTTTGGTCGAATCCGTACTGATTTCATGAGACGTTGGCCGCGCAGGTGATGCCATACTACTCTCTTCCCTAGAATATATCTGGCCAGTAGGGAGAAGAGCCTCGCCTCCTTCGTTGGCATCGGGCGATTTAAGCCGCGGAGGAGACTCTAGGAGGAATGTGAAAGTTATGCGGTCCTCCATCACAGCATGCCGCAGGAGTTTGGCGCCGTACTGATCCTCCAGATAGTTTTTCTTCTTGTCAATCCACTTCTGGCGGAGACGATTGCAGTTCGGAGCACCCTTCCTACAATGTCCCGGCAGGGGTACAACGAGATCCAAGTACTTTTCTTTGTCACGGGTCTTTGTTTTCGGCTGTGGATGTGACAAAGAACCAGGCATATCCTTTCCCTGCGAGCTATCAGGATTACCCTCTACCTTCTGCCTTTTCGCTGGTCGACCCTCATGGCTAACAAAGAGTGCAGGGTTAGTCCCCCTTCGCGTTTCGCTTTGAGAGTTTTCTCCACTGCGACCGACAGAAAGATCATCAGAGGAATTCACGGGATGTAACTGCTTTAGCGTTCCCCGTGGAGGAAATGGACGACCCCTCCCCCGAGGGCCCTGCGGTGTATGGCGCGCACCAAAGCTGCGAACGGCGGGGACTCCTACGCCTTTCCTCGACGACCGGGCTTCATTGGGCTGAGCATCTTCAGAGAAAACGCCAGACATATAGCCGAACTATAGCGACAAGACAAGACGGAGGGCCGCAACTGTAGATTCGAGACGTTGGTACTGCAGTGGCTGCAATAAGGAGTCCACGTCGGAATATGCCGTCGACGCGTCGGGTTACGAGAGCGCGTCGCGTCTGCGCTTCTGTAAAGTTCAGAACGTTCGCATCTACTGTCTGCGTTCGCTCTGAGGCTTCTCTGATCTGTCACAACTTGCACTCAATCTTGTCTTTACATGAACAATAGTTATACCAGTGCGAGAAGGGACGGGAAACGCCGCTTGGAGCCGGAAAGTCCTTCATGGTCGGGATGGCAAAGCAATTGCAAGAGAAGGAACACGTCTCCAGAGCTTCCGACGAAGCGGGTTCCAGTGTCACCGAATATTCCCAGGTCGTCTTTGAAACCTCCCACCAGGGGTGTCGAGAGGGTCCATCTAAATACGAGAACCGTCGACGATTCGGCATTGAGAGAACTTATCCAGGATGCTAAGGATCGTCTTAGTCAAAATCATAAGAGGGTACAGGGCAAAGAAAAAATTCTGTGAGAGCATAGTCTTCTCTGTATCCATATCCCGTTACTCACCATGCTATTCCTGAATGCACCAGCGCTGATGGAATTACTTTGGACTGGTCGGTACTATCTCAAGTCTGGCATTGCATCGATACTTAAAGTACTACCAGGGTCTTGGACCATGAAAAATTTGAGGAAAAAGATCGCTTCCTGATACCACCAAACACTGCGAAATCAACGATGGCCACAAAGCAGACCACAGACCCTGGTTTTGACCCTGATCATGCCATCGTTATATCGGACTCGGAGGATGATTTCAATGAACTTCCAAATGCTCTTCTGCCTCGCTTTCCCGTAAAGTCTCCTTTTGACTTCCAGGTTGAAGTGTCTGGACAAGCGTGCGTGTCGCAGGACTCTCCCCGACCTTCAGAAGGCTTGACAATGCATGCCTCAAACGACGTGGATAAGGATGCTATAGAAAAGGGCCGGGAGGTTATTAGTATGGCAAACCCATCCTCCCTGCCGTCAGGCAGTGATGTTGCTTCTCGGGAGCAGGTCCTTGGGCATCGGCGGTCTGCCGCGTTAGAGATAGCCGAGACTTTCGTCTCTGCTCCAAGAGGAGCGGAGTTGGATGCTTCGGACGTTGAATCGAGTGGCAGCCGTCGGTGTCCACGGGCTCGGCCTCGCTCCTATGTATCCACAGACACAAGCTCGGATTCCGACAATGAAACTTCTGGGCCCGACGAGGGAACTTATCTAATGCGCCCTCGATCCATTCGCGAATCTACGGCAGAAAGAATTCTTGCCTCAGTCTGCGAGGTCGATGTTCCGAAGGCAAGTCTCGGCAGGCCCATGGCCAGTGGTGGAGGTGTACCACGCCCCCAGGGCGAAGATTCCAGTGACGAATTGTCCTCGGGATCAAGTGACGACGAACGACCGGCAACTTCACGTCGGGACCTCGGAACGAAGCGACATAAGCCTCCACCTCAAGGGAGCAGTTTTAGACCCGAGTCAACTACCATGCGCAAGGCCTCACAGTCCTGCGTTGCGTCGCCACCACCTGACGACGACGAGGGGTCCTCTGTGGTTATTCCGAAAACCAACTTCGCGCGAGCGAGAAGGGTACTCGTCCACAGAAACCTAAACCAACTTATTGTCACCGTCGCCATGAGGGGTGATATCCAGTTTATTCGAGATAAGCGACGGTGCGTCTTCTGAAAACATGAAAGTCGTCCACCGTTAACAGACTCGCATTAGTATCACCGGCTGGTCAATGCCAGCGGATCGACGCAGACTCGTAGAAGATGCCATTGTGGTGGGTGACACCGTCGTCGTTGGGTATTCTTCTGGACCCTCTCAAATATCACTTATGTCACTGCATCCGGCTCTTGAGGTGAGATTACTGGTAATAATTTTATTGTCATATCTTACATCGGTTAGGACAAGAAACCCACGCGAATAGACCTCAATCATGCCGCGCATGATAATGTCGGTCGAATGCGAGGTGATACGACTTGCGATGCTAGAATCAGTTGTCTCAGCGCACTGGCTTCAGATAGGCTGGAATTCCTGAGTGGGGGCTACGACAAGCGGGTGGTTCACTGGACTATCGATGACTCTGAGATTGCAGCAACTGAAGCATTGCCAATATTCCATTCAGGACCCGTGCATGCCCTAGCGTATAATGGCAGGAACAGGGCTGTTTTCTCCTCATCGGGCCGAACCATATATGAGATGAACCTTCACAAGCCCACAAAGACAAGCCCGATCCGCAAGTCGACGCCGGTGCGGCACATTCATGTTCATGCACAGGATCCTAACCTCGTCCTTCTCGAGGTGCGTTGACGGATCTAACGGTCTCAACGAGCCTTCTCAGTTTTCTGGTCGAATTCAGATGAAGGACTTAGACCACCAAATCCAGATTTACGATGTGCGGGTGGGGTCTTTTGATCGGTCACCCTGCCTTAGATTTGGACGAGATGAACATCGTACGGGACATGAGTCGACACGTTATCGGCGGGGAAGCGTTTTTATGAGTTACTTCTGCCTTGGGTACTCCGATGGGAGTATCAATGTATGGGACTTTCGCCACAAAACGGTGCGTGACATTCCCAATATGTCAACTAAGTATTTCATGTACGACGAGCCGGTAGGATGTTACCATTAAGAGCAGAAAGCACCGACCTGCGCCAATAGTGCATACAGCCTTGTTTCAATCCGATGTCCTGGCGTACGGCGGACATATAGTTACGTTTTGGCCGGCGTAGCTAGATTGGTCGCAAGGCCGCTAAGGCAGATAACATCCTGCAATGTATCAAAGCGTCCGTAAGAGCCTCGGCTCCTCCGCGAGATCATTACGTGTAACAGATAATACAAGAGCTGTCAAGACGAGAGTAAAACGCTTCATGCCTTCCACCCACCCAACTCGACCGCAAAAGCAACAGCGAATTTGGAGAAGCGCAGCATGTGGTCGAAACTGAACTCGGCGGATATATCGATACGGCTATCATACGTTATCATCAGCAGGAAACCATAAGTAAATGAAAGGCAACATACTCGTTACTAGTATGGATGTACTTGTTGGTGTTCTCAAAGGCGCTCTCTGTGCAGCAAGTCGGTAAGATGATCGTCTTGCAAATCAGTAATATATGAAGTCCGCACCCGTGCAGAATGAGCTGGCGTAACCAGCCTTACCCCACGAGGCGCTGCGGAGTATCGTTCCTCAGCCATGTGCTTGGAATGTAAAGAACAAACTAGCTCACTGGTCGCTACACGCATACCCGCATTTCGTGGCAACGTAAGGAATTTCGAGGTATGCGTCGACGAGCTTCTTGTTGAACTCGGTAAGGCTATAGAACCATAGGGTGTCAGACTGTCTACTGTATTTGTCGCTTGAGAAGGATAGTACTCAGGGTCTACATAGTCAGTGATTATCCCGAATTCCTCGCTAGTTCCTCGCTTGACCCACGCCGTCATGTCGAGCTGAGAAGCTAGGTCAGCATCGGGCTACCAGGAAATGAAATCGAGACGTCGCTACCTGAGTCATAGCTAGAACATTCCTTGATTGGGCAGCATAATACTGAGCTACGGCCTGGGACCCTAGAAGGCCTCCTTCCTATGTCGTGGGAAATCTCCCTGAACTCCTGGAAATCGTTATACCAAAGGACGGCACACCTCTGCGGAATACCAGTGAAATTCGACAGTGCGAACGGGCCGAAACTCTGCTGCAATGAGGGCCCGATAACTCTCTAGGATAGTCACAGAACCACTGCCATCATCATCGGCACCTGGAGCAGGTAGGAAGGGCCATATGTTTGTGCTCAGGCCCCTTGTCAGCCGGAACTAACATAACGAGAGTAGAAGTCTCTACCTGTCTTGATGGGCGCTGATAATGACTATGTCGTCGTCTTCCACAGAGGAACCATTGATACTGACAATCTAGGACCGACGATGGATAATGTGTCAGAGTGCTTCCTTTCGGGACATACAATCGAGTTCTGTCCCCAGGAATGACTAAATTCGCTGATGCTGATATGCTCCTTGAGTGAATTCGATGCATAGTCGTCCGTAATCTATAGGAGGAACATCTCAGCGATAGATGACCACACCGGGCCCGGGGAAGGTACCTCCGCAATCTTGGACAAGAGCCACTGCTGAGACTGGCGTCCAGTCTAGCATAAAAGGTGTCATATGGCGCAAGAAGACCGTCTATAGTAACGAACGTCACTCCGGTAATCTAGGCTAGACTTGAGTGGTCAAGGAGGGGAACAACGATAGGGAACATACATCTGGTGCGGAAACTGGTGAATTTCGCCAAGTTTTCCTTAGGTCCGGCCGTGGATAGTGTCTTAAGTACGGCCTTGACCTGCTCCGTGGCATTTGGAGAAGGAAACGAGACTGTCAAGGGGCAATATCTCCGTCAGCATAAAGAATGGTCGGGGAGAGGTCAATGTACTCTGTCTCATCAACCTTAAGCTTGCAAGGTTGTCCAAGTCCTGCGATTCCGTACTAGTAAAACAAGAGGACAAATGAATGAGGAGTATGCTCAGAAGAAGCAGGTCGTATCACATGTCGAAGAATCGGATGCCTTGTGCTTTCGCATTGATCTTGTAAACAGGTGAGCCTCGCGACCTCCGCACAGATCAAAGCGGATAAACCTTCTCTAGTTCGGTCATCCAGCGAGGGTTCTGTCCATCCGTTTGCACGAGTCTAAGTTCATTAAGATCCAACTCAATACCAGGGTACTTGTGGTCGCTTCCGGTCAGGGGAAACTGCAGGCGTTCCTGCGCTTTCGCCAGCGGTCCTGCGAGGACGGCAGATGTGCTGGCAATCAAAGCAAGCCAATACTTCATGGAGCTGTAGTTCGATGAATACTTATGAAAGCGACCTTGTAGCTGTAAGCACTGAAGCGGAGGTGATCGGTTTCGGGAGACGCGTCGCTCACGTGCGTTCTTGGGCTGGTTGGCTTTGTTTGCTCCGTGTCCCGCTACACAAGTTTCGCTCTCCCATTCATGCCAGTCTAGCATGTCCAAGGCAGCTCTGAAGGCGCGGGCGCAGGTTGTGGTGAGTTTAATCTTGCATTTGCGATCAATCATTAAACTGATAATCCTGGAAGCGTATCCTTGTGGCAGCGGGGAAAGCTGCACCGACGCCACCTGTTGGTCCTGCTCTTGGTGCCCGTGGAGTAAAATCCATGGATTTTTGCAAGGAGTTCAACGCGCGAACGGCGCACATCGAGCCTGGCGTGCCCACTCCCACCCTGATTACGATACAGCCCGATCGCACATTCTCCTTCATAACGAAAACGCCCCCGACCGCCTATTTCCTCAAGAAAGCGGCTGGGATTGAAAGGGGTACAGGCCGACCCGGTCATGACATAGTGGGTACCGTCAGTCTAAAGCACGTGTACGAGATCGCGAAAATCAAAGCCACGGACGAGCACCTGAAACATCTGCGGCTGGAGGCTATCGCGAGTACGATCGTTGGAACAGCGAGGACTCTCGGGATCCAGGTTGTTCCATGATCCGTCCTGAACCCTGTGCGGGTGCCCGCTTCAGTGCGTGATGTCCCTCTCTCTACTCATGTAGGTACTAAACTGTTGATGTCCAGCGTTGTACAGAAACGGCGTGCCTGATTATGGGTGGTTGTCCCTGTCTGCCGACACTTGAGGACAGAATGCCATATAGGTCAGTAGAGCCTTGGCTCGCCAGTGACTTCGATCCCTGAGACTACTGGTAGTGCATATGTACCTCTGTCATCAGTGCAATGCCAAGGTCTTCGGATTATAATCTCAGAGATGAACGGATTGTAACATCGTATTTGCTGCTGATTGCACCCGGTTTCCCTTTCGGATGGGACGCCCTGTGATTCGGGCAGCGACTGCACGTCCGAAGGTGGCCTCACAAGGTTGGGTTCGTGCAGATGAAATTAAATTCTGTTGTTATACGATCGATAGAGGCAGTCTCCGTACTTTGTGTGCAGTCGTTGCCATCTTCGTTTAGTGGCGTCCCATGGCTTCGCGCCGTCATTGCCTTCTTCGATTCAACGCTACGCCGCCGGGGAGCTCCTTCCCGAGAGTGTATTTCCTGTATGTTCAACTATTCCCTGAACCTCAGCTTATCTCTCACCCCTTGTACTGTGAATGGTATGTACGACACGCTGTGGACACGCTCTGCTCACCTGGGCCGCACACCCGGGTGCACGTTTCCACACTTCTAAGGCGTCCAATGTATCGCGTCCGAACTGCCTAATCAAGTGTACATCAAGTACTTCGTCTACCACATGCATGCCGGCGAAAAACAGGTCTACCCCAGATACCTTTTGTTTTTTTCTAGAGACTATCGTATGGTGGTCACAGAACTGTTATTCCTATAGGCAGCACATGCACTAGCGACAATAGGTGAATCTCAAGTGATCTCTTTCCGAAGGATTATGTTGCATTGACCTTCAGGCTGCTGATGCAGAGAGACCATCCACCTAGTCTTCTCCGCGTCAATCCGCAGATTGGAGGAGAGACAGCGCTTGCGGATCTCCTCGTGTCTGCCTTCGATCATGCCTCGACCCCAAAGCAACAGCGAGCGTTTGCTCCACTGTACAAGGCTTCACAAAAGTCAACTCAACATCACGGATCCTTCTTCATTCCCTCGACACGTTTACACCGTTGTATTTACTCGGGATGTCACCATGGCCACGTTTTCGATCGAACGCTTCCACTCGACATACGGATACAACAATCCTGCTCCGGGTAAAATCCCTATAAAAGGCCATCGAGTTCTGCCAGTTTTCTTCACTCCTCTGCCACCCTGACAGATCCTAACAACCTTACCAACTACCTGAAGATCAACTCGACATGTCTGGCTCCAGCGACATTCTCCTTTGGACCTCCCAAGACCCCCGCGAGAGCCAACTCTTCAACGCCTATGGGGTGACATACCGCTTTCATGTACGGTTTCCAGAACATATCCTCCAACACATGCTGATTCCATTGCCTACAGACCGATATCGCAGCAAGTGGCTTGAATGTCACCACTCTCTGGCGGACGATTCGGCCAGGGAGAGAGGATCGGGTGGCCAAGCTTGAGTGGGCGCCGAATGGCGGCCTAGGTCGGGTCATTATCGGCAAGGTTTGTCCATACTCGCGGGCAATTTTGGCTTTTATCTGACTCGCAATCAGACAACGTTCCCGATGGCAGATCTTGTTCGACCCGATCCCCAAGTACAGGTAAGTTCAAGCCTCGATCAACTTGAGGCATAGGAGTGTTCATGCTGCATTCAGGGTGCGAGGGTATTCAACGGGCCTGACGGTCTCCAGTACCGATGGCGCCCCAACCGCTCTTCTCGAGACATAATCGTGAGTACTCCACCGCCGCCGCCGCAGTTCGACCATGACTGACTCTACCTGTGCCACCAGCTTCAAGACCCGAACGGCATCACGATTGCGCTCTTCCGGCCTGTGACTCCTCAGCGCTATCAGCTCGGGGACGTGTACACGGAGCTGCACTTCCTTCGCACTGCAGGCGCTGGCACGGTGGTACGTTCCTGATCATAGGCACTGAGATTTCTGCATGCTGAATCTGCACTATCGATAGACGCACCCGCCCTTCATGGACTATGTCACGGTGACAGCCACGCTATACCGGTTTGTCATGGCCTTCGGCCTATAATATTTCGAGTGTATCTCGATCCAGGCTCAATATTTCAATATCTTAACTGGCTTAAGATTTATCATCTTAATCGCGCATCTGCATCTTTAACATACCCCACCCATGCATCATTCATAATGGCAATACTCCACATATGTAACCCTTCCACGGTCCCCTCACTATGCCTTATATCTACTCATGATGGTCCTGTGGTATTTCAATGGTTAATTCACTTCCCCATTCAGGGCACGACAATGGCGAACGGTATTCGGTGAAGGCCGTATGATACACGTTCCCGGACCAAACGATACAATCGATGATAATCTGATGTCTGGATTTCCTACAGCTTGGCGCGCTCTCCCTCCACCACATCGAGGATTGTGTCGATAGTACGGATTACCCACTCTGTCCCCTCGTCACTCGACAGCCACTTATCTTCCTCGTTCTGATCTGCGACGTAACGTGCCTTCAGGAGGCCGAACACATGACTGGTGAGCTGCGGGACTACTCTCCCTTCCGCACGAAGGGTGGCAATGCCCACAACGGAGCCCAAAGCACGGCTGAGGTTTCCTTCGATGGCCTCGCCTCCCGGCAAGGGCGACAGAATGGCTCCATAAGCCTGGATAATAAATGCTACATATGGTTCAGTTTAATAGTCGATGACTCCAGGAAGCTCAGATTCCAGATGAAGACGACATGGAGCCAGATCGCTGGAAGATGCAGATTAAACACAGGATGGACTTACTGATGAAATCAGGGTGCAACGATCCTAACTTGTTGTAGAGTTTGACGTCGTGTGGGGCGTAGATCGATTGCCACAGCGCTTTCCCGCGAGCGACGACCTCTTCAATATTTTCCGGGTTGGCTTCTCTAGAATGGAATCGTGAAAAGGCATCAAAATCGGACAAACAACGCGGTCGCTATTCCTGAAAGCCTAAACGGAAAATCGATACCTTATAGAGTGCTTCCGAAGGCCATCTTTGACGTCTTTCTCCATGGCTTCCTGCATGGCAGTCAAGGAAAGAATAACCTAGGGACGTGTATACATTGGATGATCGGAGTTGACTTGGTCATGGCCCATGACTTACTCTAGGTACTCCAACGAAGATCGTGCTCTTCAGCGCAGATTCGCGCATAATAGCGGCCTTCCTGACTGCATCCGACAGGCTAGTCCTTGTCGACTCGTTCGCAGGATCGGTTCTCGTAGCAAACCGATAGAGATGGCTGACGGTCGGAGGAGAGTTGGCGGTCAACAGAGTACACATCTACATGCCCAAGTACGAGCATCGGAACTTAGAAATTGCTTGGATCACAAGTGACTGGATAAGTCGCGCACCGTCAGGACCAGCCACCCAGTCTCGGCGCGTCTCTGTTTGGCATCATTGAAAGTCTTGGAAAGGACTCCCTGCAGCCTTGACAAGGACGGCGGTGGATACGGGTGGGGGTTGCGCAGGGTCAGCAATTGCTTGACCGCAGGAGGCAAGTGGGCGACCATCTTGATTCAATCGACGCGTGCAGATGAACGCCCGGGTGAAGATAGAAAGTGGGAATTCCTCAGCGGTGGATTACACCTGTTCTCCTCGTGAGAAACGCCACAATCAAAAGAGAAACGGAAGCAACCTGCATTCCGAGTGTATAAACAGTCGTCCTCTAAGAAGCAGCAGAACAGCGAACGGAGACCCGTTCTTCCCCGCTGAGGAGATAGTTCGGAGATCGCACGTGGCCTCGCGTGCAAACACAGAGAAGCGCTCCTTTGTCCCGGCTTTGCGAAGACCGTTCTGCCCAAGATTGACTTCCATTCTGCATCTCAGGAGGGACTTCATTTTACGCCCGATTGACCCTAACTTGAAGCTGACGATCACTACTTGCCCATCATTCTGCACAGCACGCAGAGCCGAATGAATTACTTCCGTCACTCCCGTAGAACAGTGACCATTTCTGGTTGCAGAAGGGAAGCGCAGATCGGCCCGACGAGAGCCCCTAGATGACCCCAGATACTATCTCCGTATACCGCGTTACTGGTACGCCCTCCAACAACGACTGCACAACGTGAACAAGGCTCTCGTGTGAGGACCGGAACTTAAGTATATCAACCAGAATCTATCAAGGGTTACGGATCTTATGTTTGACTGGGCCAGTAAGGTTTAGGATATTCACACCTTACGCCATGCTGTAAACTCGGACCATCCACGGCCCAGCGCTCACTGATAGACAATGCGACCGGCATAGAGGGCCCAATCCGATATCGCTGAGGTATAAGTCTGCTGCTTGAGCGGTGATTTTATACCATCATTGACAGAGCTCCTTCCGAGCCTTGAAGGTGCAAGGGGCCTCCCGGGGTTTCGACGCCTCGCCACGAGCATGGCAGATATCCAGGTAGGCTTCCATGGCAGGAGTTTGCACTAAACCGCGGGAGATAGGCACCTCGCAAAGACCTATAAATTTAGGTCAAGCACGTAACCCAACGCACACGACTATCGCGTGGCTTGAGGAACGGATCTACCGTTCTGTGACGCTGCGGAGGCAGGATGGCCATGAATATATTCCATCCGAGCAAGTAGCATGAAGGATGGGAGGCAAGCAGCCATGCTCACCATCCAGGGTCCGACAAGCAGGCAAGGCGTCAACCGTGTTCTGCCTATCGCGTCAGGCGTTATTGCGAGGACCCGCGGGTGACATGACCAAGCAGCACCGGGCCCAGCGAGGAGACCATTTTATTAACATCGTCCCTGCAATAGTCCAAGTATATCGTTGACCGTCCACCAACAAGCATACTTCCTGCAGAAAAAAGGTGCATGCGACTTACCAGTTGCGTCTCCAGCACATGACAGACCTCCTCATGAGACATGAAGACCTGCCCCTGCGGCGTAGATATAATCGTGAACAGGCAAGGAATACTCGCTTGTGGCGAAAAGTTGATTGTACCTGCAAAGTATAGTGGCCATTCTAAAAATCGAGGAGGTTCTCAGTGATATAAAGGCACTGCAGGCACGAGTTCGCAGCACATCCAGCAAGGGACAAGAAACTCCATCACCCCCTTCGCACGCTAGCGTCTCAGGAGGATACAGGAACCGCGTCGTCGCTGAGGCCAACGTAAACAAGCCCTTTGATGCCGGACAACCTACGCATTGTCCTGGCTTGCTAACAGGCGTTGAATGTTCACCAGTCTGCGCGATGAGTGTTTCAAGCATACAGGCATCTCAATGGAACATATCTGGCCACCTTTCCCCACAGATCGTTTCGACTTGCATTTATGCAGTGGGCACATATGGGCTGCACCAAGCATCTGGGTATTTTCAGCAACACGGTACGCAGACTTCGCTGTGAAAATATCTGCATGAGCCATCACCCATCATCCATCGCAACAAACTTATCACCTCGTCATGATGGACCTGTAGTGAATCTAGTGATGAACTTCCAGAGAATCCTGAAAGTAAGTCAGAAGACCTAACCCGACGCACTCCGCCACACAGTGCCATCAAAGGCTGCTTCTATCAATCACCCGACACTGGGCCGACAGCATGCATATGGCTCCCGAGATACCATTGTTACAGGACACAATGCTGTCTGTTCTGCTCTGCTCTACCTTTGTACAACCAGCACTGAATGCAACCAACTTCTTAATCAACATTGGATTACGCACAAGAGCTACATCGCCCATGGCATATATCAAGAACAGTTATAACGTGGATAGTGATCGAGATAAGGAAGACAAGCACGACCAGCGCCCGACCTGCAGGCAGAAACCGCCCGCAGGACGGGGTGCTAAAAAGACAAGAAAGTACGGGTATATGGCATGGCGGAATCCTCCAGTACAACGGCAGCGGACGTGAGACGGCAACTAAGTCTAACGTGACATTCTAAGCGTTAATGAACTGGTAGCCCAGTTGCGTGGGTCCACCGCTGGACGCCATGAGCTGGTTGCCGACGTTGACACCCTGCATGTCATGCATGGCACCTAGAGAGATGAAAGTCAGACAGCTGGCGACGGTGTTTGAGCAGACGTCTACTCACCGAACCACATGTAGGCCTGAACGTAATCGGCACCGTCCATGAAGTTCGTCGTCTGGGCCATGAAGGAGGCGATCTCACTGTCGGAGCACTGAGCACCGCCATTGAAGTTCTAGAACGAATCACGCATGAGCAAACGTTGCACGGCAACAGCGATGACACTCAGCTCACCTGGCAAGCGTACTCGGTGACCCAGATGGGGAGGTTGAAGGTGTTGTGGAAGTCCTCAACGTACGCGATGAACGCGTCGGCGCTCACATCATACCAGTGCATGGCAAGAGCGTCAAACTGTAGACAGGTGTCAGACATGCGAGTAGCTAGATGGCTGTCTACGTACGTGACAGGTGTCGCAGGCCTTGAAGAAGTCCTGCATCCAGGTCTTGCCGGCAGGGGCAGAAGTGACAGCCGGGGAAATCAGCTTGTAACCCTGGGACTTCAGGGGGTCAATGTACTGCTTCCAGAGGTCAGCGGCGTGCTGGGGGGTCATGTTGGACTGGCCAGCCTGGTCGGGCCTGGCGGGTTACAAGTTAACTCCTACTCCAGATCTACGAACAGTGTCACGCACTCGTTGAAGCCCAAGACGTAGTTGGCATAGCCCTGCACGACCTTCTCCTGGAACTCCTGGACTTGGTTGTCACCCCAGAGCATGGGGACGACCTCGAAGCCGAGTTCGCGCGCATTGTCGGGGATGTCGGGGCTCCAAGTGTACAACCTGCAGAACAAGCTTGAGATTTTCGCTCTTCCACGTTAGAAGAGTCACTTACCACTTGACCTTGTCCGTCTTGTAGTTCTTCAGGGAGTCGTCAGCGCCGTTGGGCCAGGCCAGACCGACCTTGCCCGAGCCGGTGTTGCCGCTGCTGGTGTAAGTGGCCGAAGGGGCGGGGGCTGCGGAAGTGCTGGCAGGCTGATTGTTTGCGGGAGCGTCGGACGTGGGAGCAGGCGCCTGGCTGCTGGAGGGGGCGGGATCGGAGCTGGAAGACGGAGCAGGAGCGGCGCTGCTGGAGGGCCGGGCCTTGCAACGCTTGCTAGCAGCGTTGTCGCGCTTCCTCCTGGCGAGCCCATCGTGGCCGTGGGCAGCGCTGCGGGCAATGTGGTGGCGGTCGGTGGCGAGCGCGTTAGCGGGAGTCGCGCCGAACGAGCATGCAAGGATAGCGAGGGACGAGATGGCAAGAAGGTTCAGCAGTTTGATGGCGGCCATGGCTGCAAAAATAGGGATGGGCCGTGTGCGTCGAAAGGGAACCGATTGACAAGGAGCGGGAGAGCAAATGAGTGTGGGGGCCCTGAGGAGGAGGAGGAGAGGCGCAGGGATGCTGGTCGTGGTTGAAGAGGAAAAACTGATAAATAGGGTCAGAAGACGCCTTATATAAGCTGTCGTCGCCAAGACGTCTGGGGCCGGCTTCCCTGCACGGACCCTGCCAACTGCCAGCGCGCGTGCTCGTCCAAGGCCTCTGTTGCCCGCGCTGGGGACGGTGTGGACGCTATGCAGCGAAGGGTGTGCAGCTGCCCTGTTGGAAGCGCAAAGGAAAGCGCAGCGCAATTGCACTCGATGTATACCAACTTTGTTACTCAACATAGCTACATACTGTATGTTTTACACTTGCATTCCATGACGACTGCACGGTCTGGGTCAATCACTGCGGAGTTTGGACTCTGAATCCAAAAAGGAACCAGCCACGCCTCACACTTTTTCTCCCAACCATCAAGTCAAGCTACAGGAAACGGTTCATCGAGTCCGCGCTCTCGTTCGTCAACGCATCACCCTCCAGTCCCACCGCTCAAAATGTCTGACGCCCCCGCCGCCCCTGTCACCGAAAACGGCGTGCCTCCGGCTACCCAGGACAAAGTCCAGGAAGAGGTTCCTGGCTTCAAGGTACGCGTTCTTCTCCTATTCTCGCGTGCCGCCCTCACCGCGACCCCCAGGTCTTTGCGGGTAATCTGTCCTATTCCACCACGGATGAAGGGCTGAGGACATTCTTCGCGCCGGTTGAGAGCGAGATGTACGTCCCCGTTTCCCGCCAATGTGCTGGCACTAGCATAGCCTCGCCACCTGGCCCGTTCACGTAATTAACAAACACTCCCTCTGCAGCATCACGGCCCATGTCATCCTTCGGGGGACGCGTTCGAAGGGGTACGGGTTCGTCTCGCTCAGCACCGCCGAAGCCGCGCAGAAGGCTGTCGAGCTTCTCAACCAGAAAGAGCTTGATGGCCGCGCTGTGATCGTCGAGGTGGCCAAACCGGCCGGTGAGAAAGATCAGGAAAAGAAAGAGAAGAAGAGGCGTGTGGGCAGGCGCGGATCCAAGGCTCCCCGTGGCGAGGTCACGGACGCCGAGGCCAACGGCGAGACCACCGAAAAAGCTGAAGGCTCTCCCGGCGAGACTACTGACGCGGCCAAGCCTAAGAAAAAGAAGAAGGTCAACGTGAGTATATGCTAATGCGTTGTAACTCCAGAGGCTCACTCTTTCGCATATATAGCGCAAGAAGCGCGCTGCCAAGAAGGCCGCTGCTGCTGCCGATGGCGAGGCTACCTCTGGCGCGGAGGGCGCTGCTCCCGCGGAGGGTGAGGCCGTCAAGAAGCAGCCGAAGCCCAAAAAGGTTAGGACCCCTCGCCCCCGTCGTGCCCCTGGCGAGGAGCCCACCGGCGAGCCCTCGAAGAACATGCTCTTCGTCGCCAACCTCGGATTCAACGTCGGCGACGATGAACTCGCCAACCTGTTCAAGGAGGCGGGCATCAACGTCCTCTCCGCTCGCATCATCCGCAAGCGGCGAAAGAGCCAGGGCTACGGCTTCGTCGACGTTGGCAACGAGGACGAGCAGAAGAAGGCGATCGAGGCTCTCAATGGCAAGGAGGTGGGCGGCAGGGCGATCGCCGTCAAGGTCGCGGTCAACTCCCCCCCTCCGCAAGAAACGGAAGGCGAACAGTCAGAGAACGCTCCCACGGCCGATGCACCTGCTGTTGAGGCTGCTACCGCCGGGGATGCTACTCCCGAGGCGACCGTCATTGCCTCTTAAATGATCAAGAAATCCAGTTCATAGCACCCAAATGACCCCGCTCTGCTCATATCTCTGACTTAATGGTCCCCTATTGCTGCGCTTCCTGTTTATTCTTCCTAGCGTCTTGTGGACTTTACTGTCTCACACCGTTACGCTACTTTACGTCCCTTCCGTGACCGCTCTCGCCAATTAGTGAGCGGACTGGTGCCGTTTTCTTAGTTGGCAACTTGTTGTGTATCGCTTGCTCCCTAATGAAGCGATTTCGTTTTTTTCTTTTTCCGTTCACGTACGTTACGAGAATTCATGAATGACCAGGTTTAATGGATAGTGTGGCTGTGGCAGCCAGTGTCATTTGAGCTGCGATCTAAATTTAGCACCAATCGACGCGTTCAATCCGACATGGCTGAAGACGAAGACGACTACCTGTCGGACAAGTTCCTCGCTGACCTTAATGCTGCCTCGTCGTCGGAACCCAAGACTTACTCTGCGAGGCGTAAGGAGGCAGAGAAGAAGGCGAAGTTAAAGCAAGAGCAGAATCGCATCAAGAGCCGCCGTCAGCTGGAGCTCGAGTCTCGGGAGGCGGGCTTGAGCAAGAGCCTGTTCGAGCGAGCGAAGGAGGAGGAGGCGACTGTCGGGAAAGGAAACAAGGCGCTGGCTATGATGATGAAGATGGGGTTCAAGCCCGGCCAGTCGCTCGGACAGGTGCATGATGAGCCCGCACCGGAGGCAGCATCTGTAACTCCGGAACGCGCTGTTTCCAGTACGCCAGAAGTGGAGGTGAAAGAGAGCTCGGCAGAACCATCGAGAGATGGTACGCCTTTTGAGTCTATGACCAGAGGCTTGGGCTCTGGTATCAAACACAGGACGGAGCCGCTACCTCTGAATGAGTGGGCTGGTAGGTGCAGTGACCGATACGGAGCTATCGTGATATGGTACTCATATACGTTTCCTAGGGAAGAAGGGTATTGGCTCACTGAAGCGTGGCCCGTCTCCCTCGTCATTGGAGAGAATGGCGAAGATGGCTAAGACTACTGAGGCGGTCGATCAAGATACCTTTCGCAGCCGCGCGAGGGAAGATTACTTGGAACGACGGGCTGAAGGTCGCTTAGCTCCCGCTCAAGCCACTTGCGTGAGCCTTGACGAGAAGGCAGGCAAGGCTGTGAGTTGATCCCCTCTGACACCCTGCTGTTGCTCACGTACCCAACCAAGTTCAACGTCTTGTGGCTGAATCCCAACAACCCCGACGCCTTCCCGGAGGAACTCATGAATGCACTGCCGGAGGAGCCGGTGGTCGCAAAGACGCGTCGGCGACAAGAGCAGGAGACCATCGAGGCCCGTTTGCGCAAGCAAATGAAGGCCGATGCGCTGCAGCCTTTGTCTCCCGAAGATGACTCTCCTTCTAAAGTGGCAGAAAGGGATCAGGCGCAGCTAACGCCGGAGCAGTTAGAAGAAGCTGTCAAGTTCTTGAGCCAGAGTGTACGCTGCTCGTTTATTCCCATTGCTTGATGCCTTTGCTGACAGTATTCCACAGGCTCAGCAGCGGCTGGCGGCAGTTTTGTCATATTTGCGATCCGAATACTCGTACTGTTTCTGGTGCGGGTGCCAGTACAATGACGCCGAAGATTTGCAGCAGAACTGCCCCGGCGAGAACGAGGAAGATCACGACTGAATTTGTATCTATAGTACGCCTGCGTGTATCCCTAATGTTTCACCCCTTTTCGTAATGATATCAGGATGTCCTCAATTCGCAACGACGAGGTAGGTATCATTTGTAGCAAAAATACAGTGAGCCGTTGGATTCTACAGAAAAGCCAGTCGAAGAACGAAAGGATTGCGCCGAACGCGCATGCGCCGTGCAGGAGATTTCACCCGTGAAAGTGATCCAGAAAACAAAGTCCTGAGTTCCTTGGTCCAAGTGAGCGACGAATAGTTTACGAAATAAAACAGACGGTGAGTCCATATCTCATGCAACCGGAGTGACATGCTGATTATGGTGTACAGCCAGATGGGCGCCAGGCCGGTGCCACTCTAGCGGTCGGGGTGAGACGGAATCTGAGCGTGACGTCGCCGGGTGGTCTGATGACGTTGGTGAGTAGGAATATGGCATTGGCGGAAGAGGGGGAATTGACGGAAGGGAAACAGGAGCGGATGGGTCAGCAGGAGGGGTTCTGACGGAGCGATGGGGAAAGTCGGGAGATGTAGGGGATGCGCATGGCGTCTTTCGACGCACGAATGTCGATATCGGCGTGCCAGCGATTGTCTCTGCGTGCAGAGTCGATGCCCTACGTCTCGACTTCTCTTTGAGGTCGAGATTGGACGGCCTGGAACGGACGGCGGTAGCGGCAAGACGCGGGGATGTTGACACGGGCTGATCGTATGTTTCAATACCTGTGTCAGAGCGCATGGCTAGGTTGACTTACACGTCCAAGGCCCGTTCCTTCCAATCCGTCATTGAAAGGCGCGGGAACACTTCGGTTCCTCACATGCGACTAATTGACTCGTCAGTACGGCACGATCATCCCGGAAGGCAGCACTTACAATGCGGGGTGAATACGGAGCGAACCTGCGAACGTATTGGCCTCGGATGAAGCAAGACTCCTCTAGGTCTGAGTTCTTTAAATAAGGAGCGTCATGATCTGACATGACTATCGAAGGCGCGGTTTGGAACGAAGCAGGTCCACTCAAGGACCGTGGAGGGTTGGGGGTTGGGGCGACTGAGGAGGGGGGCCGTAATGAGCGAGGACAAGAGGGGTCGGAGCCGCGATCGAGGGTGTTATCCAGACCCAGGGACGCCATGAGCTCAACGAAGGAGGGAAGGGTAGTCATCTTCGCAGAAGAACAGGCAGGGTCTGGTCAAGCCTAAGCTTGAGATAACACATTTCATTAGAGAGCTGTTATAAGAGCAACAGGTGCCTAGCAATATCTCCGACGTTAGCGTGCGTTGTCAAGTCACTGCATCCATTGTCAGGGAAAGGAACGGTGGAACGTTCTTCACTTGTCTTGCGACCGGTAGCTCAGCGATGTACACTGTGGAGGACAATCAAATAGTGGTTGGCAAGGTGATGGCCTGCATTGGGAAACTGGCCGAGACGGCTTGGCCCCCGTTGCATGACCGACGGCTCGAGGCTATGTACACAAGCACCTACGGATCTACCAGTCCCCTCTCGCTTGTGCGTGGACAGATCAAAATTGCGCCAGCTATGTACAACTATAAGAGGAGTTGGGCGAGTCCCAGGATTTGTCGATTGACATCTGATGTCGCGGATACGGCTTCCATGCCCAATGTAAGGTATGATTAGATCTCTACAAGCGGTTACCTGCCATATCCTTCACTAGCAAGTCCAGAGATCCGCAGGTCGCGCAGCATTCCCCATCTGCTTGTTACCAAGATAGCAAGGGCCTGCCGGTTAGTTCATACAACCTCTAGTATAGCTTCAGCCCCCGGGCCTGGGGCGATTTGTAGAGAGAGTAAACTGGAGAACCCATTCTATTTCTGAGCGTATGGGAATCGGTCAGGATGTGGCACCGTTGCCAACTCAGCTCTTCGCAACGAACCCATTAGAGCGCTCAGAAAGCGGGTCCACTAGAATAGACTCCTAGGGTATATCCATGGACAAGGAGTCCGAGGAAGGGCAACAATCAGATGCAGCATGTTGTATGATAGGTCCGTAGACATGTCGTAGCAGGTACCACGCGACGCGCGCGGACGTGAACTCCAGCCACCATCAATTACAGCCACGTGCGCCTCTCTTTTCCTGTCACCATGAACCAGTCTCAGCAGCCCGGGCAGAACGCAAATCCTGGTTCGGCAGCCGGTGGAGGCTTTGGCCAGCCAAGACAAGAGATGGAGTATATCTGTGCGGGTGGGTATCAGCTAGAACTTCGCAATCCAGACGTTCCCTGAGTTCATGACAGACTGCGGTGCGAAGAACGAGATCAAGTCAAGAGAGCCTATCCGCTGCCGTGAATGCGGACACCGTATCATGTACAAGAAGAGAACGAAGCGAAGTACGTTTGAACCTCAGCCGTGGCACCTTTGTATCTTACCTCTCTGATTGACAGTGGTGCAATTCGAGGCCCGCTGACAGTGACACAGGCATTCTGGAGCTGTCCGGATGCGTCCCGTGTGCCATGGACGCTTCCACGCCATACCCCAAGATCACCCAACAGGCCATGCTATCGCAGCTCAGGAGAGAAGCACGCTTGCTATGATATCTCGTATCTTCCTGTCAGACTGCTGAAAAGTACTGTATCAATAATACCTGTGTATTTTATTGTCGTTATCATCGTTGTCTCACTGTGGAATCGGAATTATATGTGAAATAAGATACATGCAAGATATGTGGAGTAAGCTATCACGACGAAAGGATTGCGGTTCCGGTTCATGTTCACCACCGCCCGAGCTGTCTGATCCAAAGATGTAGCAAGCACGTAACCACCAGGTGATCAAGGATAGCTTCGGCGCTGGGAACAACGCACAGCGTGAGCTCAGATTGTGCCCATGTTGCAACTGTCCTCCCACGGGAATCTACACACTATCGAACGTGAGTCAGCAGCTGTATACAACCGTCACCGAAGCAATTACTCACAAATAGGTCAATATTGTTCTCGGCGATTTTCCACTTGTACTCTGATCCGCCGGCCTTGAAACGACGCGACCTGTAAGATGTGTGGGCTCCATACGAAGCAATATGATGACCTGTATTGATAATACTCACTTGCTGGAAGATTTCTTCGCCCTACGCAAGTCACGGATATTGACCTACCCAAGCTAGAGGATCAGTAGAACAGCCACGGGTGGCTGCACTAGTCACTCACATCGTCGATGCCGAAAGTCACGGTCGCGTTGGAATTCGAGGTCCAGTCTATCTGGCCGGCCGAATCCCATACGTTGGTGGTTAGGTTCCTACGCTGGAAAGTCGTCACGCCGCTCGATAGACCGGTAAGAGGGTGGTAGAACTGCGTCAGATGTTAGCTATCCGGTACAGTGTGCAAGGGAAATACGCTGACGAACTCGGTATAATTCCGCCACATCTGAGGAGTCACCAATGACATGGTATACTCGGAATGTACGTATGTCTGAATTGGAGCCCGAAGGCGGATATTGAAATCGGAGGACGATGTTGCCAGAGGACATTGTGGCAAAATACAACAAAGGGGGGAGCCTATCCACGCGCGTTCATCGCTTTGTCATTTATGGGCCAGATGCGAGTCTCGGGATGACTGCTGCCGACTTAAACCAGATGCAAGTGCAAAGTACTGCAAGGTGGAGTGGGAACAGACCCAAGGTGGGCAGACCAGGTCGAAATCCTCGTCTATCTGTTGATCCGAGCAAGCAGAGTTCGGGCAGCACCAGGGCGGCCGATCGATGCTCTTCCGGTAAGATCTCTCTGCGGATCTGTCTTCAACGCCTGCACGTTGCGTCTGAGTCCAGCAAAAGGAGCGCGGACTTCCCCGGCAGCACGACCCGACGGAGACCATTCCGGAAGGGCGTGCCGAACGTAGGTGTCCTGCATGGTGTCGTCGATTTGGGTACAAAGGAGAAGAAGGCTCTGCGTAGCGGACGTACCGGGGTTATGTCGGCCTATGACCTATCACTGTCCCTTCCTTCATGTTACATGACGGCTGTGCTGGCAGCTGGAGGTACAGGAGTAGCAGTGGTGAGTATAGTTGGACAAGGTTTGCCTTATCCATCGATCTCGAAATTGCCAGCATTCGCGGAATATAATTAGACCCCACCTCGCTCGTATTTACCTTGTTCGGCAGGCTGGTGAGGAGAACAAACCAGACTCGCATGCTGGTATAGGCCTTGCGGCCAAAATACTAGAAGATGGACACCGGCGGCACTTGCCTTGCTCACATGGCTGGATCCCGCACATTCCAGGGCAAATCTGTCGGCCCAAAACGAGAGCGAGGAACAACCAGCGGAGGGACAGACCGTGGAGGTTGGGCAATGCTTAGTTCCTCGAAACAGGGCAATTGGCACACCGCGAAAGCGTTGATGAGGAAATGCGATCACCAGAGGATGTGGAGGCGCGTAGGAGATCTGGAAGGCTTTTGACGACGGGCATATGACTTTTAGTACAAAAGATCGACGGTAAGGCCCGTATCATAATTCAGCTTCGATACGCTATAGTCAAAAACCGTGGACCTACCGGTACATAGTATTGATCTGTGCAGTGATTGCGAGGTGATAAATACATGTGAAACATGATCATGATATTCAAAGGCAAAATCAGGCGTGTATTCGTAAGGAGCCTCTCTGCTGGTTGTTCTTCCAGTGTTCCCCAACCCCCTTGTTCAGAAACGATACGTTGACAACTTACGATCCATCAATACTTCAAGTTAGCGTTCAGGTGGCATCGGACCTCGGGACGGGCGTAGCCGAGAAGTCGGTCGGACAGCAATGCTTCGATTAGCGTATCAGTATTGGTAAGCACATTGATGCCGGGTGGCCCCGCAAGCGGCGGCAGCTTGGGACACAACCATAACGTTGTTTGGTTTGACTTTCTGAAGACATATTGCACGTCTGTTCAGTCCGAATCGAGGAAGTCGAAGCGGTAGTCTCCGAGCTGCACGATGAGTCTGAGAGACAGGAGTGTTTCGCATGATCTGGAGGTGAGTAGCATAGCACACTATTCCGAGGGTTGTTAATCCAAGCTCGGAGTCATGTTAGGAATCCGATGTTTCCTCTCCTATGGACAATCTCGACGGTGCAAGCAACCAAGGGAGTAAACCAGGCCGGAAGAAAAACCCCAAGTGCGTTGATATCCCAGCAAACGTAACCATGATTATGCCTAAAACTGCACCCGCGACCATAGCTCGCAGGCGGCCCGCCGAGACCAAAACAGAATAGCCCAGCGAGAGTTTCGTCTACGCAAACAGCAACGTGTTAGCTCTAAGTTCTCGGCGTTCCCAATGTACCTTCCATTAACAGGACTGCTAGATACGAGACCTTGAGGCTCGGGTCGAAATTCTATCAGGCGGCAAAGATGAGGCACTGTCTGAGATGAGGGAAATATTGAAAGGCGAGTGCTATGTCAGTTTACAGTGCCCCCGTTCCTGTTAATTCTGCAGCGCCTCACGTGCATAGATTTGATGCACGAGAATCAAGTATTGCGCAACCTCCTCAAGAACCTCAGTTCCTTCATTGGTGAAGGAGCGGGTGGCCTTCTACCGAAGCTAGGATGGGACCTTGCGGATTTCAACAACTTCATAAACAAAGCAGAGACTGATACAGCTTGGGAGAGTCATCAGAGGCGTAAAAAGGCACGGCAAGAGTTCGATCCGTTGTCTTCTCATCCCAACCTTACAGCGCAGAAGCGTCCGATCGAGGAAGAGGACAACCAGTCTGCTGCTAAGCGGTCCAAATCGGCAGCGGACGACAGAGAGAATGACCGTAACGGATATGCTATGCTAAACTCCATCACAGCCGGGATCAGCCCTCTTCCCGCCTCATACGCAGCGGAGTCAAGGCCCTCTGCCGACACCAGTTTCTTCTCAGAGCTCATACGGGGAACAGGGCGTTCGCCGATGTTTGCATCTCAGACGACGACCCCATCAAACAATACGCCCAGCCAGTATCCTACGGCATCGACGTCGACTATACCGACGGCTAGCAGCTCTTTCCAGAACCCCTATCTCCCTCCTATAAATATGAACATGGACGCTACGTTGCCGTCGCTTCAGTTCATGGCTAACCCTGCTGTACCACCGCAACAGCAGAATGTGCGAGCGGGTCACACTCCGGATGAAGATGCAGCTGATGACGATCCGAAAAGGAACGAGGCACATAAACTCATACAGTACGCATCTTAGGTCCACATGCTTTGGTGCTTATATTTATGACCTGTTCCCAGCTATCATCTCGATAATTTCAAGCGGAATTCTGCCTATTGTTTACCATCATCGTTGCGACCTACGTTAGTCCAGAAGTATGTTCCTCGTCGGCTTTCTCTTTCCTCCGTATTCCAACTGATCTTTTTACGCCTCCCTAGGACTGTTCCTCACGGTTTGTACCACCTTCGACGCGGGTTGTGACCTGATATTGACAGTACGCGCAGAGAGCGCCATTGACAGGATACCCCATCCCGAACTTCGGGATCGTATGATTCTACTACGCGGTACGCCTGTCTCCCTTGATACTGTTCGGACATACCTTGAGTTTGCCGGGTAGGCCGATATGATCTCGTTGACTGTCTTCACGAGTATCGAGCGGCAGTCACAATACACGGGGATGATGTCCTTGCCCATACTAATTGGGAGATTGGAGAGAATTGGTTAAGACGTTACGGGTGCGCCGTGATGTCTCTCCGCTGCGGTGTTTAGCTGATCTAATCATGATTCAGTTACCTCGTCGATCAGGCCACGCTCAATGTCTGCAATAGGTGGAGGCGAGATCGAGGTGAACACGAACTGCGTCTTGCGGACTTGGGTCCTGCGGACCAGCAATCTGGATCGGTATAGGGTACTGTAGGGATTCTGACACTGTTTCTCTGGCCAGGGCATTTAGCTGTATCTTCCTCACATTGATTATACTTGTCATGGCTGTATTACTTCACTCTCATAATACAGAGCTCCGCCTATGGGTTGTGGAAGGGGCCACGCCCACAATTATGGATAATCTCGTAGCAACCTCGCAAGTGGATACTATGATTTAAACAATCAGGACCTTCCGAGCAAGCAGAGGAACTGCCGTGCTCACAGGTTCGCCGTTCCATTGAAGTTAGATTACCAGGAAGCTTTGCGGACACCTGGCAATTCTCCATTCAGAGCTTTCAGTCGGAATTGGAACTACAGCGGATTAGTATCGGGGGCCGAGGAAGATGAATGCGTCAACTTACCCGACAGAGACCGAATTCACTCATGATGCCTCTACCGCGCCCACTCTCTATGCACCGGTTCTTCACCGTCGTGGGGCGAGTGTACTTGCCAAAAGTATTTAACTGCAGCTGAGCCTGATGTCGGACCTGCGGGGGCTGCCTTTGGTCCCGTGCGACATAGAGATATGCCCTTCGTAGAAGTTCGTTCTGTAAGACACCCTGACGGGCCTTTATGTCCCGCAAGACCCGGGCATTGGGCATAGTGGTAGTGGACGAAGATAGCTGACAGCTGGTGGCGAATCAAACAAGGGCAATTCTATCGGTAAGAACCGGTGGCGAGGAACCTGCACCGACGCCTGCGCTTCTTTTGCGCAACTACAACAGTCCACATTCGACACAAGCCGACCGTGAGTTGGCTGGACATGGTTTGGCAGGTTCGCAGTAAGTATTCTATCGCGTAATGATGTGCTCCGACGCTGATACTAAAGATGGGGGACTCCAGTAACACCATGATTGCTGCTCGGAGTCTACGCCTCAGCCCCCTCCAGCGTCGGAAGTTCATCTCATCCCTATTCGGTCTTACATTCTTTGCCACCATATTCACCGTGTCTGCTTCATCCATGCTGCCATGTCCAGCTCACATTGAGAGGGGTCGGTTTGCGGACGGAGAGTCGGAGGAGTACAAGGGGAAGTCGCGGATAGTTATCGAGAAGAGGCCGAGAAGATGGATAGAAGAGAGTAAACCTCAGTAATGTTATCAACTCAAGTGCTCTGATTAATTGCGATTACTTCTCACTGCGTTTGGCGTATCCTGCATGCCTGAGGGCCGGAGCCATAAGGGTCTCACTTGCTTAGGAGTGATCTCACGAATTGATCTCCACGGTGAATGTCTAGTATTGTGGCCTCGTATAACAGCAAAATAATATAGATATCGAGATAAATATCAATCCTCTAAAGAAGACGATCCGTTTCTATGAGCATTGTTCCGATACTGCTCTTCCTGCTCCTCGATGGTTCCCCTATTCCCAAACGGTAAGTCACGAACATTCACCTAACATCAAAAGGCTACGCACGGCAAGGGGTTCTCTTGGATAGGCAAGCAGCAGATGAAAGTGAGAATGTTCATCGCCAATTGACAGAGAAACACCACTTCTAGGGCGTCGCGGTATGAACTAATAGCTGCTGTGCGCAGGTCATCCGGTAAGCTTGGGATGATGTTTACCGAATGGCTATGGTCGTGTAAGGATATCATACGGGATGAAACAGGAAGGAATTACCGGATGTCCTCGATGATCTGAGGGGGCTCATCAGCGACTTTCAGGGAGTATGGACATTGATGCAGACCTCTAATGCATTGGGCCCATGGATCCTCATCCTCAGCTTGGCTACAAGTACGGCTTGCAAGATTGCACCGCTGCAACTTACGCCGATGACTTGACCCGTGGTTCTAAACAGATAGGTAACTAAGAGACTGGTCAGCGACTCCACCCCGAGTTCGAGAATGAACCCTCCTTACTTCCAGTTGCGACGGCCATATCCTCTTTAACTACTCCGGCAATCATAGCCTACATCACACGGTAGGTGAATAAACACATTGGGAGGTCGCGACAGTCCCAGACTCACGATTAATGTACTGGTGATGAGACTAGCCATTCCAAAACCTTGCGGTACAATATCCAGCCACAAGTGAAACTCTGACGACTGGTCGTTCCATAGACAGACCAGAGCACTGGCCAGGATAGCAGAGCCCGCGGAAGCCAACGTCAGATAATAAAGTTTTCCGGTCTTTCGCATGATCCTGGTACCCTCATGTGAGAATTTAATATTTCATGGGAACAACCGACTTACCATCCCGCAAACACACTTCCGGTAGATAAAGCAACCTAGCAGGAGATGAGCATTAAGTAGCCAAAAAAGTGGATACCATTACCGAGTGTGGTAATAAATGGAGTCCTGGAAGGAAGTGTCAGAACAGATCCAGCTACTTGAGCACGCATGCGTACCAGCCTCCGTAGATGAGTTCAATCTCACGGCTGAGAAATACTATAGCTTTCATTAATTTATTTAATCATCACCGATTGTCTTGGCCGTAGCGTACCAATGGGATGTTATACAACTGTGACAGATAGAGTTAGCCGGTAGATGCATGATTTGCGGGGGGAAGACTGTACCATTGAGAATGCACCAACACTTCCAAAGAAATTCGACAAGGATACAGCCAAAGGCGTTCTCTGCGTGATTAACCGCAGAGGCATGATGGGGTATTGAGACCAATAATGTTCTACTAATACAAATGAAACGCAGAATACCGCGCTGACGACGAAGAGGCCCCAAATAAGCGGATCAGACCACGGCAGCTCTTCCGTCGATTTGAGACTAAAGCCTAATAGCAGGCAGCCGACGGTGCCGACGAGTGTGAAGGACCCGCAAAAGTCTATCCGTTTGAGTTTTGCGGAGGTGCTCTGGTTCTGGACGTCGAAGGGTAGCTTGATCTTGACTTTGAGTGTGACAAGGAGGACGGAGAAGACCAGGATGGGCATCTGGATGTCACGGGCGTTATGGATGGGTATTTCCGTGCCATCAGTGTCTTGGCTTACCTGCAGAAGGAATGCAGATCTCCTGGTGACCGATCGTTCAGTGTCAAGATCGGGATCATAAACATTGCTACGAACCACCCGAAAGCGTCATTCAAGTACCCACCGAGCGGACCTCCGAGACCTGCTCCCAGACCGAATAAACTACGTGGTATAAGGTACGAAGTGAGCCAGATATGGGTGTAACGCTTACATATTACACATCCCCTGGTATAGGCCGCGTTGTTTTCTACGTCACGATAGTGATTTGTATTATTCCAGAGTGACGGGACGGCCGAGCGAGACTTACAGTGGGATCAGGTCAGTGACAGCCACGCTTGACACTAGGCAGATCTGTGTTAGGATGCAGGCCTACAAAGAGGGAATATATGTACCTGTCATCACTCTATTGAGGACAAGGTTAACTGCAAATCATTCCAGAGACACGGCGCCGGTAACTTACCCCCCACCGCCCATTCCAGCGATAGCGCGGGCAGCGATCAACATTTCCATCGAGTTCGCTAACCCACAGAGCAATGTACCGGTGCCTTCAGACAGAAGCGTGAACATCACAGAGAGGCGAAGGGACAGATGATACACTACCAAAGAAGAACAGGCCGAGCAACATTGCACCCCTCCGACCGAGAATATCAGACAATCGTCCTGACAAGGTGTCAGTACGGATGGAGCACGCAGTCACTGAACGTACCATACAAAGGCGTAAAGCAGCATACTGAGAGCAGATATGCTGTCCCAATGTACGAAGCCTGATTAGCCTTGTTGAAATCACTGCCAATTGGCGTCAATAGAGTCGCGACGATCGTGCCTGGATGCTATGGGTCACAAAAGCAGGTAACGGACAAGAATGGACGGCATACCGTCGAGAGCACCAAGAAACACAGCACTCCATAAGCCGGCGAGAATCCAGATAAGGTCTGACCGTGACACTTTATTGAGCGGCGTCTCGGGAGAGGTCGTTTCTTCACTGTCCGCGGAGCCGTAGGAGCTGCGACGGTCGTCGAGCAAAGGCCTTGCTTCGGAATCGGATTTGCTGCTGAACGACATTGCAGACACACGGGAGGTTATAACCCGGCTGCTTCAATTAATGTCTGACAGGCTTATATCGCCCTGGGCCGACGGACGCCCTCCTGAGAACTGGGTGGAACAGTCCGTTCGAAGCTGATCGTGACAAAGCAAGGATAGCAATTTGACGGAGGCCACGGTGCAAAGGCACGCTTCCTGAGGCGAGCGCGCACCGAACGCAATCACTGAGAATCGAATGGTCGCAATCCTATCTGGAGCTCAACATTCTCGATGCCCTTTGCGCCATCTGTAATTATCCGTGAACCTCGGTCCGGCCATAGCCGCGGCGAATGCACGCTTCTCGCGTCACGCTCGTGACGCAATAGTGCACCGTGACCTTAACTTAGCGGGCGCTACTCAGTAGTCCATGAAACCCGAGCGGTGAATCTCTGGGGCGACTTTCGAAATTTCAAGGGTGTCGGGGTAGGTATCAGTGGCGACTGTATTGTATGGCTACGGGACTTGTCAAGGACCTTGCGGACAGCGGGAACACAAAATGGGGTTCAAGGCTTCAACCCTATCGCCCGAACGCTTTATGTATACCCTATCTCCTTCTATCCGAATGCCTTGCCGGTGAAGGATAGGTCCTTGACAGCGCTGGGCGCTTTATCCATCTCAGGGCACCCGCTCCGCTAAATCTCGGACACCCCGTCAGACGTCGGGCAAAATGCTAGCCTTGGCAAGTGCAGGGATCATCAGTATGGCTCTCCGTCGTGATCTCTCCTCTCGTTAACTGATGCTGGCTAACAGCTTCCAGCATAATATGAGGTAAGCGTCTCATACACGGAGCACGGCACGCTCACACCCACATCACTCACTGAGTAGGTCAGTTGTTATCTAGTGATCTCCGTGCGACTTGTCGACACTAAGCGACACGCAAAGGCTGCACCCTCCGTCCCTAGCGGAGGAAAGATTATCGGCCTCAGTACTAGATCCAGAGGGAACTCTATGCCGCCTCGTTACTTCGAGCTGTTAAATGCCGCGCGGCTTCTCACTTGCATATGAAAAGAATGTCATCTGCATGGACCTAATAACCATAGCAGTCCCCATGACTATCCTCCAGATTCGACATGGAAGGGGGCATACACGGACCTCTTTACTAGATGTCTCTATCTATCGGGGAATCTTTGCAACCACCTGCGGAGAGGCCTGGCCTCAAGAAAACCCGCCTCTTGATGTTAAGGCAGCCCTACTTATGACGCTGTATCCCTGAAGAGATCCGGTCGCTTTCGAAGACCAGACATCACAGAGCACCTACTGATCCCTTCCCAGAAGCACGAACGATGTACCACCTTCGGCTATCCCCACGAAACCGCTGCTTCACTCGACCCGACTCTATGTCACACGCCTTTCTCTCTATAAGCTGCATTATGCAGGATGGTATGAGGCTCATACTCCCCTTCCTTACCTTCGGTCAGTTCCCGTGCCCGAGACCACCGCGCATCCTACTCACTACTCTGCTGCCATTTAGCGACGTTGCGCCTTGGAGGTCTTATGCCGTTGCTTCGGAGGCGTTTACCTTTGTTTTGCGGCTCTTCTCGGTGCCCCACTGTCCGATCACGACGGTGTAGGACGGCCGGACTTTACTGGCTCGGCGACCTTCGTCATATTACATGAAGACCTCAAGTATACGAGAAGAGGGCATAGGGCCCGTGAAATTGATTTTTCATCCACCCAATGGCACGCACGTCCTTCCCCACCATTTATGGTCCTTTTCCCGGCCATATTCCTTGAGGCGGCTCTGAATCCGGTGTATTCCTTGGGATACCCAAGGTGTCGCCAGGTGTTGGTCCCCTCTGGATGATAATCCCATCCTTGATGCGTACTCGTCGGTTCCCTTTGTCCACCACCGTCCCACTGCGGCGACCCTAAGTCCTTTCCTGTTCGAAGGTTCACACCCGGCTCCAGTTGCAGGAGGCACAAGGTCCGTAGCCAGCAGATTCCTGTGCGCACAGCCTTTGCTTCAAACCACGGCCGGCGCGTGGTCCTTGACAGTCGGCCGTTTGGGGGAGGGGTATGCCCGTAAAGTACGCGTAGATGCTTAAGATGTGCACACCCAACCTAACAGACGCCTACAAGGTGGGGCTCCGAAACCGCCTACCTGACGTTACTCCTGTCTAACAGTGCAGATAGGCGCCCTGGCTCGACTTAAAGAGGCCATGGTGATTACTATTACGCCAACGTCTTGGTCACTCGGTCGGAATACGGCGCGCGTTCGGTGCAATTTCTCTGGCGCAGGCGTTGATGCTACCAAGCCCATGTCCTGCTCCCGATCGGGTCCCATGCCATGTCGATTTTGGAGCATCACCGAGGACATCTTCATCGATGTACTTCGTCACCGGGCCGTAACCCGTCCATCTGGCCAGCCGATCCCCCTCTAAGCCAGCGCTCTGCACTACACGGGATGAAGTCCTTGACGTCGACTTTATTTCGTAACCTAGATCATCGCGCGTCCGGGACGCTTGCTGTGGCTAATATTGGTTCAATATTCGGCGGCTATGCTGACCCTGGTACGATAGAACCTCTGACTGAGCCTCCATCCCGACAAGAATGAGCAAGATCTCCTGTTGCTAGCTAATCTGCTGGGTTATGGTTCTGATACTGTCTGGATCTGCGCCTACATAGTCTACCCACTTGCCCGGTCGGCCGTGGTTTCGCCGTCCAAGCTCCTCTTGCCTGGACCTTCAAGCTATGCTTGTTCCGCTTTCGGAGGCCTATGTTGGACGGTCGGCATCTCGGAATTGGGTGGTGGCACTGCGTATGAAGGCCTAGTTTCCCTGGGATGTCTGATTTTACCTTTGACATCCGCGGTTATCGATGTGCTGTTATTCATAGCCCATGAGCATGATTATGATCAGAACTGGTAGATGTTCTTTGAGTATCGTTATCTGGTGCTATAAGTACTGGCGATTCTGCCATGTGAGTCCCCGTTCTATCTATTCCATTTGTCGGGGAGGATACGTATGGCCGACTCACTTGACCTTATGCCTTATGCTTGACAGGTGATATATGAGCTAGACCGGTAAGAGGGAAGCCTGCAAGTTTGACGGTACTAACAAAGCTCCCGGTTAACAAGCTTTGACAGGTGAGGTAACGGATACTATTGAAGAGAGTATGGGAGGAGGGATTTATTCGAGCCCGTCGGCCTGAGGTTAATTATCTCTATCGAGGCTTCCAGCGAATGATCTCGCAAGGCCATACATCGCGGAACACCGCAGGCCGTCAGCCAATAGGATGTCCGATCCGAACGTCATACTGCAGGGTTCCTGAAGCACAAGAGTCCAATCGGCCAACAGCGAGAAAGGCGGTGAAAGTCCATCCGATCTTCCCGATGCACCGCAGGTGCCAGTGTCCAGAGTCTGGATTGTCCAGTTCCTGGCGGCTTCTCGCGAGAGCACGCAAAGGGGCCTATGATTGGCTGAGTTTATTGGGCATCTCGTATAACGGTTGAGGCCTGAGTCAGAGGTTCTCCGCTCCGTGCGCTGTGTACATAGCTCGAGTCTTTACGCGATGCGACGGGGTTTGCTGGGGTCGTCTGGCTAGCCATTGACACGGGTGGCGAACGTCTTGGAAAGTTATACATAATTCAAGAATAATGAAAGCATCATTCCCGTGTAAAATGCAAGAAAGGCAAGCCGGACATGCTAATGTCCGTAAATTAATGAACACTGCCATTTCGATCTGAAAAGAGAGTACATTCCGAGCAAGTCGCGTAGTTTGGGAAGGACTGGGTCCGCGATATGGAGGAAGGCGGGGAACATCCATGTGCAAACCCGGCCAAAATTGGAGCGGATACAAACCATTTCAGAGAAAAAAGGGGGTGGGCCTGGGGGTTGCCGGGACCCTGCTGACTAAGCAGAGCACCCTTAGTATTGAGAGACGGAAATACTGTTCCTCAAACTGTTGTTACTCACTGTCTTAGCCGTCCTGGACGTCCCTGCTTCACCTTCGCCCGCCTCCAGCGCCCGCCGTCCGTCGCGACGTTCTTTCTTGTCGTCGCCGTGTTCGACAACAGACTACCCTATCCTTTCCCGCCTGTGCCATGGCTACCTCTTCGTCCCAGTCTAGGAGCCCCACGCTACCCCAATCGTTCGGTGACACGCCGACGTCTGCGAGCTCACCTTCGTGGAAGTCGATCCTTCGTCTAGGCAACTCTTCTTCAAAAAAGCTTAACATGAATGGGAATGCTTCTGCCCTCACGTTAGACACTCGTTTGTTACATTCGTCTGGTAATCCCCCTTTGACTCCCAACCCTGCTTCGACCTCTACTTCCGTCGTTTCCGTGGATCAGCGATCCTCGTATAATTCATCTAGTACCCAGTCGAGCGACTCGAATCCCCGGATAGCCTCCATGAGTCGTGGTCCGAGCTCACCCTCATTGACGAACCAGTCATCCTCGGATGCTCTCTCGGGCAAATCGAGGACACGGACAAAGTCCGAGCGGCAGAAAACACTAGGCAAAGCCTCCACCAAACCCCAGACTGCAGGGGCATTTCAGCAGTCCTTTGCATTGCCCTCTCCGCCTTCCAAGTCGGGGCCGCTATCACCGAGGGCGATGGGTGCGACGGCGTCTAGGTTTATCCGACGTGTTGCCTCCGCACCCAATGCGAAAGGTCTGTTCTCAATGAGCTCGCGCTCGGCGACTACCAAGAACGGTTTCCTTGCTCCTGGCGAGGCTGCACCTGGCGTATCCATGGCGAACGCGACTACGTCCGACCAAACATCTTCACTGGAGACTGTCTCATCCTCGTCTTCCCGAGGTGATTCCCGGCGGCCCGCTCGTGCCTACAGTAATGCATCTGCCCACAAGCCCAAACAGCGCGCCTCAAATGGGAACTTGGAAGGTCCGGGCAGGATGGCTTTTCGTAGGACGTACTCCAGTAACTCCATCAAAATCCGATCTGTGAGTATGCTCCGTCATGGTGTAGTCATCTGTATCAGCGTGTGATGCTAATTGGCTCTGAATAGGTCGAAGTCGGACCTTCGAGCTTCCAGAAGATCAAAATGCTTGGTCGGGGAGACGTGGGAAAGGTATATTTGGTTCGAGAGAAGAAAACGTCTAAATTATATGCAATGAAAGGTATGGAAGATCCGGTGTTCTAGAGGCCGGAGGGGTGCTGAGATACGAAACACTCGTCCCTCAGTTTTGTCTAAGAAAGAAATGGTGCAGCGGAAAAAGATCAAGCGTGCACTGACGGAGCAAGAGATCCTCGCCACCTCCAACCATCCATTCATCGTCACGCTATATCATTCATTCCAATCGGACGAATACCTATATTTCTGCATGGAATACTGCATGGGCGGCGAGTTCTTCCGTGCCCTTCAAACGAGACCTGGGAGGTGCTTGCCGGAAGATGCGGCGCGGTTTTACGCCGCAGAAGTGGTTGCGGCATTAGAATATCTACACTTAATGGGGTTTATCTACAGGGATTTAAAGCCGGAAAGTGAGTTTCCTGATCCCGTATTTATGAACGTTGGGTATTGACCGATGGCACGTCAGACATTCTTCTCCATCAGTCTGGACACATAATGCTGTCGGATTTCGACCTTGCAAAGCAGTCGGGAGAGGGTGGTGGAAGGCCGCCGACGATTCACCAGTCGGAACCGAATGGGGTAAGTCCTATCAGGTTTCTCGGATTGATTATCATGGTGTGAATATGTCGATGCCAATGACGCAGGTCCCTCTCGTTGACACCCGCTCTTGCACCGCAAACTTCCGGACAAACTCCTTCGTGGGCACGGAAGGCAAGTTCCCATTTGCGTTTCAGTCAGCGTGTGGCGTTGACGAGACTGTGTTCGTAGAATACATTGCTCCTGAGGTCATCGAAGGACAAGGCCATACCTCTGCCGTGGATTGGTGGACTCTGGGCATCTTGATCTATGAGATGATTGTGAGTGCTCGCTTCCAGTTCGATTTGGATTACGTTCCCTCAACGTGATTCAGTATGCGACTACGCCGTTCAAGGGTGAACACCGCAATGACACCTTTGCCAATATCACCAAGCTACCGGTTCACTTCCGGGACCAACCGAAAGTATCTTCGTAAGTCGATTGCATAGTAGAACGTGAGCACTATCTCAGCCTTCTCGTCTGCAGGGCTGGGAAAGACATTGTTGTCCGGTTGTTGGACAAGAATGAACACACTAGGCTTGGTAGTATGACAGGCGCCAGCGAAGTTAAACAGCACAAATGGTTCGCCAAGATCAATTGGGGTCTGTTAAGGAATATGCGGCCTCCGGTAAGCTCACGTGACCGCTCTATGATCATACTTGTGTGAATTCATTTCGCGACTCAGATTGTACCTGCGTCTTCTAATGGCATTGATGCTGTCAACTTCCGACACATACAAGAGTCGACATCAGTACACCTGGACAAGGGCTCGTTACACTTACAAGGTGTAGCCGGTTCAGCGCCTGTCCTGACACTACCCGCCAACGGAAGCTTCGCTGCTCTCCCAGGAAAGGGTCTTCCTGGTTCACTCCCTTCCACCCCTGGCGTGGACGATGGTATGGAACACGTCGACATGGCGAGCTTGTTTGGCGGGTTCAGCAACGTTACCCTTGTCCACGACGGTGATACTTGATTGATAGAGTCTCAGAAGGCTCGCGCTGTGTGATAGTTGGTTCTCGAGGACCTGTCCGAGCGTCCATGCTCCTTAGTCCGTCCGGTCATTTGTGGCTTTTCTCGCGACACCATGGGAGTCTCGTCATCTTTTGTGGATTCTTTTGATTGTTGCACTTTTTTTCAACTGTCGGTACATGCTCTGTTTTCTGCGTTTTCTCGTGGGACCATACTTCTCGCTGTCTTGGCTCTCGTCTCTCGTTTCCATCCTAATTGTCTTCACGTATCTATCCATTGATCTGTCGCTCACTCATCCATCATTCCTTTCTCGTCACGAACGCAATTACTATTCTGCATGTAAATTAGCAAACTATGTTACATATTAGCACTGCTGGCATCATTTATACTTGGGAAGTATTCGGCGCTGCGCGGCACGCCAGGTCCGATTCCTCGTAAGGTAAACGAGTGGCAAGGGTTCTACATTACAGTAGGTAAATAGTCTTTCTAGCCTCCCGGGCGCTGCGCGGCATCAAGAATACTCCTAGTTATTATATGTTGATCTCAGTGATACTAAATCATATAAGTTTGTAACTCTCAAACATGACTGTGTGTGGCTAGAACCTTCAATCATCCTATACTCAGTGTCAAGTACAGTTATTTCAATACACAATAATACACTACAGTGACGTGCGAAAGTAATGCACCACCCAAGATAAATGTATATCTCTGCAACCACTTGACCATTCTCTTTGGTGTAAAAAGTAAACTTTTAGCCCTCCTTCTGGGCAACAATATGGCAGTACTATGGAGTGATGTAGGGGCCCCCATCAGGAGAGAGAGGCTCTACATCAAAGACCCCAATTTTCAACTTTTTACTCAGAGTCCCGATAGACTAGCGGTTATTACCATCTGAAAGAGGCAAAAACACTGTGCAATTTTGATACCAGAATGACCCTGATTGACTGCACTGTTGTGGAGATACAGGGCCAGAAAGTAGGGGGTCTAGGTGTAAAACTCAGAACTATTACACCAAAATCCCAACTTTCTGACCTCATATCTCCACAATGGTGTAGTCAATTTCTATGATTCCAGATTCTAAAATATACAGATTTTCCTGAAGATTTTAACCATGCAATGTATGAAAGTCTGTGGTGTCTCTATGAGGAGATACATTTTGACTACAAATATTGTTTCTGCTGCAGAAAGAGCAGATCTATTCTGATCACCATGATTGTGGTTCTATCTGATAGAGCTTCAAAAATACTACAAACTATGTGTTTACACCAAGAGGAAATACTCTGTCTACATTGAGTTACATTCCAAATACTGGTCGAAAAGTGGTGGTGCATTACTTTCACATGCCACTGTATTTACTTCAGTACTACACTCGGGTAGCATTACTATTGAGTCAGTGCACATGCATACTGTAGCTGAGATGCACGTCGTCAGGCTGAGGCCTCAATGCTGCCAGTACTATGCCTCGAATGTAACTTACCAATCTTGTGCAGTAGGCAGCAGGGTACTTGCCATCGGCACAATTCCACACACACCCGGGGGATGCCTGACAGTGCCATTGGCCGGAGATCTTGAAAGGATCGAGACCACACTACATATCTGGAATTAGTCCCTATTCACAAACGGTAATTATTGACATGAGAGGTAATAGCTCCTATTTGCTGATGGTGGTAAGATTTGGATCGGTGGACCTTCCATTTGAGGAGAGTGCTCCCGTTACAGTTAAGGTAATTTGGGCTATAAGGGGTATACCCCCTGTTCAACGCTGGCAATTTTCGATCACCAGAGAGCCCTATACAACGACTGAACAGTAAACCAATTCTAGGGGAATCGGAACTGAACAGTAAACCAATTCTAGAGGTATCGGAACAGGAGGCTTTGTTTGCCTGGGTCTCTACATATCAGTGAGTGGCACGGCGGTCCATCCTTGTCAGAGTGGTGGTCACGTACGGCCACAATTCACATGTGAATGCAAGCCATACATCGGCCCCGGGTAATGTGGTTGGCAGTGCCGACGTACGGCTTGCATTCACTTGTGCATTATGGCCATATGGACCACCACTCTGACGAGGATGCCCTGACAACAAATGGTTGGATGTCCACGCCAAGTCCCATAAAGTGGTCTACCACTGATATCCGATCAGTCCAGGTGGAATGTCCCACGGTTTCCTGTCAGGTCCCTTGCAAAAGTGGCAATTGCCGGCATGCTGGAGAGGCTGCCATCCACACTATTACAGTAACAGTAACATCGAGATCCCCCCAATGATCTTCACTGGTAACTAACATACCGAATTGCAATCATTGCAAAGATCTGGCTAGGATGAGTGGTACCGAAGTGACCAATATTAATCTCACAGCTTACCTCTGCCAGTGCGCTCCAGTACGGCGTCATGGGCCCGTATTCAACTGTGGGAGCAGGCATGATTAGATGGGAGATTCTGAGGAAAAGGTTATTGTGAGAAGCATGCTCAGCCATATGGTCTCACAACCACTACAAATTAGCCACTCCAAAATTGCTGGGTGTATTCTTTGACCATTCTTTGTCATCCTGAGAGGGTTGCTTTCAAAACATTTCTGGTCGAGATTACCCGCAACTGACCTGTGTGCCTAGTATTGGAGGAAGCCAAGCAGGTGGGTATGATTTCCGCTCCGAGTTGGTACATCTAAGATGGCACCGATGTGATGCATGAGTGCAGTTTCAAGGTACTTGGCAAACTGGGTCATCAAGTTGCTATGAGTGCCTATGTTGGAAAAATCAGAAAAGCCTGATATTGCTATACAATTCCAGATAATGCACTGATAAGTCAGTCAGGTTCGAGGAGAGTTATCGGGTTCAGAAATGATCGAAAAGTGCATATAAACCTCCATCAGGCTGATCAGGCCTGACGGGGGTTACAAGCCATTATAAGGCATGATAAGCCCAGATAAGGCCATGGGTCCCAGAAATAAGAAAAGGAGGAGCCACTCACGCCACCCGATGGTCATCGACACCACTATCTAATATAGGTACTTCAGCTTTGATTCGAACGAGCAGCCTTCAGTTGAATGATGATATATAAAGACTAATGATATAACTACTACACTACACGACAATAGCTATGGAGGTCTCAAAGTGGCTTATATACATCATGCATACTGCCTTACTGGGTGACTCGTAATGACTACAGCTGGACTCGGATACCGTCGCTCGCACTCACGTCCTCTGATGTACGGCTCCTGTAGATTTCGCCATAACTTTAGACTTAGGCTATAATGCTACCATAGTCAACATGCCACCTTTAAGACACTCAATCCGTGTAAAGGCTATGACCGTATTTCAAGACGTTTCTGACATACAGGATCTACTACAGCACCACCAGAAGCCCCTACCTAATCTAAGCCTGACAACACCTGATAAGGGCTTATCGGCCTTGAAACATAACATTATAATGCCTGATCAGTCTGTCAGGTTCTGTCAGGGCTTATCAGTCTTCTCCAGAATTTCTGACATAGATGTGCATGTGCCTGTGTTCATTCTGGGAGGGATTTCGATTGGCTCAAGTGGTGAATCGTGGTGCGCTACCTTTCCAGGCTTGGCTGCCCGAGCAAAGAATTCTGAAAGTTCTCTATTGTTTCACCGATTGCTGAATTATCCAGACATACTTCATTTACCTGTAAGCATGATTTGCCTGTGGTATATCAGCATATATTGTCTCATTATACATGTAGTCAATCAACATACTGTACCATTTTGATCTATTCGGCAGGTGGTGTGACATGTGACTCATCTGACTGATTTGTCATTTCGGAATCTTACTATATATGGTGTGAAGTGGTGCCGCAGGCCAGCTTCTCATACCATATACAGTAAGTTCCGCGATCCCAGAGTCCCTGTGACCAGTGACAAATGCCAGATTTCATTTTTTGGCAGGTACCCCTGTGATGTGTGACTGCCGAATAGATCGAAATCATACAGGATTGGATTTCTTGTTGATCAGGACACAGCATTAGCAGAGAAGAGCAGCTGCTGAGTGCAGAAAATCCCAAACTTCTCTATAATTTTGCTGATTGCTGTTAGAATGTTTCAAGTTGCAATGCCATGCACTGTGCGAATGTTGTGTTGCGCGCACCACCCTGGACATTTGCACAGGCAAGTGCAGCTGCACAGCTCTGTACCCAGTACTGACAACTATTACAGGCAGATTAAAGTATCCAACCACACAGCCTTACTCAGTACTTTTGCAGTGCATGGCTGCATAATCTTGCCTTAGTACACTACAAGTCTATGGAGTGGCTGTCCGTTATGGGGCAGGGGAGGGAGTATGAGATCGATTGAAGTAAACTCTACAGTACAATGAGTCTGGGGTCCCCATCTATGTTGCATGTTCCCCACTTTATGTGGAATATTCATGAGTTGCTTTGATGGTGGGTTTGCACCTTGATGAGCCTGAGTCTGACAAACCCCTACAAAAGGGACGACAGGTATTGTTGATGTGCATGTTTCATTATTTAACACAGATTACACAATTACACAACCACCCCCCAGGCAGACTGGGGTGAATGGGTCCATCTGCTGATAGGCAGAGGTCCATCATGGACTCCATGGACTTCTCAGGTATCTGAGGAGCTAGTAGTTGTATATAGAATCCAAGAATCTTGCCACCTGATCATTGTGACAAGTTGTGGCACTATTGTGGCCATAATTGTTACCCAAACAGTATCTGACCTTTGCTCTGGATGGTTGTTTTTACCCAAAAATTGGTATCCAAGTTGATCCCACCAGCAGGTCCTTTACCAAAACTGTATCAGACCTGGCACCCATTTGAGGGTGATTTTTACCGAAACCAATATCAGTCCACTATGGGTATTTTCAGGGGGCCTCCCCCAGGCTATCACATTTTGCATCTCCTCTGAGATGAGCTTGAAATAGAACATTTCGCTTCAGACAAAACAATTTTAAAAGTGTTTATGATTTTTCGTCAGAAGCAAATCATTTTTTGAGGTCAAACCTGATGAGGAGACACAGAAACACCATCATTTCTCAGCATTCCACCATGCATTGCACGCGAGGGATTTGCGGGGGCATGTGATGTGTCACATCCTGTCACAAGTAAGCCCTTTTGCATGATGCCTATCCTTATATTTGACAGTAGTTTGGTCTTTGCTTAGTAATAAGTTTACGTAATATTAGATAATCACATTTGATTGGCTGACCTGTCTCAATCTGCCTCATCTGGAGAACACACTTCACCCCGATGTCCTGGCTGAGGGTGGCAGCACTGTGCGCCGCCACCCGAGAGTCAGGACAAGGGGCACAGAGTTGGGAGGGCTTTGACCTCCAAGATAAAGATAGATTAAAATTCTGAATACTATTTACACCTCCCAGAAGTGGCTATGGGTGCCACAGCTAGTCTTAAATCAATTCTGGGGGGGTTGATGATTTGTAAGCAAACAACCCGAGGTTGTTACTTTCAGTGGGATTAGAATTATCCATAATTGCCTTTGCAATTATAAGCCTGACCAGGTTGATGTGTATCCTATCATCCAAGCCATTAAGTCATATGGACTAGCACCTTGTTTAGTATGTATGTGAAGCATTCTACAACAGGAATAGCCAGGCACAACTCAGCTGCAAGGTGCACATTGTTACTGTTATAACAGGCAAAAAAGGAAAGGCCCAGACAGGCTTGTACTCAGAGAGGGCTGAGTCCTGAAAAATTGCCTAAGCCACGTTGAAGTGAAGGTAGTACACGGAACGCCCTAGTAAAAGGCGAGGGCGTTGTCTGTTTGCACTACCCTCCGTGGCCAATGTTCTATGTATTTGGCAGGAGTGAGTGTAAAGAAAGATGTAATATGTTTGGATGGCGGGTTCCAAGTCGCGTGCCGGACAAGCTGGCTGTATGCGCTCAATCCTGCTTCCCGTCTACGACGTTCACCATGGGCTCCTCGCCGGAGAATGGCCTGAAAGCGGTCGCGTCGACTGCGATACATGGTCTGTTTACGTCTGGAAAGCTGTCGGTACCCATAAGTTCTTTCGACCTTCTCAGCCGTGTCATCACTTTCGGTGTGCCTCCAAGTGTGCGTCCCCCCGCTCGCGCGTTCAGACTGACAGACCTTCCACGGTTCGAGAACATATTGAAGGACCTCGCGCGGGAATGGGACTACGGAGCGATATCCTTGTCGGATGACGCTGGCGTGCTCGCTGTCCTCAGTGTGAAAGTAGGAGCCCAGAGCGGAGACAGCTCAGTACTCGCTGGTCGCAAGAGGAAACGGACGGTGGACGAAGATGCTGACTCTGCTGCTGGTGATACCCCGGAAGAGTCTGAGCCGGTTCCGGTTGCAAAACGGACTGGGTCTACTCTCGAGAACTTAAGTAAGGAGATGAAAGAAGTCTATATGATGTTGCAGAAGAGCACGGCCAAAGGGCGTCTACTGGCTGAGCAGGTGCGTGCGGTAGAACCCTTTCAAAAGACAAAGGCATAATATGTGCATACCATCCCCAGTTTCAGTCCGTCAATGGCGCCTTCGAACCAATATGTCCTCATATTACCAAGAACGACTGCGCCAAGTCAAGGCAGGCTAACCCGTCCGAAACGCCATCCTCCTCGACCCTCCCTACGATATGTGACCGCGTACACTTCCGCCCTCTCCTTCGCCCTCACACCGATCCGTCCTTAGGTCACTGTTCCTACCTTAATACATGTTACTCGGAGCCTACATACGCGCAGTCCCCGTCTATACCACCGCTTCCATCTGCGCAGCACGCTTCCAGACCTCCAGGGTATACAGCGGTGTCGCTACCCTCCGGTCTGGGTGCAGGTGGCAGGGGCAAGGAGAAAGCGCCGTGCCGGTACTTGCATTACGAGATCGACTGGGATGAGGGCGACGGCGCCCCAGACACTGGTAAACAGGTCACGGTAACAAAGAAGCCTCATAAGCTAGGTATCGGTTTAGGACCTCTCGGCAAAGAGGTAGAACAAGTGCGTTGGCTGTCCGGCCAAACATGCCTGTGACTAACTTAGATCATTCTCCTTTACCCAGTTACCCCCTCAGTGGATTAATTGTGATTTACGAAGATTTGATTACTCCGTTCTTGGTAAATTCCACGTCATATACGCTGATCCTCCTTGGGACATCCACATGAGCGTGCGTTCTTGCTTGAGGCTGCTAGCTGGAGTCGTCACTCATCTGCTGCTTACATATCAGCTGCCTTACGGTACTATGACCGACGATGAGATGCGTTCCATGCCCATACCCGCTTTGCAAGACGAAGGACTGCTCTTTCTCTGGGTCACCGGACGCGCAATGGAAGTCGGACGAGAATGCATGCGAGTGTGGGGATATACACGCATAGACGAGGTTGTCTGGGTAAAGATCAATCAGGTAACACCAGCTTCGCCTTCTCTTTCACACATCGATTAACAAACTCGCCAGCTTCAGCGCGTCATTCGCACGGGACGTACGGGGCACTGGCTGAATCACACCAAGGAGCATATGCTCGTGGGTGTGAAGACCGTGACCGACGAGGACGGCAACCTTAAGTTCCCGTCGTGGGCGAACCGTGGACTCGACACAGATGTCATCGTATCCGAGGTACGCGAGACGAGTCGGAAGCCGGATGAAGTCTACGGTATCATCGAGCGGATGTGTCCTGGCGGAAGGAAGATCGAGATTTTCGGCCGGAAACACAATACTAGGCCTGGGTGAGTGGACCCGCTGCAAAGGGAAGAGGAAAACTGGTGACTGACAACATCTCGTAAGGTGGTTGACCTTAGGTAACCAATTGGGAGCGGACCAAATACACGAGGAGGATCTCGCTGCTAGGATCAAGGCGAGGTAGGTAGTCGCAGAAGCTGTACTGGGACTGGCAGTAATTTTGCTCAAATGTAGATACCCCGAGCGCTCTATACCTTTGCCTCCCGGTCCTGGCGAACAGCCTGCAGGCAATCCACGAGGATTTCCGACCCGCCATCAGCCCACCCAACGAGGGCCGCCTTACTCTCGAATGCCTATGTAAGCTCAGTGGTGTGCAGACAGCCCTATAAAAGCAGTCTCCCCCGGTGAATGTCAGGCACGAAGAACGTAGTGTATCTGATTATCTTGCTTTCAATATGCTTTTCGCTATGCTGGACTGTGGTAGACACCCTATACGTCGATTGTTGGATAATTTATACTGTATCGGTAGTCTGTATATCATTACATTGCTTGGCCCTAGATGTCACAGGGGCACCGCCGTTCATCTGTGTAAAATACATTGGTCCTCAACGACTTCATGCCTGGACGAGATCGACCTTCTTTCCAGAACACCCTTGCACTGCAGAAGTGCTAGTACGATCTTGTGAGTTATCAGACTTCCAGAAAGCCAATGCCCGTAGAATATCCTTAGCGGAACGTGGAGTGAGTCTGGGTAAATCATAGTAACCCGGTTTACTGACTTGTTGTGTCCCGAAAATTAGAATAATGCCCGAGCCCACTGTGTTCATCATTAAGTATCGATTCAGAGTAGTACTTGGTTGGACGCTCACGGGTAGCCATGGCCAAGTGCGGGACGGGACTGGTGTCCATTTGAGCAGAGAATATCTCAAGTCTACACATGCCACATTGTTAACGAGGCCTTGAGGAGATACAGTTGTAACTTACACAATGCCCACCGTGGAGTGGAACCCAAATGCGATAATGCGAAATAGTCGACCTACATCAGCCCAGCTTCTCTCGAACCCTGCGACCTTCCTCTGACGCATCATTACCATGATGAGTCGCACTGACGTGCATATATCAGTCGCCTATTTATTTGGGTTTGAGATACCGATTACCTAGCAAAACGACCGTGGCGGCCAGGATAATGGAAGAGATGGCTGTTTGGAAAGCCCCCCTTAGAATTCGATTCCCCAATCGTGAGTTAAGATATGCGAAGGATCCGGAACACGTACAATGGTACAGAATTCACAGCGCAGAAGAAGTAGTGTTGTCTCCGAGAGACCAGCTCTGGATACGATGCGCCGACGCCGACGGATGCTACCAGGCAAATCAGCCAAACGCAATAGGGCACCACCAGCATCTGGCCAAGACCGTTATGGAGATGTTATATTGTCGAGGTTCATGTGATGCACTGACCAGCCATATAGGAACGCGCCATTGCTCTGGGGTAGTTCCTTTCCCGGCCAGTAGTTCGGAACCGTTCAAAGAGTAGAATACCTGCGATGTGAAAGTAGTTCAGATATGCGCCCCCCGCCGGTCTGCATCACGAGTTCGCTCACAGTATAAATAACAAAGAAGCCAGACATCGCCGTCCTATATCAGTAACGTTCAACAATATGGACTGACACATCGGGGAATGTGACTTTACAGAGCTGGCATGCCATACAGCAGCGATCCCTGTGCCAAGCACAATCCATAGGGGGGTTCAGGACCGATCTGATACCCCGTCCATAAGCTGGATCAATTACGCCTTAGCGACCACGAGCGACCAGAGACCTCTGGGCACCTACAGTAGGCTCGACGCAAGCCCGTCAACCATCCATGTCACGCACATATTAACAAAAGTTGGGTGACGGTAGACCTTCCTGGACAGGAGGATAATCCCTATCAAGAGGGGCAAGCCAAAATGCGACGGCCAGACATTGAGTACTAGCCATGCAGTGGTCAACGATTGGTTGCCGTGGATGGTTTCGCTGGGAGCTTCAGAGAGGGAAATCAGTCAGGCCCAGGAAGAACGATATGTTGGGGTGACTCACCTGTGGTGGGCGCTGAGCTCATGTTTGTCTCGACAAGTCGGAGGCAGACTAGGAGTCAAGAAGCCTGCACACGAGATCTAATGTGACTTCCAGAGCCCGATAATATACAAAGAATGAACCAGACCAGCTGGTTATAGGGAATACCAGTAACAGGATCCTGCAAGGTACGATGGAGAGATATCGAAGTACGGTACAGGGTGCCGATGACGGTAACTGCGATTGCGCAGCAAGTAGTACACATAATCGCCATACTTCTGAGATACGATCAGCCTGTCAGAGCATGAGAAAGATCAGCATAAGATAGTCTAAAGACATACTTGACAATTCCACCAGCGGGTGTCTTGATGCGCCCGCCCAAAGAATTGTGCAAGCCTCCTCTGGATCGACTATGCTGCTATGCACATTGTATGCACCAAAGCGCGAAATGTGGCCGCACCATCAACGTGAATAGAGAACTGGCAGCCAATAACCCTCATAGGGGATACCATAAATCACTGTGAATGTTTGCGGCGGAAACTAAGGCCGATAGTCCTTCTCATTGTCCCCAGATCAACATTGATCATCAATCACCACGACCTGTATCTGGGCGCGTCTGTTGGTCGCTCTCGTATAGGGCCTGTACACAACTCAGTTGCTTCAGTGCCATACCCTAGGTGCCATCATGATGTGGCAAAAATGTGGCATCAGCACTGCATCGGGTCTGAGCCCTGAGCGCTTGATCGCGGTCGCGGAGTGCCATCCAAAGTCACCAAACGCACCGGTGCCACTGCGGCGTTCGCGACATATATAAGCAGGCTTGCTCGGATATCTATTCGATTCCGAGGTATGCACAATAATTGTGTATCGATTGACGCGCCCAGATTTCTGACAGAAGGTAGCCCTGAGACGACGTCTACGGTCTGACAGCAAAGTTGGATTATCTTGCGCACCAGCAACGATCATCTGCCAGTGACACATATGAGCCACCAGATGCGATGATTTCCATGGAGATTAGAGCGTTAGTTTATTGGGCGAACCACGGAACTGCTCACTGAAGATACAGACAGGACTCGGTTGAGTATCTATTCAGTTTGGTGTATGCGCAGACGTAGAGTTGAGGAGTCTCGTCGGCAAACTACAGGTGATATCAGGATTGTGGGTCGCTTGCTAGGATCTAGTACCAAAACCCGGTAAATGCTCGGGGACGAGTAAAGAGCCGCTTCACCGTGGCTCGCGCCTTGGTTTAGAAGGATGCAATCAGTACAAACCAAACCTACGACTGACGAATTACCAGTTAATGTGTTCAAGGGTAGCAAAGGCTGCATTCCACAATGATTTATCCAACCGGGGCGGGGGGCCTGTAGCTCAGTCGGACTGGTTGATAGCTTCACGGCTGATCCAGGATGGCTTTCCCAGAACCCTCGACCGTTCCGGCTGTACAAGAGACGCATGGTTATTCAACAGGATACAGCGGAGGCCTAATATCTGAACTGCCCTCTGTCGTGCAAAGTCACGTTACTTTTGCATCTGGTGCATACATATGTGAAGTGAAAGAGTCAAGAAACTCAAGTAGACCATGGATGTACAATAGATCTAACCTTCGTACACTGAGGTACCGTGTCGGCGACCTTGCAGCACATTACTGTTGAATGACTTTCCTCCCCGACTCTCATTTCCTCCGTTTATCTGTCTCCACGACATACATCTCATTCGACATGCGAGGTGCCCAAGTCAACAAATCCCGCCCGCGAACCTCGTCCTCGAGGGCTGGCACACCGTCTTGATCCTTCAAGTCAATGCCTATACCATCCGCCCAGACGCGCCCATCCGGCACACCCTCCTCCGCCAACTCATGGAGGTCGGCTAGCCTCACGGCTTCGACCAGCTTTGCGAGGTCTTGCATTTCCTCGGTCAAGATCGCGTGCTCGGCCGATCCCTCTTCAGGCGGAAGCAGTGCTGATAGCTCGTGTAGGTGCTTGAGTTTCGCGGGGGATATGGAGGGTTTAGGGTAGGAAGAGAGGAGATCATTCACAGACCAAGTTGGCTGAACCGGGATAGCGCATTCATCGGTCTCGACCAGTCCCTTTACCGGACGCGTCGAGTAGTGCATTCCGGATAATTTACATCCTGCGATCCGAGCAGTGGGAGACGCTGCACGTATTAGAGGCAGCGTCACAAAGCGAGCTAACATAGCGGCAAGCTGAGAGTGGCGGCTGCAGCTGCCCACCGGTACCTAGCCTATAGCTATCATAATACGATCGAGTCCTACAACTCGTCGGAGTTCGAAACTGTGTCGTAGAGCTCAATATCCTCTACTGCGCAAGTTGTAAGTGCCTGTCCAGCTGAGCTTGGTATAGCTGCTAAGCTGTCTCGTTTACCTCCTCGAAGTCCAGTATGGCAGGCGCTCCCATCGGAAATGTCGCGAAGGCCCTCCAGGACCTCATTGGGAAGACACCTTCGGTCCTGTCTACTCGGCCCGGAAACCTCTATCAAGTCCTTTCCAGAGCCCCGGACGGAGGTGTTGGCAGGAAGGTTCATCAGCAGCGGTGGTCTATGAAGGGGATCCAGGGCTCTTATTGGGAGGTTACAAAGACGCAGTTCAAGGATGAAGGACGGCACGGGAAGGCATGGGGCGTGTTCTACTGGAAAGGTGCATCTGCTCATCTACTTAGGCCTCTCAACACCCTAGCTCAACTAACGTTCTCTGATTATTGTCAGGGAGACAAATAACACCAGCGCCTACGCGAATCACAGGAGCTCTGAAGTATTCCTGGAAGGAGGGCATGTCACATCCCAACCTTGCGCCTGCTCAACCGAAACCGAAGCCAATCCAGTCTTTACCTGAGGCTGCTCCCTATTAGAGTGACATGGCATTGGCTTCCCATCCATTTCTTGCGCAATGGGTTACTGGCGCGACGGCCATCCACCGGCATGAAAAGGCCCCAGAGGTACTATAGTTCCGCTCTCGATTCGAGGATAGTGAGGGCGAAGGTCAGCTCACAAACCTTATGCCGGGTGCTAGCGTAGACTCTTGCCAGGTGTGGAGAATACACCTTGTACTATATTCAGCTCGTAATGTTGTCCCATAATGCTCTCCGATTTCTTTTCCTCCCGCACGAACAAGACTTTCCGACATAACACGTGGGAAGCACTGGAAATCCCATGCCAGAACCGCTAATACACCGATCAAATGCACTCTCCGGCCGCTGGCCAGCACACTCACCCCGCTGCCTGCCAGACTCTATCGTATCATACAGCTACTCTATTATCTCTTAGGACCTCCGTTACGCGCCTCGGTTGACCATGACTTCCCGAGACCTCATCGACGCGCAGTTCGACCGGGCAGTGGAGATAGTGCAGAGTCTTCCCAAGAATGGGCCAATTCAGACAGGGTACGAAGAGAAGTTGACTATGTATAGGTGAATAACCATCTTTCATTATGCATGTTCGGGTCGTGATTGAGCACGTTCGCCGCGTCGTATAGCCTGTACAAGCAAGGTGCTTGACATGCCACGAAACTGGAGTGCGGGGGCAAGTGCTGATTATATCGGGCAACCTTTCAGCGACCGTTGGGAATGTCAAGTCACCACGCCCAGGCATATTTGACATGCTAGGAAGGGCAAAATGGTCAGCCCATCTTGCCCAGGGAGCTCTCACGCGCCGCTCAAGGTCATATTCTTCAGGGATGCGTGGGCAAAGCACAAGGATCTCGACCAGTACGAGGCGAAGTGGTTGTATGTCGATGCACTCCTGAAGGTACATAATGCATGCTCATCCTGGGTATCTTTCGCTCACGGAAGGGGTTAGGTGTTGCGCCGATACTCTGACAAGACCATCGCTCGGGACTACGTAAGAGAACTCGAGTCGTACGGCGGGGACCCATCCAACCTCGTAATGAGCCGTACGCCTCATCCAGCCTCCCCCACCTTGTCCTTTGCTAACATTGTTATCCTGCAGGTTCCATGACAAAGACCGCAAGGACCACCTCCTCGGGATCGAGCGCATCCGACGATCAGCCCTCGCCAACTCACTACCCTCCCCAGCTCCAACGCAGCGGCCTCTCCCTCTCCATCCCTGGAAGTGCGCGTGAGGAAACCACCTCCGAAGAAGATACTGATGATGAAGTGCACGACCGAGTGCCCGCCACGCTGAACGCATCCTCCGTGTACAACCGCCCGCAATCCTCACTCTCCTCCCACCGCTACCGCACGCCCATGGCCGGCTCGCTCGCAATGTCACCGCCGCCCATGCAAGCCCCTGGCCCCTCAATGACTATACCCGTGACTCAGCCTCATCCAGGGTTCGAGTCGGTGTCCGCATTCGAGGGCACACTGTCCCCCGCCCGCAGCCGTCCCCCGTCCACGCACCCTCCCGCTATGGCCTCTTACCAGAGTCCTTACGCACAGTCCCCGCCCAACATATATCCCTCAGCCGCAATATATTGCGCCCCGTCCGCACACCAGTTCCCGCCAGCAAGGCAGTACAGCTCCGGTCCAGTCCCAGGCCCGGTTCAAAGACAGTCATTAGAACGCACTGTCGAGAACGTCCAAGCGCACCTAGCTGCCTTGACCGAGCGCTTAGAGACACTCGAAGCCCTCACAGGGCACCCACGACACTCCAGCCAGTCGTTAGCGTCGCGGGTGGCGGGGTCAGGCCGCGGCAGCCCCGACGACGGGCACGACGAGTATGATGCGTGGAGTTTCAACTTCAATCTGGAGGACATGGGCATGTGGTCGCTCGTCCTTCGCCCATTGGCACGAGTGGCTTCTCGCCTCCGACAATTGGCCAGTTTCCTCGCGCACAGCGAGGGTCACTCGCCGACATTGATGGTCATCCGCCGGCTATTCTTGGACATTTCGTTCGTGTTGACCGTGCTTGCGCTGGCTAGATTAGTGTGGAGAAAGACCGGGGTCAGGAGAAGGGAGGTGACTGCGGCACTCATCGCGCTGTGGCATGCAGTGGTAGGTAGACCGGGACCGCGAGCGATGGTTGATAGAGGGGTTTGATAGTGTCTCGCTTCTTTATTGATCACAGTTGCATGCCAGGAACCTGCAGCGCTGGATATTCACGTTTACATACATGTCGCTTTCTAGTTGGACATGACAGCATTTCCGCTATAAGCATTAAGGTAGCAACATATAGTACACCAACATGTTCAGTTTCTACGCTACAGCGTCCCATCATATACACCAAGTAGCAGAGGGCATAAAGCATTAACAAACACAGATCAGCTCAGTCCGATACTTATCCCTTGAACGGGTTACATCCCCCGCAAACTGCGCTCCTCACTCCAAAGCTTGCAGCGCTCCCAAGGACCAAGCCGGCCACCAAACAGAAGCTTGCGACGGTAGCTGCGACATCCACGTCCTCTTTCCGCCCTCGCAGCCGCCGGTTGTGTTCCAGCGAAGCAGCGGACATCATGCCCATACTGCAGACGTACCCGTTTGATAGCCCAAACAGCAGCAGCAACAAGAAAAAGACCATGTCAGAGTTGATGACGGGCGTAGATGATAGCATCGACACAGAGTCCGCAGGTGAGTCTCGTTGGACGTTGCACATGAGGAAGAGGGGAATGAATATGGTGCGGGCGAAGGACATGGCCGCGAGGCGACGGGCAGACCATATAAGAAGAGACGGTGTAGAGCATAGATATCGTCCTATGAAGTCACCGATGTTGAATATGAGGAAATGCAGGGCCGAAAACATAAGCGGGTGAGTAGCAGGATTAGTCGGCTGGATCGATACAGTAAGAGGTGGAAATTCAGCCTGAATTGAAGAGTTAGCATGTGTAAGTCTGGTGGCGGATGAGACCAACATACAAGCGTGACGATGAAAACATATGCTACAGAAGTTTCATAAACAAGATTTGCTTTCGCTATTCTCAGAATATTCGCTTTCACATCCGAGTGTCGAGTAGGGCCAGAAGATACGAGCCCGTGGGTTTCGGTAGGGTTTACGCGGTCCGCGGAATGTATCACGCCTTTCCTGGGACTGTCAGAGGATATCACCACAGCCTTATAGGAAGGCAGGCGCGTCATCCAGATGTATGCTCCCGCACTGGCGAGCAGGAATAGAAACGACAAGCCGAAGAACACGAACGCCGACTTGGCCTCCGCTTTACCGTCGGAGGGTGGATCTCGAGGAGCGAGAAGCCTCCTGAGAACAATTGATGTACCGGAATCAGAGCCGCGCACGGAGGCAGCTGCACTCAACACTTGTACCAGACTGACGGCCACCCCCACAGCTGCCTGGCCAGAAAATAAGGCTTGCATGGCTGCAGGACCGAACTGGGATGCGACTGCAATGACTGATGTCTGTAGGTAGGATCCTGCGGCGGCTTGAGATATGCCATTCACGATGACGAATGCAAAGAAGACGCCTGCGGGACCGTGCGTAAAGGTGCTGAGCGTGAGGAGGAGCGAGAGGATGGCGAGAGCAGTCATTGCCGTCAATACCCGTCTAGCAGGCAAAGCCTAGATGACGGAGTATATGTTTATGTTCCCCAGGATGATACTCTGCACATACCTCCTTCGACGTCGCCGTGGCATGGGCCAAGAAACCAAAGTTGGCAAGGGTGAACGTAATGGAGAGATATGAGCTGAAAGTGCTGGCAAGAGACGTTCCCGAGAGACGAGATATGAAATACGGGGTTGCAGTGATCATCGCTGTAGGACAGCTCAGCTAAGGCGCTCCGGCACGAGAGCTGGGTAACCGCTACTCACCATTCCATGGTAACAATACCGCACTTCCCAGAATGAAGTGTATCCACCGTATCCTAGAGTCTAGGTATGCGGCCACGACCGGCTCATCCAGCTCGTCATCCTCTTCCGCCCCACTCAAGTCACCATTAGACTCTGATATGGAGAGGCGCCGAGGGGCAGGATTGGCGGCTACAGGGGCCTGAGGTATCGGGTGATACAACGCATCTGACGACGAAGCAGAAAGGGAACGTTGTCGGCGTCCGTGGCCAGGCATATTATGTATCGCGAAGACCCTGCATTGGCTTGCTTACCCAGGACTGCCAGACGGGTTCCCACAATCGGTATCGCTGACATTACTGCCAGAATGGGAAGGAGGCCTTCCATTTCTGGCGATCTTAGCCGAGACGACAAAGCCAGTGAGAGAAGAGGTATTGATGATCATAGGAGAGAGAAAGTAATCAAGAGCGGATACTACGAGACTAGTACACCTTCTGTATCGCCTATTTCTTTTTCCTGATATTCAGAACTTTCGCCATCCGCTCAAGGCCGATGTCCAGATAATCTCGCCTCATGCAGAACGTGAATCGGAACCATCCAGGGATGGGATACCCGTAGCCCGTTGCTGCAGATGCGAGACGTCAGCCGCAGCCAGAAAATGATCAACATATCAACACTGACCAGGGGCCACATATACGCCGTTTTGCACAAATGAATAGAACAGATCTGTCTCCTGTTCTACACCGGTCTGTAGTTTCTCACCCGAGTCGGTAACCTCCCGTAGGTAGCCGCGCAGGTCCACTGAGCCGAAAAGGATATGTCAATGTAGTAGAACAAATGTGCTTCAGAGACACGCACTAAATATGAAGTGTGCAGCTTCCGGTTGTAGGAGAGGTATGCCATACTTGCTGAAAAATATTTGACAGTGTTTCAAGGTGTCGCCCAGCTTCTTCTGGTTAGTTGTGATAAAGTACTCGAGCATCTGATCATCGTTCAACAGCCCAGACCAGAGTGCATCCTGCGGTATGAATAGGTGAGAAATGAAGTAAGTGGCCATGAACGCGCGCGCGAGACCTACTGCAGGTGAAGACACCTTCATGAGCAGCGAAATACCCAGCAATGTCTTTCGCAGCTCCGGGTTGTGTTGCGTAACCATGACCCCTACGAAACTCAGTGTAAGACATATCGAACGGGAGTGTAAACTCTCCTTACCCAGTCTAAGCCCATTCGCACAAAAATCCTTGCTCATCCCATACAGCACATGCACCCTACTCGGCTCACACCTCGTCTCCTTCTCAATATCTACATTTAGCATGCTCACGAAACTCCTCTTCGTCCCCTCCCTCTCCTTCTCGGCGTTCTCGAACTGACTCAGCGCGTATATCTCATCGCTCAGCAGGTGCAAGTCCCATTTCTGCGCGAACTCACAGTACGCGAGGAGCGTCTCCCGCGGGTAGTTGAAGCCTAGCGGGTTATTGGGGTTACACAGGATCACAGCGCGTGGCCGAATGGGTGGGTCCGAGTTCAGTAGGGTCTCCATCGTGGCGTCGAAAGCTTTGAGAGTCTGAGTGGAGGACGGATCTTGCGTGCCAACGTCAACGCCGATCAAGCGACAACCTGCGCGGCCAGAAATATCGTTTATGAAGCCACCTGACGAACCGAGCGCTGAGCGGAGATAATTTGTCACTCAGCAGCATACACACTGTAGAATGGCCGAGCCACTAAGATAGCTTCGCCCTCGTCACACAGTACATGCGTGAGCTGGTCTAGACTAAGTTCGAATCAGAGAGGTGGAAAGCCAGGTAGGAAAGATAATGGCCAACTCACATCGCGCTCTGACCTGCCCCGCAGATGATGTGTTCGTGCAGCATCTTTTTGACCGGCTTGAAATATCGATCAAAGAGACGAATTACGGCGTCAAAGAGCCTCTTCGACCCGGCGCATGAGTCACCTGTGGCAGTAAGGGGCCAAAGGGTCAGCTTGGCCTGCAACGTTTATTGGCATGGTGGCTCACCATAGGTGAAGTCCAGATCTTGCAAGTTTAAGTGAGAGTTGAAATACTATTGTGGAATTAGAGTTCTCCCATTCCACTCCTTGAGGTGCGCCTTACCTCCTTCAACTCAACTTGCATAAGGGTCTAAGCCATGAACAAGTAGAGCGACTTGCTCAGGATGATTTCAAGCAATAATGCTGTTGACGCACATTCTCGGCTACACCGAAGTTCACCAGCCCATTTACATTCTGGGGGGAATACTATAGCATTCGGGTAAGTCATGGACACGATCATTTGGTCGAGACTCGAACCTGTTTGTTGAGCAAGTCCTCGAACTTCTCTATGAAGGTGGCAGCATCTTTCGATCCCTGGGCACGCTTGGACAACTTGGGTTTCCTCGTAGGCTCCTGGAAGTCTTTCGAGTCTGTGATGGTTTCCAAGGCTGGCATGGGCACTTCAGCACTTGAGGTCATCTCTGATTTTCCTGTGCTACCTGCGTGTGTCAGGAGCGTTGTGAACTTTCGGCTCGATGATTTCGAGGTTATATGGATGACTCGAGGATGACTCCATCCCGAAGGTATTTTGAGCTATGGACCCTGCTAGATCTTATTATCACCGTGTTATCATTCGGTCCGCCAGGCGGCCAAGGAAGCGGAAGTGGTCGTGTTCGGAAATGATTGCTTGTTGTTGGCGTTCCCAGGGACGGACTCTTGCACGTCACAAGGCTGAAGCAAATGCAGAGCACTAAGGTCGAGGTCAAAGAGACTTACTGAGTATCGGGTCATTGGACATATGATAGCAAGGCATGTCACGCCGTCTTCACCCATAAGACGACACCCAGCTGGGATGAAATCCCAACAAAGACCCGATAGAAGTACAGAGTATGTCATACACATGAAGAGTCAGACGCATTCATGGTGGTCCCTGCAATGCCGCCCGGGGTGCACTAGGTAAACGAGGTGCCATCTCCTTCGCCTGGGCGACCTGCCTACGCTTACGATGTTCCGCTAGCCGCATTGCAAAGATGTCACGGTGCAAGGTGTAGCGTGGGTGAGTGGGAGTAGCAGGAGGTTTTGGAGAGGAAGCCCCAGAAGAGGTCGGCGACTTGGGCTTGGAAGGGGGAGGAGATGCTTTCTTGTCCTGCTGACCGTCCTCGTCCCCCTCCTTGTCCTTATCCTTGTCAGCGTCTTTCTCCTTTGCCTTTTCCTTCTCCTTGGCCTTCTCCTGCTTCATCTTTTGGCGTTCCTCCCACTCAGCTTTCACCTTCGCAATCTCCTCGGGACTCAGGCCCATCTTCTTAGCACCACCGGCGTCTACCCCATCACTGGCCTCCCCCATGGGGGAAGCAAACCCGGGATCTTTCAGATGACCATCACAGACGTAGATAAAGTCAGTGGTATTCTGGGTGGCGAGGACGGTGGTAGTCGGCTTGTAGCAGACCCAGCAGGCCCTCGACGTGCCTGCCGTCTAGACTTGCGGAGCCGTTGTAATGCAGAGGCTTGGACATATGACTGTGAATACGACTCACTCTCTTGTAGTAGAGGTTCGTGAAGGACATCGTGATCAACAATAAGCCGCGAGTGACGCAGGTGAGAGACCGGTGCCAGGCTGAGTAATGCTCGATAATAGCCTGCGCTCCTCCCAGCGTTAGTCAGAGGCTATCGATGGTCAGATGAAGCCAATAGCAGTGTCACGGGAGAAAGAAACTCGGAATGACGGTGGAAGCAGGCGAGAAAGTGACCACGTTCTATCTCTGAACCGGTGCGCCGTATCGGAGCAGGCAGTGAGAACGAAAGACGATATAATCCACCCAGCGGCCTCCTGACTCTGCAACTATTTCTGTCCCGCAACCACCATGACCGACACCGTTGGAAAGACTATCAAGTGCAAAGCCGCCGTCTGCTGGGGCGCCGGCGAGCCCTTGAAGATCGAGGAAGTCGAGGTTGCGCCGCCCCAGGCTCATGAGGTCAGGATTCGCATCCTATATACCGGTAAGGGCGATTACGCTTCTCATCCATTTGGATGCTGAGTACCCTCCCAGGCATCTGCCACACCGATGAGTACACTCGCAGTGGCAAGGACCCAGAGGCACGCGATAACCGCTTAGATCTTCCCTATCTAATACCGGACTTAACAGGGGCTCTTCCCGTGCATCCTCGGACACGAGGGCGGAGGCATCGTCAGTGAGATCCATCTTTGAGGATGCATCAGTAAACTTATCCTTTGCCTCAGGTCGAGTCTGTTGGTGAAGGTGTAACGGACGTCAAGCCTGTACGTAACCTATCATATTCGTACAATCCATGATCTCATAATGCGGACCACTATTAGGGAGATCATGTCGTACCCCTCTATACTGCTGGTGGGGAAATGGCTCGCGCCTGCATCTACCGCACGAACTGATTGAATCACAGAATGCCGTGAATGTAAATTCTGCAAGAGCGGCAAGACCAACCTCTGCGGCAAAGGTTGGTGCTGCCGCGCACACAACCTGCTCTGAAAACTAACAGGCTCTTCGTCTAGTCCGTGCTACCCAGGGTGCCGGCCTGATGCCCGACAAGACCGTTCGCTTCAAGTGTAATGGCAAGGACATCTACCACTTTGTATGTCGAATGCGTTTTTTGTGGCGCAAGGAGACTGACGTTGATATCCTTTCAGATGGGTACCTCCACGTTCTCCCAATACACGGTGGTAGCGGACGTCTCTGTAGTCGCGGTCGACCCCAAGGCACCCCTCGACAAAGTCTGTCTGCTTGGTTGCGGCATCACCACCGCATGGGGTGCCGTAGTGAAGCAACCCGGTATCAGTACGTTGTCTCTCCGCTCGGTGCTTATCTTCTCCTAATGTACCTCACTCCACAGAGGGCTCCAGCGTCGCCGTCTTCGGGTGCGGTTGCATTGGCCTCGGCGTCGTCGACACCTCCCGCCTCGTCGGCGCCGCGCGCATCATCGCCGTCGACACCAACCCGAACAAGGAGGCCTGGGCGCGCAAGTTCGGTGCGACGGACTTTGTCAACCCCGCGAAGCTGCCCGAGGGCAAGCGCATCCAGGACTACCTGATAGAGATCACCGACGGTGGGCTTGACTACACGTTCGACTGCACTGGCAACGTGCACGTCATGCGCGCGGCCCTCGAGGCGTGCCACAAGGGATGGGGTGTCTCTACCATCATCGGTGTCGCAGCTGCTGGTCAGGAGATCTCTACCCGGCCGTGAGTAGGAGTAAAGACTCCTCAGCATATCTGTCGACTAACGTGGACTACGCAGATTCCAATTGGTCACCGGTCGTACCTGGCGTGGCTCTGCCTTCGGTGGTGTCAAGGGCAGGACTGAGCTCCCCAATCTCGTCGCTGACTACACGAACGGCAAGATCAAGATCGACGAGTACATCACGCACAGGAGGAAGTTCTCTGAGATCAATGAGGGCTTCCACGATATGCATGTACGTCTCTTCTGTCTCTCCTTGCCTATGAGTCAGTGCTGACCTGCTGTATAGTCCGGCGAGTGCATCCGTTGCGTCGTAGACATGAATGAACTATGAGTATGATCGCGGAGCGAGATGGAAAGAGCCAGAAGCTTGCAGTAACTGTAAAAGAAATGTAGCCATGTTACCAGCACCAGCATGTACGATATCTTCGACAATAACACTTCGTCCACGCATCACGACAGATGAGGGATGGAGTGTATTAGCAGGATGTATTATCGAGATAGGCCAGGCTCCATAAGCAGAGAGCGTGCGCTCTCTACGGTTGAGGAGAGCGTGTCGGCACACCTTCCGGTATGATCTGGTTGTCCGCCACCGCAAGGCTCAACTCCTTGAGCCGTCTCTCCTCCCTCGCCGCCTTCTTCGCCTTCCTCGCCTGCTTCCTGATCAACCGGGCCTGCGCCCCGCGGTTGACCCACCTGCGCTGCTTCTCCGCCTTCTGCATCTCCTGCATCTTCTCTCTCCACTTGAACACGGCCCACGCGCGCGCTTCCTTCGACGTCTTGTGCTTGCGCATCTTCTCCGGCGCCATCTCCGCCGCGATGTAGTCGTGCAGGAGCTGGCGCCTGTACGCCTGCAGTTCCTGCCAGCGCTTTTGCTTCTTCGCCCGCGAGTGGATAGGCGAGAGCTCCTGCTCGACGTGCACCTCCATGGCTGCGGTCTTGTCGAACGGCGCTCCGGGGTTTAACACGGAGTTGAGATACTTCCTCTCCTGCTTCCCTTGCAAGTGTTGCCGCGGCACGGGGTCTAGTAACCTCGTAGTAATGGGCGAAGGTTCGTACGTGAGTTCCGCGACGACCTCCGCCTTTGTGTCGTAGTCAGTCGGTGGTGCCTTTTCCTCGGGCTCCTTCTCTGGCCAAGGTATTTGGACTCTGTCACTCAAGTCTGCCGCGATCTCCTTAGACCAGTGCGGAAGACGCGGTGTCGTGTTCACCGCGAAACGCTTCCATTCCCAGCAGTGTTTTACGACGTTCCACGTCGGTTTGCTGGTGCCCAGCCGCGTAGCAAAGACACTGCACAAGAGAACGTTAGACGCGCATCTTATTCGTTTGAATGTAAAGCAGTTCTAGTACTGACGGGAGGATTCGAGTTTCTGTCGACCCGTCCACTGGCGGGAACTCGTGCTTCCCGATGAATAGTTGGCATTTAGAGTAATGTACGTTGATTGACCGCGGTGGTTGCTGCGAGGACTCTCCCTCCTATAGCCGGTAGTAAATAAAGTCAGTAACAGAGTAACAGAGCACCGGGGTACGCACATTCCTGATGCCCTTCAGGTAGACCCTGTTACTGAACCGGTTTATACTAAGGACCTCCCGTATAGTACTCTCTCTATCTCCCAGAACGCGGACCTGGTCCCCCGGCACGATATTCCACCACTTGATACGGTCCTTCTGCTTGACGACCTTGGGCGAAGGGTCAGCAAACGTAGCCTTCTTCAGCCACCACCGCGGAATGGAGTCGAGATGTCGAAGGTCCCGTAGGACGGGAGACTGAGTTGCCGCACGGACTACTTGACTCCTACGTAAGGAGGTAACCCTAGACGACATGGCAGTCGGCGACCCGAGATATCAAGCGGAGGACGTCTAGTTCTGGCCTGCCAGCGACAGAATGGAGGAGACTCACTGGCAAGCAAGGAACCTAACCAAGAAATTCTGCTTACATAAAGAAAACATGGACAAGTCAACATCGTGACATTACGGTGGCAGAAGATACAAGTACAACCCTCAGACAACTTTACAAGACGAAGGCGAGTAGATACAACCGGACCTTCCACTCGTAGCGTATATATATGGCACATAATAAGTTCGCAATAAATTCACGGTCATCTGGAAGGCCCGGCGGGTGCGCTCCATGGTGTAGATGAACTAGGTTCCTCAGCTTCGAGAGCCTGAGCGCGCACTCAGCACTTGCTACGAAGTAAGAGAAGAACCGGTAATTACCTCTAGAAGGCTCGGCAGAACACTGTCAACCTCCTGCGGGGGAATCCCACCACAACCTATCGAGATCAGTCTTCGATACTCCGCCATCTTCCCCTCCGTTCCCGCCTCCTCTTGATGTTTCGCAAACTCTTCGAAAAGCTCTCTCCGCCTCTTCCTGTGTCGCTCCAGGTCTTCTCTTAGTACCTCACAGGCACGATGTAACGCATTTGGGTCGGCCGGTATGTCCGAATGTAGCGCGACGAGATCGCTGATATCCTCTGGCTGCGTGGGCGCTTTCCGCTTGCCTTTCCTCTCGCCCTTCTCTGGACTTGCTTCGGGGCCGTTCATGGGCTCGTCTGGATGGAACGAAAAGTTCTGTGAGGGAATATGCAGCTGTCCGCCAGCCGCATCCCTAATGGCCTTCTCGCGATCCTCCTCGTCCTTCACCCACTTCTCCCATCCGAGCCGGTACCGCTTCCCCATCTTCGATATCAGCTCCTGTTCAAGTTCCTGCAAGCCCTCTTTCGAGTAGTTGAGGGTGTTGGCCTGCCCTTTGAGATGCGACACTGCTCGTTGACTCTCCAGGATCTCCTGCTGCATACTGGTGAGCAAAGCACTGGCTTGGTTCATATCCCGCTCCTTCTCCTGGAGCTCCTGATCGAACGACTGAGCCAGGCTATCAAGCATCGTGGTAACCTCGTTGATGCACCGAGTACTCGCCCGCTGTGCAGCAACAGAATAGTGCAACGGTGCCCTGTCGCCGTTGGCAGGTGCGAACGCATAGCCAGGGCCTGCTGTTGCGGGGGGATACGCCGCTGCAGCATTTCTAAAAGACATGCTCAGACTCTTGGAAGGCAATCCCGGAGACCTTCGGAACCGCTCGTCCTCCACGATATAGTCTTCTGCACTTTTCCCGTCCTTGTTTCGAATTTTGGGATTAGCGCCGTGGTCTATGAGAAGCTTAACAAGCCGCTTGCTCCTGCACCTCGCCGCCAAGGTCAACGCGGTTTCCCCATCTTCGTCCTGAAAATTTAGGATGTCTACGAGCTCCGAGGGGTATTCGGCTAAGCGCTCGAGGATAGTCTCCATGTAGTACCTGGCGGCGTGCGTTTTGCCTTTAGACATGGCGACGTCGACAATGTGGTGAAACACAGTCCGGTTAGCATTGTCAATGTGCAGAGTGCACGGATGCAGCAACTCGCACAACTCCTTGAATTTGCGCACGTCGTAGTTGTTCGCGAACATGACAGAGCGCATGAGGGCCGTCTGGCCGGAGTTGTTCACCCTATACAAGTCGGCGCCAGCAGTAAGGAGCAATTTGACTATGCGAAGGCGGCCCATGGCGGCGGCCCAGTGCAGAGGAGTATGGGAGTCGTCGTCAATCACCACATTAGGATCAAAGTCCGGTGGAGGTTCGATAAGGCATTTCGGGATCTGGTTCGTGTCAGAGATGAAGTACTCCAGTATCTGTTCGGCATAGCGCGAGCTATTTGATGTCTGGCCGTCAACGTCCATATCATCGTCGGGTGGCTCGACAGAGCGCCGCCGTTTTCGCGGTCGGCCGTTCTTGCGGTAGCCATCCTCCCCGATGTCTGACAGGGCATCGGACGGTCCTGGACTGCCTATAGGCGACGGCGTCCGTGAACTAGACGACCCTTCGGACGGCGAGGGTGTCAATGTGCCGTCCTCGGATCCACGGACGGACAGACTGTCATCATCGGATTCGTCGTCTGGGATGTCAGCAGCGGTCCGTCGTGATGAGCGAGTCGCGACGCCAGGACCGTCTGCTGCTGCCTTCTTCGGGGGTCTGGTGCCTGGCGCCGCCACGAGATGTTTCGGCGCTAGCGGGGGACTCTCAGCGGCGGGCGTGAAGTCAATAATTGGCTTCAGCACTTGCTCGCACCCATATTGCCGGCACAGTTCCAATCCCCTCTCCAGAGGGATCCAGGTACCTATATGTAGCGGTTCGACGAGAACAGAGCAGGAACATATTAGCCCAACGTACCCTGGTATTTCCCATAACCTCCCTGTACTTTCTCGTGCTCCCCCTTCTGCACTTCCCTCTCCAGAATACGTGTCCGTTGCGGCTTGTCGAATCCGACCACCTTGAGAATCTGCGTCGCGTTTAACCACGAGTCTGATCGCCGCCGCATGACAGCCACACCCTTGCACATCCTACGCGTGAGGGTCGTTAGAGTGCGCGTCAATTCGCGTCGATAGGGACGTACATTTCATACACCGGGATACCACTGTAAGTGGCCTGCGGTAAGGGCGTGAATCTCCGGCATCATCGCTCGACGGGAGTGCTATCGTACCTTGAATATTGTATTCTCGCCAGCCATTGTGAATGAAGAGAGGCTTCCAGCCCGTCCGTGGCGTCTCCTCTGTCTGCGTTCTGCTTGTGTAGCGCAAAGTGTAGAGAAGAGAAGGCTGCCTGGTTGTCGCGCTCGTTAGCAGTGAGACTCGCGATGGAGGCTTTGACGCGTCCAACAAGTGCAAACAACGACGCGTTCCCGCCGCCCGACGCGACATCGGAACTCGGCTCCGTCCGGATTTAGTCATCCGCTCCGTCCTCGTGGCTCCGCGTGTCCCTGTGGCTGATCATGAAGCTAAAGCATTGAGGTGGACAAATGCTTTGGTACATATTCCCCTCTCGTTTCCCTGCATCAAACAACCATGGCACTACGAATACAAGGATAAGGTGATTCGGAGACGGTGGGATCACTCATAAATAAATCTTCAATTGCGCTGAAACCGCATCCGACTCACCACAGATATGCCAGGGAGGCGTCTATGTACCCGCTAACATGGCCCATTACAGCAAGCATCGCTATTATCATCGGAAGAAGGGCTCGTCATAGTTAGGCACTCTATGTAGGACCTAGCACGCAAATAAGCTAATCTCTATGCCCAATGCAAGGGAGACAGCATCGAACAGCTACTTTTACAACAGTCATCCCGATCTTCCGATAACTTGGATGAGCTCTCACTTGAGCCATCTTCCAGCGTTTCTGGAGCCCTTGAGCAGTTACTGCAAGTGGAAGCTGAGGGAACCTCCTTCCACTTAATGAAATCTTAATATACGATGGTTGCTATTTCATCAGTCATGCCACATTTGGGGCACCAACCGACGCCGTTGAACGCACATTGCCAACATGAGATACACACGAGGCAGGGTACAAGTGGCACTGCAATGCATGAACAATGCGGTTGCCTCCGCGAAGGTTCCGTGCAAGTGGCCACTGCCTTATTTGGCCAAAGGCTGGCGTTGTTGGTTCGTATTTAGCCACGCGCGCCTGCTGGCTCCCTTCGGTCGTGTTCCGCGTCGTACCTCTGCTCACTGTTGTCGTGTTGCTCGCCGCCGCCGCCTGCGACCATGACGATTACTCCGCCAACATGTGAGCCTCTGTGCAGGTTTACCGACAGGTGCGTTCCGCGCGACTCAAGACGCCCAATGGACTGGTGTTGATGCCTGAACCATCGGCCACATAGGTTGTACTTCACGACGTTCCCCCAGCCCGCCCCTCCAGCCGATGTTCTCAATCGTTCCGCGAGCGCCGGCTCAACCCCCCAACCTCGAATACGCGGGTCTCCAAAGGGCGAAGCACCGGTGACTCCTGAAGACAACTCTTTATACTACTACTTTATAGTCGACGATTCGCTGCCATATCTGTCGTTCTACTTGGACTGGGGACCCTTGAACCTTGCGCAGGTGTACAAGGTGTGCATCTATATTCATGAGTTGCTGGAGGTACGTGGTCATGTTTAGCGCCGAGAGTGCCAGGGCTGAGATGCCACAGGACGAGGAAATCGCGAACCACAAACTTGTTATGTACACCAGCAACGATCCCCGGAAGAAGGCGAATGCGGCGTTGCTTATGGCCCTTTATGTTGTGAGTTGTAGTGTCCCCCTCTGTCACGTGCTTGCTCAATGGCGGGCAGATGATTGTCCTACGACGAGCGCCCTGGGAGGCTTTCCATCCGATAGCAGAGCTTGAGTTTATGCCATTCCGAGATGCTGGACGCGGACCATCAGACTTCAACCTCAGCATCCAGGACTGCTTATGGGGTGTCTGGAAAGCTATGCAAAACGGGCTATGCGATATGAACGAATTTAGCGCCGATGAATACGAATATTATGAGAAAGTGGAGAATGGAGACTGGAACTGGATAACTCCAAACTTTATTGCGTTTGCGTCTCCGGTGGATTTACTATGGATCAAGGAGGAAAAAGAAAAAAAGGAGTCGGAGAGGTCGGGAGCGGGGACGCCGGCGCGCACGAAGCCTGCGCCGACAAGCATGAGAGGCAAGTTGACGCCTGCATTCCAAAACTGCTTGGACTACTTCGAGAAGAAGAACGTCAAGGCAGTCGTGCGGTTAAACAATCAGCTATACGACAAGACTTTGTTCGAAGAGCGCGGCATCAAGCACGTTGAGATGTACTTCGACGATGGTACTAATCCGACTGATGAGATCGTCCGCCAGTTCATCGACTTGTCCGATGAGGTAGTGGAATCGGGAGGCGTTGTGGCTGTCCACGTACGTGACTTTATTCTTTGTTCTTCATTATGTCCTTAGGTCGCTCCCCTCAGTGTAAAGCTGGTCTGGGCCGGACAGGAACTTTGATAGGTGCATATCTCATCTGGAAATACGGCTTCACTGCCCATGAAGCAATTGGCTTCATGCGTATCCTGCGACCAGGAAGCGTGGTCGGCCCCCAGCAACAATACATGTACTTGAAGCAGCTGGAATGGGTCAAGTGGGCAGCTGTCGACGAGATGCTAAAGGCGCAGAAGGCCGCGGCAATGGCTGCGTTCCCTCTTGTTGCACCAGCGACACCTCCAGCCGAGACTCGTGAACTGGAGGAAGTGGCGATGGAGGTGGCCCACATCCCTTCGAGGGACCTGCCACCTGTTACACCGAGCAAGCACGTTCTTGCGGGAACCGCGAAGGCAGGAGAGATCACGCCACCGGGACAACCTCGTAAGACACCGGCTGCGAAGCGAATGGCTGTCGACTTCGATTCGGATGACGAAGTCGAGAACGACGTCCTCCCTGCGCTGAACGTGGCGGCACCCAAGTCCCCCGTCAAGCGCAGCTCCCGTGGCCATCGGATGCCAAACTCAGAGTCTCGGGCGACTCGCATAACGAGGTCCGCTGTTTCTCATGGTATGAAGGAAGCGGGTGCGGGTCTAGGACCGGTCAGGTCAACGACTGGACAGGGGCCAAACAAGATCCCTAGGCTAGCTAACGGCTCCGCGGCTGATGCTCCCGTTACCCGTGCCCGAGCGGCGGCGGCGGCTGCTGCCGGAGTGAAGACTCGTCGAGGGACCGTAACGAAAGCTCCTGGAACTCCATCCCGATTACCAACGCTTATTCCCAGCAAGCGGGGACATGCCAACTCGAATTCTCTGAACGAAGTGGCTGCTGCCACGGTCAAAGTAACCGTTGTCGCTACCAAGGATACTACCTGGGTGAAGGACAATGCCACTACTGCGGTGGCTCCCGGGACGAAGAAGGAGAGGCCCAATCTGAGACCCCTACGGCGGAGACGGAGCAGCTTCAGCTCTGCTGATGTCGTGGCATAGTCTTTTGGATCTCGATCTCGGACTTGTATCTTCACCATCGCATATTTGATCTGCTCTGGGTCTGCTATCCTCTGCCTCCACGCATTTATTTCCGATTATGCATCTCTGTGTGATATACTGTCTTGTTCTTGCGTCTTCGCTGTGAATATTTGCATTGTCTACGTGACACCCCCTTTTGATTCAACGATGCGTCCCTCCTTCAAATCCCACCAGCCCCGCATAGCGATTACTTCCCACCAGTGCCGCTCCTTCACGCCCTTTGTTCTTTTCCTTCGATCCTCAGAATGCCACTCGGTAATTATTTGTATAATGGAGGCGTCCGGTTTCTTCTCTATATATAACTGTAATATACTCGTTTGTATGAATAAATTATCTTCCAGCATGTTATACATTTTATTTGCTGTACATTTTGGCTCACGAAACTCGCCGTGTATCTAGACAGCTTTGGCCGAATACTTGTGGACACACTCGAAGAAGAAGCGTAGGTCCTCCGGGTCTACCCCGGGAGTGATCCCGTGGCCCAGGTTTGCGATCCACCCTTTCGCAGACCCTCCCATCTTGAAGCTCTCGGCCATCCTCTTCACCTCTCTCTCTATCGCCTCCCGACCGCCGTACAGGACGTTCGGGTCCAAGTTGCCCTGCAAGGCTACCTTGTCCCCGACGATCCGGCGCGCCTCCACGGCGTCAATACACCAGTCAAGGCCGAGTACATCATAACCGGCGACTGCTTGTGCTGCCAACGACTGGTTGGCGCCTTTAGCGAAGAGTGTCATGGGTACTGCGGGTATGTTCTCGGAGGCGAGGCGAGAGCGAACGCCAGCGGATATCCGCTTCAGGGAGGGAAGAGAAAAAATCGCAAAGTCGTGCGGGGAGAGCTCCCCAGCCCAGGAGTCGAATACTTGCACGAGCTGTACACGAAAACATGCGTTACTCTCGATCAGATATGTGCGGGCGCGGCACTGACCTGTGCGCCGGCTTTGATTTGGCCGACCAGCAAGTCTACGCAGACATCTGCTATCCGCGTGAGCAGCGCCTTGCTCTCCTCGGGATACTTGAATAGCCAAGTCTTGCACTTCTGGAACGTCTTTGTCCCCCCGCCCTCGATCATGTACGAGAACAGCGTCCACGGTGCCCCGCAGAATCCGATTAGCGGAACTTCGCCGTTCAGCTCTTTCCGGACTTTCGTGATAGCCTCGAACATGTACCCGAGCTCAACGTTCACGTCCACCACTTTCTTTAGCTTCTCCACGTCCGCGGGCACATTCAGCGGTTCAGGAAAGTAGGGACCGGGTGTCATCTGGACGTCCATGCCCATCGCTTGGGGGACGACGAGGATGTCGCTGAAGATGATGGCAGCATCGAGCAGACCTTTGTACCGTCTGATGGGCTGCAGCGTGATTTCGCTTGCTAACTCTGGAGTTCTGCATATCTCGAAGAACTCGTGGTTCGCTCGCACGGCTCTGAATTCTTGGATGCGTTCATGTCAAACGAACGCTCATGATGAGGGGAATAGTATCACGAACCTGGGAGGTATCGTCCTGCTTGGCGCATGACCCATACGGGTGCCCTTGCGGTCTCCTCGCCTGGCCCGCCTTTTCAGCTATGTATTGAGACATGTTCGATTTCAGACAGACCTTTAGCTGCCCTAATGAGCAGGTCATTTTTGAGCGGTGCAAATGCTTCCGGCATGTCCGTATATTGGTCGTATCTGTGTTCCTCCGGTCAGACAGGTCACACCAGACTGGTGTACTGATGCAGGCGTACTTATGCAAGCCTTATGTCTGCCCTGCAAGCACGTCTTGGACCGCAAGATACAGCTGACAGTCAGGTATTGCGGGCGTAAGTATACCGGTCCTTTAGATCGACTGCCAGTAGAACGGACATCGTGATTGTAAGGGTGAGAATCGAGCTCTAATAGGCTCTATCTAATCTTGGCACTGTTCGGGTCGCGTCCGACCAAGGGCGCGTCCACCATTCCAGGCGACGTTCAAGCCACCCTTGTTGACTGCTGTCTCGAAAGCTGCATCTCTCTAAGGCGCAACCGGTATGCCCATCAGCAACCCGAATCAGCTGGTCGACGAGTATGTCTAGGGGAAGTGGAAGTTCTGGCTTAGACCTGATGGTCAGGCGTGGTTAGGTTCAAGAAATCAGGAGAATTCGATCGGCTACGACGGGAGCTGCTCAAACAGTTCCAAAAGAGCGTCAGTATTCTACTGCATTCCCTCTTATCCCATGTCTGAACTCAGTTGGAAGGATGGGATTGACTCGTTCATGGCCCGAGTAGAAGACATAGCTCGGCAGCGAATCAATGCAGACCAGAAGCTGCAATACATGCCACCGGAAGCCGTCCACAGGGAACTTATGCAGGAAATTGATCGGTGCGTTCACCGCCCGTTGACCGCCTGCCATGTCTTCAAGTCGCCGGTGGCTCTCTCATAATGACATCTCGTAAAGGTATCCGTTGGTAGAACGCGCTGTCGCAGATGCCCGCATGCTGTCGGACCCCGGCTTTTCTGCTGGCATTCATAGGTCGGTAACTCGGATCCTCCGCCAAGACAGAGGGGAACCTTTGGAAGAGGATGAAGCTGGGTCGCCGGAAGGTATGACTACAGAATAGTGACTGAACCCTGAGCTGAAAACCTTGTTTGATGCCCGTTCAGCTATGGACATCGATGAGCCGTCAGACGATGAAACTCCCGTCAACACTCCCAATATTATTTCCCATCACGCGGACGCGCCACCGCCTCCAGTGCAAAACGATGTCGCACCGCTGAGGAATAGTACCCCGGCACTGGATGGCGTAGAGTCGAATCCAATGGACAGTGGACCTGCTCCCGCAGTCGAGTCGGCGGACATAGATTCTGCGTCTGTGCCTGACATCTCGGCCTCGAAGAAATCCTCCGAAGATACCACTCAGGTGGACGGTTCCGATACATCGAAGGCGGGAGTCGAAGCGCCTTCGGATGGCCAAACCATCCAGACAGTGGACGATTTGACCTCGAAGGCATCTCCAGTTGCGGACGCCGTTATCACTGACGCCGGGGAACCTAAATCCGACTCAAACGCTTCAGACAATGCACCCATACCTGACCATTCCGTCCCCCGTGATGCAGATACGACGCATGTCATCCAGGAAGCACCAGCAATGTAACCTCAATCCGAGAGACAGCAGCATTGGATTACTATTCATACAAACAGGCATCCATGTAATATTAATTTAGCAGGTAAGTGGCGTTCTCATATGGATCCACCTCGGTGATCTGAAGTCACGTTGGGCCTTGCAAGGTATCGCAATAGTAGGGGGGCTAGCACGCTGTATTTTCCCTGATCTATGCTACACGACCCTGGCGGACGAGCCAAGCCGAAGGTCAGGTATGTACAAGGTTCAGACATATATCACAGTAAATTCGAAGGGAGGGTAAGATAAAGCAATGAGAAGCTACGTCAAGAACCCGATTTCAAGGAGCATGTCTGGCAACCGGAACCTGACCGGTGCTCAACAATCCGGTCGAGCAGGACCGGTGGCATGCATTATGTCGGACTCGAGGCGACGGATGGACGGCGGTCGCCAGTTATTCAATTGAACGAATGAGAGCCTCCGCCTTCGGCGAGCGGGGTTTAATGGAGCAAGGGAATGGCTTCGGGTGGCTGTGAGGTCCAATCAAGACACGTCAGTATCAAGAATGAAAGGTATCGCAGATCCATGATGGAATAGCGGGGAAGCTGCGAAGGAGTGCAATGCTATGCCAACCTGATAGTCCCACTCGTATTGTCTAGGACGGGTTCCAAGACATTCCCGCTTGCGTCCACGACTTTCGCGATGTCGAATGCTGCTAGGGACATGGCGCAGGAAATGAATATCGACGCGTCCGCAAGATTCATTCCGGGGCAGATTCTACGAAGAGGTGGGGAATCAGGACGCGTCTAACCACAAAACATGACGTGCGACTACTAACCGCCTTCCGAATCCAAAGCAGAACGAGCGAGGATCTTCTTCTGGCTCAGCCTTAAGGAACCGGCCAGGATCAAACTCTAAAGGATTCGAGTACGTCCTCGGATCATGTAGAATCTGCCTGTAGGCGCCAATCGCACCAGGCAATCGGCGGACTTGGGTCAGAAAACAAGCACAAGCGACGATCCTTAGGCACACGCACCAGATGTTGGCGATGACCAGCGAGCCTTTGGGAATATAGTAACCTTCGTGGACGTCGTCTTCGGTCACCCGGTGAGGCACGCCTTTCAATAGCAATCGTGTCAGCGCATACGTGAAACAGACTCGGAAGACAATGGAACGATGCTCACCTAGAGGCGTAACTGGATTCCATCGCAGCACTTCTTTGACCAATGCCTCGACATATGGGAGGTGCTCCCGGTCAGCAAACGTGGGCAACCGATCGCAGCCGATGACAGCGTCGATTTCGGCATGGGCCCTCTTCTGAGCTTCCGGGTAAAGCGTCATGGCGAGGTAGAAAGTGTATATGGCTGAAACGGTCTGATGGGATAGAATCGTATCAGCGTCTGGTCAATACGGCCAGTACAGTCACCTTACCGTATCAGCCCCGCCTGAGACACCATGCGGAGGCGTGGTCAGTGCGAGTGTGGCGTTCAATCGAGAAATTGAGGTTACCTGAGTAGAGGGACGCCGCTGCCCATTTGATCGTGGTCTCTTCCTCAGGAACGACGTCTCCGCCTTCGAGAAGGCTCTGCGTGAATGAGGGAGGGGCTATCCCGGCAGCCTGATGATCCAGACTTCAGTACGATCCAGATATCCAGAAAGGTGCTTCGACTTACGATTTGACGCTTTACGAAGTCCAGCGGCACATTGGTCATGTCATTTAGTGTCTTGCCCCAGTTCGCAGCCTTCTTTTTCCAGCCCGCGCCAGGGACCCAGTCGGGTATGTGCCGTACTTGACACAGATAGGTATGAACTTGTGCCGAGAGGTTTTACGGCTTTACTTACGCGCAGGAATGATGTCGACCAGGAAAGCACCGGGCGCAGTTGCAAGAGAGAACTGCTCCGTAGCTTTCTCGACGATATCCACAATGGGATCGGCTTCATCCTTCACTATGTAGCCATAGGCGATCTGTAGGATGATGGAGCCGGCCGTCCTGGTATCATGTGCTCGTCAGCGACACTGTAAAGTATTCTTCATATCATGATACTGACCATCGGATATGTTCGGCAATCTCCTCAGGCTTGCTCAAGACACGCTTCAGGAATCTTCGCGTCTCGCGCTCCTCGACCGGCAGGAACTGCGTAGTTAAGGCCTTCGTACCAATGACGCTGTGGAACATCTTGCGGATGGAACGGAAGCGATCCCCATATCCCGTCAGAACCAAGGTGTTTTTCCAGCCGACTATTTCTCCGCCCATTGTAAGGGTCGGTCGGTCGGAATATATAGAGCTTTTCCGCTCCAGCATGTCTACGGCCAGCTTAGGGGAGTTGAGGATGACCATGGTTTGCCCCAGGACATTCACAGACATGATATCGCCTGCAAAGAACAGACTTAACACGAACGAACATCAATCATTGTGCTCGTGAACATACCCCAGACTTGGCCCCACTGCGAAAATAATTTCCACTCTTGCTGCGTGGGCATGTCAAGGAGATTGCCAATGAACGGATACGCCCTCGGACCCGGCGGGTAAGGTGCAGGTGGCCTGGCCCTTGTTAGTTGCCTCAGCAGGAAGACACCGATAGCAGCGAATATAATGTCGACCACAGAAATTGCCATGACGCCAGAGAATTCGAGAAAGCAAGAAATAAAGGAAGGTAAGACCAGACTTGTAGTTGATTGTAGCGGACGGTATATGACCGAATGTTACGCAGGAGGGTGTGGACCTAGACTTGTTAATGCTCGAAGCCATGAGGGGAGCGTATATGTAGGCTAGCGCAGGGTGGACGGACATAGAACTTGAGGTGCCTCCATTTGGGATCGACATTCCACTAACCGTTTCCACTGAAAGGGAAGAAGTGATCTCCGCGGTGGCAGCCACTGTCCTCGGTGAATTGCAGAGCGTGCGAATTACCTCCGCCGCTGGTGGCTGTTCCCGGAATCGAGATTCGCATGTCCGTGGCAGATCTCCCATTTGCCTCAGTGTTCCCCTTCAACTTTGCGCTCGGAGAGAAGGACCTTGGGCCTTCTAAGGTTTGGATCTAGTAGTGGATACCGCAGGAGCTGGCAAGATATCACCGGTCTGCAGTTCACTTTGCGCAATTTCAGAGTTACGTTGCGGTGACACGCCCACACCTGCTTGATACAGGCGATGTTTCCGAGCATGACTTCGTGGATCTGCCCTGCAATGGTATCAGTCCATTAGAATCACTGTAGCAATTACTTTGCCGGTGGCACTTCTTTCTAGCACTCACGTCAGACTCCACACAAGCCCTGTTTTGATTGCTCTTCCCTTGGTTGTATTGAGTTGTTCCTGGCCATGGTGCGTGCAAAAGTCACGGACCCGAGACCGAACAAGACTGTATTGCAACATGCAACCGTTAGCTCGCACATTCCTGAATCCAATATAGTCGTACCGAATGTTCGATACGGGTGCCAATGATGACGCCGCCACGGTAGCTATCCCCGATGGTGTCGATGACAAGCCCGATCCAATCGGCAGAAACCCTTTCTGCGGGCCAGGCAGCATCCTTTGATACCGTTGCGCAAAAGCTTGGGGGACGCCGCGCGACATTGTTCTGACATATCAACGTCCCAAATTCGTCGGTAGAATGGAGCGAGGCAAGCTGAAGGTGAATTGATATGTGTCAACAACCACACTTGCAAGAACTCAGTAATTTCTCCAGACAAGGATGATGCTGCGCCTACGTACGTCAACAACAGACGGTGCAGGTACTTCATGGGATACTCTCTCTGCAAAACCATGTTTGTGAAGGTGCGGTGCCTAGCACTTCCCGTGCCTTTACTGTCCGTTCAAATGAAACAGTGCTCCATGCCTCAAGTCGCTCACACACCTGCAATGTGGCTCGACCTGGGGACCTGAACTGCCTCGGCAGTGGGTACAGTTCTAACTGTTGTCCGCTGCGGGGAACTCTTTGAATCGCGCGGTGCATACTGGCCCAAGGGAAGTCCCTGCATAGTCAAACCTCTTCTCGTTACTGCCATACAGACGTCTGATGAGCATCGCCCAAGGGCCCCTAGAGTAAACCCGATCATCCCCTCAATGTCACCAGTACATTCTATAATTCGGGGTGGTCCCACCAAAAATACCTCTCCTGATTACACCGCAGCACCTATCTATGAAGCCTGGGCGTGAAAGATGGCGGGCGCTCTGTCAATAGGTAAGTACGAACCTTCAAGTTGGCCGCTTGTCCCTCGGGACCGGAGGTCGTTGAGACTACCTTAATAGATGGATTCAATTACAGTCGCCAAGGGCGGCGTCCATATGGTAGACACGAAGTGTCCAAGGGATCACATCGTGGCGTAAGACGGAAGCTATGCACTGCTTGTACGTCGACTATGCCGATTTGGGAAACGGGTGGTGTTGGGTTCTAGAGACTATCGGGGAGGTTATCGGTCATGCAACCTTGAGTACTTGATGGACGTGATGGAGAAGGGTCCACTAAGTATCGATAAACAAGCATTTTCGTGATCGGAGGATTGCTGACTGCCGAGGCTCCGTCCTGATTGACAGGGCGACCGTGGAGAGCATGCCGATACATCAGTGTCGCCCTGAAATTACGGAACAGAAGAAACCGAAGGGAGCACGGTGAGCTGTTCCATTCCTCATCAAGGAGGCCGACTCGACCGCAGAATAATACTGGTCGATTCTAGAGCTCCAGCTAAGCCGCCGAGTGGGCCATTCGATATACAGGCACAAGCCAACTGCGCCTTGTCCAGAAGTGCTTGATCGAACCACCGGACCGCGACAATAGGAGTCGTAGTTATCCTGAACTGCTTTCAAAGTCGGGAAGAGCCATACTTGCGGATCGGCCATTGGCCTACTAAGATTCAAACAGATCCGTGAGCGATCATCTGAATTAGGTGTTTTACAAGAAAGGATGTGTAATAACTTAGTGAGGTACACATAACAGACGGAATGCGGTGAAACTGTAGCCAGACCCTATAGTGATGTATGGCCGCCAGTAGAGCCAAACCCTCCTGCTCCTCGGAGGGTCTCATCCAAGTCCTAACGGAACATGAGCGTGACAGCTCCGATCGCGAGACTGCGTAGAGTGAACTTACATCAACTTCAAGGACCTCGGGAGTCTGGATTTTCTCAATGATTAGTTGTGCTACGCGGTCACCTTCTTGAACTATAGCGCAAGCTTGGTCAAACGACGCCGCAAGGGAACTGATTCACAACATACCTTGGAAGTCTTTATCCGAGTGGTTGAATAGCAAGACGAATACGACGCCTCGATAGTCGGCGTCTATCACGCCTGCTCCTGTATCAATCATAAATTTGGAGGCTGTCGGATGTCACAAAAGTGAGAACAGACAAGAGCATCGAGGATGCTAATACTCACCTAGACCACTGCGGGGCGCAACGCGACCGTAGGTTCCCGCGGGAACTGCGATGGATATCTGTGTATCCACTAAAGCCTTCCCGCGTGCAGGAATCGTCTTCTTCTCGGCACTTAGCCATAAACAAACTCATGAGCATGAAGTATGGGCGACTGCATACCCAGCCACGCGCACCTGTACAAGTCGTACCCGGCTGCCAATGCAGACCCTCGGGTAGGCAGCTTCGCATTATCCGAGAGTCTTTTGATGAGAAGTTGAGATACAGGCGCAAGTGTTGCCTGCGGCCCTTCCGACATTTTGCGCTTCTTCTGCTGAGGGGAGTTTGAGGACATGAAGGCGCAGGGATGCAAGGCGCGTACAAACACGATCGGTCACGCTGTGACGTCGCAAATGCGACGCGTGGGTCGGACAGTCGGAGCTTCAATCTCTCTCAGGCTTGCCACCGTCCGTCACTGGCAGCGACTTGCGCTAGTACGACGTCTCTTGGGATATGTCGGGATCACAGCTCAGCCTCGCAGACTATATGAACGAGATGCGGAAGTCCAAGGCTCGCGCGGTTGGGAAAGAAAACCATCTCGTAATTCCAGCCAGGAAGAGGAAGAGGGACGATGAGGAAATCTCTTCAGACGGCCCTCGTTCGAAGAAAGGGAGTCAGCAAGCGCGACTCTCTTTTGGAAATGGAGAGCGACGTGCAGAATACACCAACTCGTACAGTACCATTGGACGCGGAGTCTCTGTTCTCAAAGCTATTGCTAAACAACCCCCCGTTCAGGACGTCAAAGGGAAAGCCAAGGCCAGCAGCTCCACGCCGAGTGCGTCGAAAGGAAAACCTCTTACTCAAGTTCTCGATACACCGCAGTCCCTTAACCGGCCAACGCTGCTTGCGTCCCGTCGTAAAGGGGAAAAGACAACATCTCATATCGCTATCGCCTACGATACCATATCCCATGCCATCCAGAGTTCGCCTCGAAGCTCTCAGCTGTCTCTAAATGACAGTGAGCAGCCTAAGATGACGATACCCACCCCTCCTCACAGTTCCCTTCCTCGTATCAACTTCCGTAGTCCACGGTTTGCGTTCTCCCGTGGTGTTTCTTCTCCAGCTGCTTTCCGCAATGGTGTGAATGCGGAAATTGGATTCACTCCTAGGACGCCGTCGCGTCGTCGAAGGGGCCGAAACTCTCCGTCCGAGTCTCTAGACTTTGATATCGTGCCAGAGACGCCCCAGAAGCATGGTTTCGAGGATCGATTTGGGAGATGTGGACGGGCCAGTCAATCAAATCTAACAGGTTCACTGGGTGGGGCCAGTTCGTCCCTCAGTGATTTTTTCCGTCCAGCGCATGGACATCGCGGCGATGACCCCGAGACCAGCGGGGCCAACTCCGTTTCATCACTCTCACCTGCTACAGACGACTCCGAGGATCCTTTTTTGGTACTGAACCAATTCTCTATTCCTTCTTCTCAAACCCCAGAGGAGCTGGCATCTTTTCCCACTGCCGGCGCGGGTTTATTCTCGACCACGTTGAATTCATCCAAGTCCGTTATCGGGTCCTCGGACAATGTCAAAAAACTTGATCATAATATTGCCGCCGATGCACGCTCTCCTTCGCGAGGACAGCGAGTGTCCTCTTCTCAGGTGGTTCCATCGTCTCAGACACAGGAGCTTAGCCCGCCTAAACGACGAGTACTTGACCCAGGCCAAAGTAAGGTGGACTCGGCTCAAGAGTCAGAGAGTTTCTGCGAGGAAAGCTCCCAAGATGTCCCAACCTCGCAAACACAAAGCGAGGAAGAGCTGGTCGGCTCTGAGAGGCTGGGCGAACCGATCCTCTGCCTATCCGCTCCAGAAATCACGAAGCGCAGTCCGTAAGTTTGTTAATGTTTTTCCACGGCTACACCACTGACGCCAACAGGCCTGACAGTACTCCGCCGACTCATGCAGAAACACCTGCCACGCCCGATTTATCTCGTCGCTCCAACCTGGTCGAATCCCTGGACCAACTTGATTCAGTAGAACAGTCCTTCCCTGAACTCTATACCTCACCAGTACGCATACCTTCCTCGTATGCTACTTCCTTTAGTCTGGAGAGGAACGACACACAAGAGTCATTCACTCTACCTTCACCCATTCGCCAATTCAAAGACATGTTCGATGAGGAGCATAGTTGGCCCCAGTCATATCAGCAAGGCTCCTCGACATGTCCTCATACTCGTCATCCCGAAAATGTGGATGTCATCAGGAAGACAGTCGGTAACATGGTCCCCCCGAGTACACCATCTAAGGGGCAAAGCCAGGGGGATTCGGCGACCGAACCTGACTCACCTGGTGCCATTTCCACATTTATGGAGAAACTGAAAGACGGACGAAGAGCGCAAGGTCAGCAGAGTCTCGGAAGCAAGCTATTGACAAACGGAGGAGCAGTCGCCGGTAGCGCGAGATCCAGGCGGACTTACGAGAACCTTTTTACTCCTGGAGGTGCACCATTCGACACCGACGGTGAATCCCCAGATGACGGGTTTCCTCTTAGTATTCCTGACATCTCCGAGTCGGGCCTGGACTCCAGTTGTCCGGTCGGCACCCAGGGAACAAGCCCAGAGTCCCTCCCGTCCCCAATGAAGAAATTCCTCGGCGCGTTCGGAGGTGAAGGTAGCTACCCTAATGATTTTCCCGAGTCGTTGCAGTGACGTCGAGCCACTCTTGGTTACTACTAGCGAGTATCAGGTTCGTGTCTTTATATTTTCCAACGCTATCATAAGCTATTATAAGGCGTTGGGTAGTGTTCTTATAGTTCACATCTAAATAGATATCATGATATTACCTTGAGCTAGAGCAGTTTCTTCGTATCTTGCATATGATTTGCCAAGCATATTAGACCTGAGGTCCCAAAATTCAAAACATAGATTCCAACATCTGGACACCACGACAACATGCGCTGAACATGCGCGGACTCCGGGTCGGACATATTTCCTGGCTACTACACACCGGGATAGACCTTCCACTATATCTACCCCACAGCGCGTTGGAGCACTCGTAGTGGTGGTTAGTATCGAGACGAAACGGATCATCCCAGCGCCAATAAGTTAGTGACTGTGAGCCACCGTCCGGCGTCCAAAGTCCTACTTAGACCATGCTCGAGTCATTCGCAAAGATCCGGTCGTGCCATGCATTGCTTTGCTTTCAGCGGTACCGGGCAGGTAGGTACTTAAGGCCCCGTTAATCTTATGACCATGCCATTCGCTCTCTCCTGGCGCCTCCCATGATGGCCACCGCTGTTCTCAACATCAAAGCCCACGACCACCCCATCGAGTCGGTGACTCTATTCAAGTCTACAGGACAACCTACCTCCCTCAATACCGCTTCTCAGAAAGCCGAAGTCACCCGCACATTCGCAGTAGACATTCAGGTGCGTCCCTCACCTGGACCATACGTTGTACTGGTTGTAGTGACTGCAGAGTAGGCCGGCCAGACCGAGATTGTTATAACTGGATTGTCAGGTCACATCGATACCCGCTCAGTTCGGGTGTCCGGTCTGGGCGAGGATGCCAGTTTATTTGATGTTGTCTGTACTGTATCGAAAGACAGCAAACCTGATGAGTCTGACGGACCTGAGCGAGTCCGGGTCTTGAAGGCCCAGAAGTCCATCCTTGAAGGAGAAAAGAGCGTCAGGGAACGTGAAGCAGAGCTACTGATGAACTATGGAAAGACGCTACAGGGGGATCACATAACTCCCGCCCAGATGACAGCTTTCCTCGACAACTTCGTCGAGCGGGGACGTAAGAATTTAGAGGCCACGGTGGTGCTGGAGCAGCGCATCATTGACATGGGCCGTGAGATCGAGGAAGAGACCAAGAAGGCCCCTTCGAGAGTGGGGACCGCGAACGGCCAAGTGACCGTTGTGCTTTCTTCTGAGGCAGGTGGCCACATCGAGCTAACGTTGACATACGGTAGGACTATTGCTATAGTACAATACAACATGATCTAACATTCGCTTCGCCCACAGTTGTCAGTCATGCGACTTGGGAGCCCACGTATGATTTGTTGGCCTCGACGGTCAACGGAGCTCCTGCCTCAACCGTCGGTCTCCATTACAGAGCGCGAATCTGGCAAAGTACGGGCGAGGATTGGAGAAATACCCAGCTCATCCTGAGCACAGCGACCTCCGATTCCGTGTCTCAGGGTGTACCCAACCTTGCTGCACTACACGTCAAGGCTGTTCTATTCCAAGGCAACGATCTATTCGGACGTCAAGCTGCCAATGTACCCTCGTTATTCGGAGGTACGCTACCTTTTGCATGTTCTCTTTCTCGAGCAGTCTTGCTCAGAAGGTCGGATTTCATTTCTGGTGCTCTAGGAAATGCTGGCCCTGGCCCGCAGCAGACGACAGGCACAAGCGCCTTTGGACAATCTGCTCCCGCTTTGATTCAGTCAGCCTTTGGCTTCGCGCAGCCACAACAAGGTCTGTTTGGCACAACCCGAAGTATCCAGACCGCACCTGAACCAGACAAGGACGACGCGTCGGAGCCAGAGTTGATTAACGTACCGGAACCTGGCCGGATCTCGGAGCCGACGACGACCGTTAGCGTGAGCCCGTTTTCGATGTCATATAAAGTGGATCGCAATGCCACTGTGCCCAGCGATGGTAAAGCGCACCAGGTGCTGATAGCTTCTTCGTCCTTTGAAGCGCATGTCACGCGCATCGCTGTTCCGCGCAAGAAGCCCGTAGCATATTTGAAGGTGAATTGCGTTCATCTGCAGAGATGGATGATGCTGCAACTGTGCTCATACCCTTCCTGCGTCCCTCTCAGTGCCGCGTCAAGAACACGAGCGATTATCGTCTTCTCCCAGGACCTGTCAGAGTCTTCCTGGACGACGCGTATATTGCCACGGCATCCATAGGGGTGAGTACCATACAACAGTCTGCGGAATATATGAATACCATTCATTCCTAATGCAGGATGTCAATCCGTCCGAGAGCTTTGACTGCATATTGGGCGTCGATACCTCCATTCACCTGTCTTACAAGCGCAGTTCTTCTACAGCCAATGAGGCTCGAAATGCTTACAGCGAGCAATTCAAGATAACAACCTACACTGTGGAGACTTTCATTAGAAACAAGCACAGCTTCGCGGTCCCAGAGCTTATCGTGCGGGACGCTGTACCTCACACTCGATCGGGCATGGGCGAGAAAATCAGGATCCTACTGAAGGAGCCTGCCGCCCTGGCTGAGGCCAAGCCCGGCGTGTTTACCAAATTGGACGACAAGGGATCACAAATCCGTTGGGTGACGAAGCAAGGCCAGGAAGAAACGGAAGGTACTTATGAGTGGACATGCAAGCTCCAGGCGAATGGCGAGATCAAAATGGTCACGAAGTATGAGGTTAAGGCTCCAGTGGACTTCGTGCTGAACGAGAGGGTCCTCTGATTGTTGTACGTGAGGGGAATATCACGGAACTGTTTTATCGTGTATAAATACCTCTCTGCTATGAAATCTATCAGATGTTTGTTTCCGCCAACCTGAGCATGCGCAACAAGGTGAATAGCCGCCACAATGGCTCGATAAGGTATTTGCAATCGCCACATGGAGTTGGTCTTGATATCTCTGGATCTAAGTAAGATCTAAAGTACTAACCATCATAATCGACCGTCCGATAAGCGACGACCTCCATCCTTAGGACCACTACTGTATACGAATCGCCATGCCGGGTCGTCTTCAACACAGAGTAGGTGCACTTAGGCCGAATCTCTTGTCTATGATCTGAATTAACCCGTATCAAGTCGGCTCTCATCACCGGTGCTGGATCGTAAGCTGGGCTAACTCGTACTAGACGAATCCCCCTCACAAATGACGCGACTCATTTCAGGGGCATCGGGCTGGAGTCCTCCATTCTATTTGCTTCTGAAGGCGCCAACGTCCTCTTGGTGGATATCAATATCGAAGCAGCCCAGAAGGGGGCGGCTATTATCACCCAGCGCTACCCCAATGTGAAGGCAATAGCGGCCAAGGCCGACGTCGGGAAGGAAGAGGATGTCAAATCGGTGGTGGATAAGGCTGTGAAGGAATTCGGCAGGCTAGATGTCATGGTACGGTCGTGTCTTGAAGCTCCGGACCATAGGCTGAATACATCCCCTACTCGCCAGTTCAACAATGCAGGTTCGACGGTACTATACAATTCACCTCGAATGCGATCTAAGCATGCCTTATAGGTATTATGCATCCTGCGGATGATAATGCTCTGAATACCGAAGAGCGTATTTGGGACCTCACCATGCAGATCAACCTAAAGGGTGTATGGTGGGGTTGCAAGTACGCCATTCTGGCGATGCGCGAAAACCCTGTGGACGAAGCCAAAGGTCTGCACAAAGGCGGAAGCATCATCAACACCGCTAGCTTTGTGGCAAGCATGGGTGCTGCGACGCCGCAGTTGGCATGTAAGCCGTTCATTCTCAGCGCTCTAATCCGTCCGTTATGACTTACCTTGTCACCTCTAGATACTGCGTCGAAGGTAAGAACAGCATAAGAAAGCAAGAAGGAGATGCACTCACTCTTGTCTAGGGTGCCGTCCTCGCGATGTCCAGAGAACTCGCTATGGTCCACGCTCGTGAGGGCATCCGTGTCAATTCCATATCGCCGTAAGCACGCCAACTCGTTTGCCGTTCATGACGCTCGCTGAGCATGAATCACATAGGGGGCCGCTGAAAACTCGTAAGCTCTTATTATCAGCCGTAACAGCGTATACTCACTTTCTGCAGCCCTACTCATGGACTTCCTCAACACCCAAGAGAAACGTGATCGTCGGTTGGTACATTTGCCAATGGGCAGGTTCGGAGAGGCTGTCGAAGTAGCAAAGGGTGCCCTGTTCCGTACGTAGCACGAGCGTTTGGAGGCATACGCTCGAACTGAAGTACTTCCGGTAGTTGCGACGGACGAGTCCAGTTACATGACGGTAAGTCTTCCTACTCATCTGGCTCTAACCATCTTGTCGACCACCTTCACTTCGCGACCTAGGGTTTCGACTTCAAGGTAGATGGAGGCCTCTCCTCATGCTACGTCACGCCTGTGGGGGAGCCCGCGTTGTCTCCTCCAGCGAGTCTTATCTCATAAGTAACGATCACCGGCGATTAATCTCATTGGGCTCCTGAAGAGAGGCTGCAGTCAACATGTTATGTACAGTTAGCAAATATATCCTTCGTGCGAGAAGGAATAGAAGTAAATACAGGCCATTGGCAATACAATGCCCGCTGTCAGACGCCTTATGCAGACGGAAAGTCTCGCTTCTCCCCACGGAGACACAATACGATCCAGCGTTTTGTGCTTGCCAATGTCACTCTTAGCTATAGATAGGTATGATGCCGTATAACATTCGTCTAACACGATCAGTATCCGTCGCTTGGTGCGAGTAGTCTGATCTTCCCTTGACCGACGATGAGGACGAGGGGTGTGTTGGAGCCACGATATTATACAACATTTGGCATATATACACGAAGATTGTTGGACACCGGACGCATACGGGCCTTCTCCTACAACTCTTTCTTCCCCGCTACTTTCTCCTGAGTCTTGATCCTTGCAAGTTCAGCCTCGATACGCTGGTCAAGCTTCTTCTGCAACTCGGGCCTGTATCCAAGCTTAAATAGATATTCGAGGTGGACGAAGAATGGCGCAAGGACGACAGCTGACAAGGCAAAGCACGCAGAAATTAGTACTCAATGCGACTGTGTATTGCAGAAAGCATACCCCCAAGAAGGTTATCAAGCAGGGCCGGAGCGCGCTTTTCAGCAGCGCCGTGCCCGACGAACTGCGCGATCCAGGAGACGCCGTGCAGCAGGGCAGCTTGCTTCAAGTGATCAGGGCCACTCTTAGCAAAGGTAATAGCGGACAGAGTCTGCAACGCAAGCTGGGGGGTGTATAGGAGCTGTAAGTCAGACGTGTGGGTCAGCAAGTTTCCGGCTGGCCAGACTCCTTTGGACGTACAGCAGCAACGGGTTCCAAAGTCAGGAAGTAGAGCCAGTAGACAATCGCATGCAGAGATGCCCAGTTCGCTTCGAAGAGAAGGTAGGGTCCGAGTTGCTTATGGATGGAAGGGAACCAGGACGGGGTCGGCAGAGTTGTAGCCATCGCGGAGAAAGTCCTGTTCCGATGCAAACATCGCACCCAGGGCCGAAGCCTGCATTGAGGAAAGGTACCCACCAGAACAGTATAGGAACACAGATCATATGAATAGCTACATTGATTCGGTTGTGATGGTAAGCACCGTAGAAAGTAAGCTAGGTGTCCCGATCGAGGATTAGTGGGACCGCCCTTCACGTCAAACCCGACCACGGCAGACTTGCCTGGTGCTCGACGTCAAAGAGCTTCGTCGTCGTGCTGGCCATCGCTGCAGCCTCGAGGTGAGAGTCAATGGTGAAGGTGGGGAACGCAAAGCGCAGCTCACGAACTGCTTATGTGTGAGCTCGAATGTGATGGAAGCAGCCTGGGGCAGACGAGGCTGCGGGGTAATGACTCCGGATGGCTTTGGTACCCGACCCGGTGATTCGACCACGTGGAAAGGCCATGTGTTTCCCCGATGACGATCGAAGATTCGAGTCAGATTGGAGCGTACATACACTGCACAACTCGTACACAACGCTGCAGCTTTGCATTGCATCTGTACAGGAATTGGGTCGCGACTAGGTTCAAATCTTACATCTTGCATTGACCCATCTGCTCCACGCGACATGTCTACAGCGGCAGTAGCAGAGGCCGCTGGTCAAGGGAACACACCCTCCGGTGCCCCGCCTGTTAAAAGCCAGAAGCAAATGACGAAGGCGGAGCGGCGCGAGCAACAGGAGAGACAACGTGCAGCAAAAGCGGAGAAGGCAGCTCAAAATTCGGGGAAGAATCCACCAAAATCCGCGAATAAACCATCCCAAAGTTCAGGGGCAGGAGCCCCGGCCCTAACGAGGAGAGGTAGTAGAGCCGCCGATTTCCCGCCGAAAGGTGCCCAAGGCCAGTCGAAAGACGCGAAAGCTGGTGCAGACGATAAGGGGGCGCATACGAGGGGACTTCGCATCTTCTCTCACTTTGGCCTCCCCAAACCGACGAGCCACAAGGGTGAAATCCACCCTGCAATCGTTCGGCTAGGGTTGCAATTCTCCGAGTTTAAGATTACTGGCGCAAATGCCAGATGCATAGCGACTCTAACTGCGTTCAAGACGGTTCGTCCATTAGTTGATGCCGGCTCCGCTATGTGCTGACATGAACAGGTCATCCAAGACTACGTTACACCGCCGAACAACACCCTTTCGCGACATCTGATGACATACCTGTCGCCTCAGATTAGTTACCTCGTCGCTGCGAGACCCATGTCTGTTACCATGGGTAATGCCATCCGTCAACTCAAGTTGGACATCAGCGGCACAGACATCGACCTTCCTGAGCAGGATGTGAGTCCCCGTCTACAGTTCTGATGCTGACATGGATTTTGACATGCTCGTACGGTAGGCAAAAGATGCACTATGCGAGAAGATAGACACTTATATCCGAGATCGAATAATCGCCGCGGACCAAGTCATCGAGGAGACGGCTGGAAATAAGATCAAAGATGGCGATGCCATCTTAACATACGCAAGGTAGCTCCGCGAATGCCTACCTGCATACTTCTCGTTAATCTGGATACCAGATCCTCAGTCGTCGAGAAGGTCTTGCTCGCAGCTCACGCAGATGGCAGGCAGTTCACAGTAACTGTCGTCGACTCACGGCCAATGCTTGAAGGTAAGGATTTTATTCGAACTTGAATGATTCCATGGAAAATACTCAATATTTGATTTCAGGCAAAAAGCTTCTACAAGTGCTCTCATCCGCAGGCATCCAATGCACGTACCTCCTGCTTCCCGCGGTCGGCTCGGTCATCACTGAAACTTCGATGGTTCTTGTGGGAGCACACTCGCTTCACTCCAATGGAGCAGTATTTTCAAGGGCCGGAACGGCTCTGGTGGCTATGATGGCTAAGCAACACTCAGTTCCTGTTGTGGTCTGCTGCGAAACGTACAAATTTTCGGAGACAGTCCAGCTCGACAGTTTTACCCGCAACGAGTTAGGTATGGCTCCGATTTCTTGAGTTCTAATAGTCCCCTCTAAAGACGCGGGTTAGCTCCTGTCGAACTGTTCAAGTCCTTTCCTCAGAACAGGCCTCAAGATCTATCATCTCTCAATGATCAGCCTAATCTGCAGATCTTGAACCCCCTATACGACTTGACGCCCCCTTCCAGCATAACCGCCGTTGTGACTGAAGTGGGGGTAATCCCTCCCAGTTCCATCAGTTCGATTCCCCTTGCTCTTGGCAGGACCATGCTGTAAACGACGATATCCTTGAAATCCATGTAGCATATGCATTCATGCTAGGAGCACTGACGGCACGCGGGTGTATTGTGAGCAAGTAACAATACATTAGGAATTATAAGATATAGATACATAGTGGTATCCGTCTAGATTGTATTGTGTAGGTCCGCGCATATCTGTATTTGTACCGCGCGCTGCGATACTATAATTCCTTCTTGGTCTTCGTGCTCTCTTGACGCTCTATGAGTTTCTTCTCGATCCATTCGAAGGCGCGGTCTGTCGCGGTCTCCACGGGGTGGTCAAAGAGGTAGGGTAAGACGGGTACGACAGCCAGGCCGGTCAAGGTTGGGCCCCAGGCCTTCACCTTTGGGTTCTTGACATTCACGAAAGCCTTCTTGGCTTGGTTAACGATAGTGTGTATTGTGAAAGCAGGAAGTGCCCTGGTCTCATGGTTCAGATAGTGGACGCCATCCTAGTAGGTTATCTCACGTACATGGATGCCACGGATTGGAATATAGATCGCTTGGCCACTACCATACCGAGTCGGGTGGGCTCGGACATGTGAGCAGCCTCCAGAGGGGTTGGACCTCGCCGGTGGGCTTTGAAGGCTTCATAGCCCACATCACTGATGACCCAGAGAGTTCCCGTAACGGCGTCATGTCGAGTCTCTGATAGAACACTCACCCAGCCAGATATAACCATGAGATTCCGTATGCTGCTGTGACCAGTCTTGGATTGACCACGGGCCGGAATGCCTCGCCAATGTCACTGGTCTGCAGATCGGACGGTCAATATCAGCATATCAGAAGCTAAAGAGTTCGTTGCGTACATAAGCAATGTATCTCTGGCCCGCGAGCAAGGCTGTCCTTAAACGGGCACCGTAGGCCAAGTAACGGATATTGGAGTCGGTCGAGTCTACGTTCTCGTCTGCAAGCCTGTCCGCGACCTGCTCAACTTTGTCCTCCACGATCTGGGTAGTGGTCTTGTCGGCCATCGTCCAAGTGGTCTAGCAGGCTCTAATAAGCAGAAGGCGAGAGTTGGGGGAAACCTCCTCAGCCTGCGTCATTTTGAGTGCAATCATGTGCCGGGCGAAGGACGCGTCCGGCACGTGCCCACCGTTAGTTTGCCGATTTTCGCCGGTGTCCAGCGTGCACCTCTGACTCCGCCGCTCGCCACACTCGCCATGGCCGCCTCGCCTCTTATCACCGCTGTCGCCGTCGTCGACGACAGACACGATGAACACTCCCTCGAACCCGAGGCCGTCCCCGACAAGATCAGCGCGTACTACAGCCTCGTCTTCCCCGGCTTTACGTACTACCTGCAGACGCTGACCGTCACGATTGGTCGACGTTGCATCCCAGCGTCCACCGCATCTACCTCCAGTTTACCCCAAGTCGACGTCGATCTCGGTCCGTTGAAGAGCGTGTCACGCTTGCATGCCAAGATTGAATACGATGAGGAGGAAGAACGCTTCGTGCTGGTCGTAATCGGCCGCAACGGCGCGTGGGTCGATGGAGTCTGGTCCCCTAGTGGAAGCAGAGTCCCCCTGAGTGAGAGGTGCGTGTTTCGTCCCTCGTATGCCACTACTCGTCTGACATATATCACAGGTCCAAGATCCAGATAGCGTCCAGGACCTTTCACTTTGTATTGCCACCACCCCCTGCCCCCGAAGACTCCCCGTCTCCCAGCTCTCATTCCTCCGAGCAGCGCAACCGCTCGCCCTCCGTTGATATCACCTCTATCTCTCCCCCGTCATCCCTACCATCGGATTCACCCCCTCCTGTCCCCGTCGCTGAGCCACCCCCACTAGTCAAGAGCCCGTTGATACAGCCTAAACCAGAACCTTCTACGACTCTACTGAAGCCCAAAGTTGTGTCCAAGAAGCGAAAGAAGTCTGATGTCGATGCGATACCCAGGCCCAAGCCCGAGGATATGCCGCCTAAACCTCAGTTAACTTATGCGCAGCTGTGTTATAAAGCTATCAAGGCATTGGGTGGTAGAGCGACTTTACAAGATATATGCAACTGGGCTATAAGTAACTATGACTGGTACCGCTACAATGAAGGGACTGGATGGGAGGTGCGTACTCTGCCGATTGTGTGGCAGTCGTCTCGTTAAAACCATATGCAGAGTTCTATTCGCCATAATTTATCCTCTAATCGCGCGTTTCAGAAAGTCGAGAAATCGGCCGGGGAGAAGGGAAAGGGTTTTTACTGGACTGTTGACGAGAAATACGAGCACACCTTTGAGGAGAGGGAAAATGCTCAGGGCGCGACGGGAGGTAAAGATGGTCGGTCAAAGAACAAGAACAAGGGTGAGCGACTTTGGTCCATCAGGTGGCATTTCCTTTAAACTGCGAATACAGGCCCTTTGCCCCCGCCGTTCGCCTCTACTCCTCTCGCTTTCAAGACGTCCAAGACAACTCCCCCTGTTCCTAAGCCTGCGGCCACCGCAGTTCCAGCGGCCCCACAAGCGCCTCCTCCTGTCGTCAAGACTGAACCGCCACCACCACCGTCCCTCCTGACGGCGATGTCAGCCACTGTTACCCCAGCTCCGGCTCCCGCCATACCCACTTCTGAAGTCGCGGCAACCCCAGCACCTCCGAGCGCCGCATTGCCACCCACACAGTCATCATCAGCAGTTCCTCATTTGCCATCTTCGGTCAGGATACCTATCATCGTCGGTCCAGCACCCTCTTCTCAGCCGGCATCGTCGGCCGTCTCCCCTTCCCCTGCGTCTTCGGCAGCGTCTCTGCATCTTCCCTCTCCTCCCATCGTCTTGCATAACAACACGCTCATATTGAACCCCACGATATTTTCACATCTGACTCGTGAACAGTTGAGGGAGTTGGAGAACCTTGGAGCCCAGAAGGCCTTGGAAATCCTCCAAGGGTATATCGTGCGGTTCCTTAAGGAGCGGATTCGGCACGAGGGCGGGAAAGGTAGAGGACGCGGGAGAGGGAGGGGACGCGGTAAGAAGGATATCAGCGGTGCTACAGCCAGGGCGACTCCGGCAGACGTCAAGATGGAAACATCAGCCGACCAGAGCGGCAGTGCCACACCGGACAAGTCCCTGCCAGCGATGGGCGGTCAGCAACAGGTACCTGTCTCTTCTGCACCTCTTGCAGAGGCGTCTCGATCGGAGTCACCTCTGATCGTTGTAGACGACGACGATACCGGCTCCGAGGGCCCTGCTGCGAAGAAGAGACGCATGGAATACCCTCCTGTAATGGCCGGTGACATTCAGATATAGATTTCCTTCACGACGCTCATAGATACCTTATTTCCGCGCCGTTCTCCGGGACAGTTTGTTCAGGGTTTAGGTTATTGTGTATTCGTCTCTCATCTTGTCTCCTCTCAACTAGGATACTTGTATTCTTAGTCCGTGGCTGCCGAGCTATGTACACATCTTAGAGGGCCCAGTCTATCTTCGTGGTCCAACACAACCTGGCAGCGTCGATGGGTGCACTTTGGTTGGATAGTCGTAGCATACTAGCATGAAGACCAATAAACAAATTACCAGACGGCATAACTACAATGTACGAGGGTGACCATGACAGGTCCCATCACATGAATCTCCACCAGATGAAGATAATGAAAAGCAAGGCGATTGCGCCCAGGGGGGCGTATTGACGAATCATAGCCTGGAGGTTGATATTCCGTGCAGCCTTTCGATACTTTTCAGACTCGGAGCGGAGAGATGTCGACATGTGTGCCATTCCTAAGTAAAATGAGATCCATGAACGATCCGTCGAGTACAGGGAAGGATGATGACTTACTGTCTAATGAGTCGCCTCGCCACAGAAGCTCCTCCATGTTCTTCGTCATTATTCGCGTCACATCCTGCAATTCGTCATTCAGCTTGTCGAGATTTGAGCTGTTCGCGCTGGCCGCTCTCGTGTCCTGGTATAGGCGGGTCGTCTTGGACATGAAGGTATCTGCGGGGGGAGGGAGGGGGGGGGGAAGGCTGTAAGACGTAGTCGGCTAGAAACTGGTGGGGTACCTACCAAATCCAACAAACGCGTACGGCTTCCGGACAGTATCGACCTTAGGCCCGTACGATAATGAGAACTCTTTGGCGAGTTCGTCGAGATATGAGAAGGCAAGCTTTCGTGGGTATGACTTGTCCGCTATCGTTAGAAAGACGACATTATCGGAGATGTAATAGCTTTGCGCAGACGGAACATGGTGATCCTTAGCTTGACAAGTGTATCCCAGAAAGCATGGGTTGAACTCACTGCAGGGTGTATGGCCCGCTCTCTATTGAGCATCGCGGCTCAGAGTTGGGTGTTATCCGTCGGAATATCAGTTTGGCTTGCTGTTTATGTTCCTGCAGCTTCTGTTCTGTCTGGTAGGATCACCTTCAGTATGATCTTGCTGAGCGGTCGGAATGCCAATGTTAACGGAGTGAATAGACATTACATCTTCATCGTCCACGCTCGCCGCCAGCGGGAGGGCATCGGATGCCCGCACAATCATTGTTGACCGAACCATTTCGTGCAAACTCGAGAGCAGGAAAGCGAGACAGAGGACGAGGCTGCACGGCAGTTGTGGACTTGTCCTTCGCCGCGCTTCTGCTTGACGTGGATGCTACAATTCCACGTGCGGGGTCGCTTATGTCACGTTTCTCCGCATACGCCGTAACGCTCTGGCGCAAAGTCGCTACGGTTCACGTCTCTTCGTCAACGTCCACCACGACGTTCCAGTCCACCTCTCAGCTTGTCTGTCTTATAATCGAAAGCCTTTACGTTTATCTTAGTGTAAAGTAGATCAGTATGGTGAGATAACTTGTCACACCATGTCTGGACAGTGCTTTGCTCACAGTACTGCGCAGGGTGTTCCAGCGCTTTTCCGCTGGCTCAGCAAAAAGTACCCTAAGATCAGTGAGTAGGCCATGTTATTTGCATATAGGTATGTGCTAACGCGTGTGTTAGTATATCCTGTCGTCGAAGAGGAAGAAGTGAAGGTGCCAGACGCCGAGGGTGACCTCATCGCCCTACCTCTGGACATAACGCGGCCTAATCCTAATGAAACCGAGTTCGATAACTTATACCTGGATATGAACGGGATTGTAAGTCATGGAAACCACAGAGTCCTGTTATTACCGTCTAATCGTATGCTCGCTAGGTGCACCCGTGTACACACCCTGAAGGGAAGGTGAGTGTATGCGCTTTTTTCATTCGGTATGGTGCTGAGTCACACTCTCCCTCAGCCGCCCCCTGAGACCGAAGAGGATATGATGCTGGAGGTTTTCAATTATACCGAACGGATTGTCAACATGATACGCCCGAGGAAGCTTCTGTTTATGGCCATCGGTATGCTCGCCTCGCTCGCCTTGCATCTCGTTACTGATATGCTTTGCAGATGGTGTTGCGCCCAGAGCTAAGATGAACCAGCAACGGTCGAGGCGTTTCCGGGCTGCTCAGGAAGCGAAAGACAAGGAAGAAGCTCGGAAGGAGGCTGTTGCAATATGGGAAGGTGCGACCTTCAGCCGTTCATAACTAGAGCTATTCCTGATGTTTATGTAGCCATGGGCAAGACCCTCAGCGAGGATGAGAAGAATAAGAAATCTTGGGACACGAATGCTATCACGCCCGGAACACCATTTATGGACCTACTGGCCACTTCTTTGCGCTACTGGGTAGTATCAAAGATGAACTCAGATCCCGGATGGAAAGATGTGAGTATATACGCCCATTACTATATAAACATTCTTATAGGACCGTTAGTTGGAAGTTATCATATCCGACTCCAGCGTTCCTGGTGAGGGAGAGCATAAGATCATGGACTACATTCGGCGCCAACGGTCTAACCCTGGTCATGACCCGAATACTCAGCATGTAATATATGGGCTAGTAAGTGCAACCGTTGTGTCTCTCGGCCTTCTCTAATCGGCGGATTCCAGGATGCCGACTTGATTATGTTGGCCTTGGCTACTCACGAGCCCCACTTTAGGGTATTACGCGAGGATGTATTCCAAGAGACGGCGAAGAATCAATGTCGAATTTGCGGACAAGAAGGTCATTATGCCGCTCAGTGTACGGGGACCAAAGCCGAGGTGCAGAAGCCACCGTCCGAGAAGAAGCCATTTATTTTCCTGGATGTGGCTGTCTTGAGGGAATATCTTGAAGTCGAATTGAACGTGCCTCAGAGCGCTTTCCCGTTCAACCTAGAGCAAGCTATTGATGATTGGGTCCTGCTCATATTCTTCGTTGGTAACGACTTCTTGCCACACATGCCTTCGTTGGAAATCCGAGAAGGCGCGATCGATACGCTACTCAAGATCTGGAAAGATGAACTCCCTCGGATGGGCGGTTACGTGACTAATCATGGTCATGCTGTACTTTCGCGAGTCCAAATTATATTGGAAGGCCTCGCTCGAAGAGAGGATGAAATCTTCCGTAAGCGGCGGGAACGTACGTCTACAAATTTCCACTGTCTATGATGACCGAAGTTGACAGTTTCGGTTTCAGACGAGGAGCGGCAGGCTCAGAATGCGAAGCGTCGTAAGATAGACTCCGGAAAGGTTGATGTAGGCGAAAGTGCAAATGCGGTTGTAGCACCATCTCCTTCCCTGAATTTGACTGCTGCACCCACAGCACCCGCAGCACCGACAGTGCACCCTCTTCCCCCACGTCCTGATTTCAGCTATAACACCGACTCGATTGGCTTTGGTGGACCCGTCACCGCAGAATCTCAGCAAAATGCTGGTCTTGCTGCGCAGGCTTTGGGCGGTAGTAACCACGATGTTGTGGCCAACCGGCGAGCGATTCGTATGGCGAATATGAGTGCTGCTGATGTGCTCAAAGCTGAGATGGCTGGACTCATGCCCGTAAAGCCTGCTTCCCTCCCACCTAAACCGACTGCTGCTATCCCTACTGCCGATTCAGCGCCGCTCGTTGCTAGTCCCATGTCCGCTCCTGCTCCTGTGAAGCCCTCTGAGATGTCAGCTGCGACCGCTGAGTCTGCCGCTGGTCAGCTGGAAATACCCGGTTTGAATGGCCAATTCAGCGCTATCGGTCCGGACGCAGCGACCGATGGTGATGCCGCCATGGGACCGTCTGGCATGCCGACAAATGTAGATGACAAGAATGGTGTGAACGTCCAAGGTGGTGAAGTGGACGCTGAGGGTATTCCTCACGGTGTGAAGCGTTCTATTCACGAAGTGGAGGAAGAGGACGCTGTCATTGATCCTGATGTCACTATCGAGGATGATGATGAGGAGCCCGCCGATGACGATGGCCCCCCAATCTATGCACTGAAAGTCAACCCAGACGGAAGCGTAGAACAGGAAGATACCGTGAAGTGCGTCATCATTTCTGAATTTATGCAAGGGATATGTTCATATTTCTTTCCGTAGATTATGGGAACCTGGATACAAGGAGCGTTACTATATGCATAAGTTCGGTGTTCCGTACAGTGATACGGAATTCAAGAAAAAGTGAGTTCTGTCCTCGCAATTCTGCAGAATGACCCGCTAAATGGGACATTGCTAGGGTTGCCAAGTCGTATATAGAAGGCATATGTTGGGTCCTGCATTACTACTACCAAGGTGTAAGTGTACCCTCTTGTGAACCGGTACCATTGCTGATGCTGTGTAGACTCCGTCGTGGCAATGGTACTACCCTTATCATTTCGCCCCCTTCGCTGCCGATTTCGAGGACATCGACAAACTTGACATCAAGTTTGACATTGGACAACCCTTCAAGCCGTTCGAACAGCTTATGGGAGTCTTCCCTCCCGCAAGGTGCGCTCTCAGTTTGTCAATAACTGCTAATATCGCGGCTGATCTTTCCCTAGTCGAACCCTCATTCCTCAGGCGTTCCACAGCTTGATGACAGAACAGGACTCTCCGGTCATTGATTTCTATCCTCAAAGCTTCGAAATCGACATGAACGGCAAGAAAATGCTCTGGCAAGGTGTCGCATTATTGCCGTTCATCGAAGAGAAGCGTCTGCTCGAAGCTATGGCCCAGCATTATCCCAACCTGACGGAGGAAGAACTCCGCCGTAATGCCTGGGGCAGCAATCGTTTATTCGTACATGAGGAGCATCCTTTGTATCCCGCTCTAGAACTATTATATGGAAAGAAGAAGCCGCAGGATGTAAGTGGAATGTCCTGTAGAGACGTTCTGAATTGATCTGATTCTCGTACTACAGCCTATCCCCCTGGACGTCACGTTGAGCAAGGGTATGAGCGGGAGTGTGCTTCGCGATCCCGACTGCATCCCCGGATCGACTTTCGAAGCTGGACCCCTGGCCAAAGTGGATCTCCCGGACATACACAACGACAGGTCCATATCAGTTATCTACCTCTTCCCCAAGCAGCTCGTACCACACCGCTCTGTGCTGTTACCCGGTGTTAGACGACCGACACGAACACTGACCGCTGCGGATATAGAAGCTGCACAGCGTCGCGGTAATGGGCGCCGAGGTGATTATGGAGGCGGCCGCGGCGGTCGAGGAGGTCCTTATCATGGAGGAAGAGACTCATACGGTGGCTCGAATTCATATGGTGACAGTCGAGGAGGATATAGGGGTGGAGCTCGTGGAGGAGATGATTGGCAACGATCTGGCCCACGCCAGCCGTCTTCTTACCAAAACGGCTCGTCCTATCCGCCTCCAAGGCAGTCTTATCCACCGGCCCAGAATTACAACAATTATGGGTATGGTAATGGGCCGTCTCAGACGTATGGCGGATACGATCCACATAGCTCGAGTACGCGTGGTGCTCCTGCCCGCGGAGGGGGCCAGTATGCCTCGTCAGGCGGACGAGGTACTTACAATGGAAATCCTGGGAGGGGTGGATCCTACGGTGGAGGAAGAGGAGGTTACGGCGGGGGTGGAGGGGGCTACGGTGGGGGAGGTGGTGGTTATGGTGGCAGCGATGGTTACGGCAGAGGAGGCGGTTACAGTGGGAGGGGTGGTTACGCAGGAGGTGGAGGTCAGGGAGGCGGGGGATATGGGGGATATGGCGGCGGGAACGATAGTTATGGAGGAGGCATTACCAACCAAGGCAACGGTGCTTATAGAGGTGGAAACAGAGGGAGAGGAGGCAACTCATATAATAACGCTTCCAGAGGACGTGGAGGTTGGTATTAGTGACGATGATAACATGCGTGGATGCTTTATGGACTTCCTCTGTAGATTATCGCAAGCCCTTATCGTGTACCCTTATGGAATCTGGTATTGGTCTGCTATAGCAGGTCTGATAGTACTCCCTCGCGGCTAAGTTTCCCGTTGTACAAGCATATGACTTGAATCCTACAAATACACAGGAAGCTACACAACTTCACCATTCTGGTCCACCTCCCATACCGGCGGCGAAACCCCCCGTCAACCCCGTAGGTGCCGCTCGCTGCGGCTCAACGCTCGTGATGTAGAGGGTATACTTTTTCTCCTTCTCCTTCAACTTCCTCCTCACCTTCTTCTCCTTCTCGCGCCGTTTCTTCTCGGCTTTCTTCTCGCGACGCCTGCGCCGTTGCTCGCGTAGGGCGACGATGTTAGGGTCATTCTGTCGGCCATACACTCCGCCGTATTCTCCATATTGATACCTATCCTCCAACGAGGAATCCGTAACGTCAGAGGAGTCGGACGCTGAAGAAGAAAGATCCTCTTCATCAATATCGAACTCGGGGAGGTCATCGATCATCCCGACGTTCATTCCAGTGCGCCGTTCGCGACCCTTGTATAGCACCAACTCCACGCCACGAGGGTAGAAGAAGGCGTGATTCCATTCGTCGACGAGTCCTCCTGCTACGGCGGATCGTTTGGGTATGCGGCCAGTACGAGCAGCCTCTGGCACAGGCAGCTTCCTACTCCAGGCAAGTGCCAGATCCTATGCAAAGGATCAGCAAAACTACTTTATCCTGTACAGAAAGATCGCACGAACCTGCATCAGTCTGTTCCAATCTTCGGGATAAACGTCGTGAGGACCAAGGACGACCGGCATCCTCGGCGGCGCAAGGACCTCCAACTCGTCCATCTCCAACACCTTCATAGGATCGAACGGCGTGTACGGCTGAGCCAAATTCGGGGGACGAGCGAAACCTTCAGGCGGGCCCTGGTTAAGAGGTGGCTCTCCCGGGAAGCCAGCGAGCTGACCACCGCGCATGCTGGGCGACGGTGCGGCGGGGAAAGTCATGCCCGGCGGCGCAGGGGACGAAGCACGGGAGCGCATAGGCTGTCCCTCAAGAATGTGGCCGGGAGGATATGTGGCTGATCGACCTCCTGGAGCATAAGGCGATGGAGGACGAGAGTGACGGCCGTAGGCGTCCCCAGGACGAGGCGATGGCGGGTAGTATGCACCACCGGTAGTCGACTGCCTGGTTGGGGCCACTGAGTACGCTGACGGACCATACGCACCAGCCGCAGCACCAGGTAGCATTGGCTCGGGCCTACTAGGAGACGGCGGATATGCACCAGAGCTATAAGGCTGAGCCCCTGCGTACTGGGACGGAGGAGTGGGGTACCCAGTACTACTATATTGGCTCCCGCTTTCGGGAAACGCGCCTGGCACGCCACCGGATGCAGGATATCCTGACGGGTAAGCACCTCCGCCCACAGGCGGGTAGCCTCCTGCAATCGACCTCCTCCGGTCCTCGCCGGACATACCCCGATTACGCTCGTAACCCCCACCACCCGCAGTATTGAGACCCATATTCTCAAACTGGCGGTTTAGATCAGACCCGATGCTGGTGCTCAGCCTGCGCTCCCTCTCGAAGCCACCCGTGGACGGGTACGCTCCTCCGTATGCCGACCCAGTGCCGCTGGGATTATATCCAGGCATGGGCATGGGGCTGGAGGAACGCTTCTCTGGCCCACCGTAGATGGATGCAGTGGTGGAGGCATAGCCAGGGACGGGACTGGCACTTCTTCCGCTACCCCCGTATGCAGGACCTACCCCGCCCGGGGGGGGATTATACCCTGGGACGGGGCTAGAGCTTCTGACACCGTAAACCCCAGCTCCGCCGGGGTTGTAGCCTGGGACAGGACTAGAGCTCCTGACACCGTAGGCACCTGCGCCACCAACGCCAGGGTTGTAACCTGGGACAGGGCTGGAACTCCTTACGCTTCCCCCGTAAACAGAGCTAGTTTGACTAGGCCCGTAGGCGGAGACGGGGGTCATCGGCCCTGCACCAGGCTCGAAGCTGACGCTCTTCTTGCGAGCACGTGTGTACTGCGCGTCCTTCTCGCGAGCTTTGCGTAGCTCGCGTTCTTCGGCCTTCTCGCGATCGCGGCGGTCCCTCTCCCACTGGGCAACGCGTTTCGCGGACTCCTTCTCCTCACGCCTTCGACGTTTGTCTTCATCATATTGCCTGTATTACAATATGAGCAAGGAATCTCAGACGTATCGCGCTAACGGACCAGTCTTTCAAGGCTCTCTCTTCGTCCTTGTTCATGTAGTTGCGGTTCCAAGCCGCAGCGAAGTCCTAATTGCGTGTAAGGACAATAATATGTGAGCTCACACTTCTTACGTACGGAGTTGGCGGGCTGTGCTCCAGCCGGCAGGACGCTGGTAGCTTCAGCTGGGATCCACTGTATCCCGTTTACGATGCCAGACGGAGTCTGGTAACTTCAATGGGAGATGTCAGTCGTTAGCATACGTCAAGCCACACTCCCATACCTCGCGGGGACTGCTCTGATGCGATAGATCGTGTGAGAACCGATAGTATGCCACTCGAACATATGAGCTCACCTGAACGGGTGGTATATGACTCTACCGTCTGGTCCTACGGATGTAGTGTATGTTATCGTACCAGGAGTTATCTGGGCTGAGCCACCCGCCCCTGCTGGTGACGGCGAGTAACTACCGGCGATCTGAGCCATCGGGGGCTGAGGCGAGACATTGCCCGGGAAAGCCACGCCAGGGTAAGCTGCCATCGTGAGCTAAGGCCTTGTCTCTCGACTTTCGTCGTGGATCCAGTCAAATGCGGAGGATATAGCGTTGACAGGGCCAATACCTGGGTAATATGAGAGCTTGAGAAAGAGCTGCGGGCGAGTCTCCTAGCTGGGAAGGGAAGCTGGATGGCGCCTGCCTCGTGTTCGAGGAGAGGCCGGTAGTCCATCCGAGCGCTAACCCCGATGGAAAGATAAGATGGGTATCGCTGCCGTGAGCATTAGGTATAATTCTGTCCGACGCAAGGAGTTGATGTCGGAATGTGCATATACCCAGGTGCAGCAGTGGCCGGATGCAAGCTGCGCACTGTGTCGCCAGACTCGCCACTGTCCATCAGATCGCCAGCGCTGCTACCACCAGCTACTTTGCCATGTCCTACGACAGCCAGGCGTAAGACCGTTGGATGTCAAGGATGCAGAACATCGAGAGGCAATATTGATGGTAGCTGAAAGGGATTTCTCCCCGCTGACTTCAACCCGACGCGGCATGCCTTCCGTTCCGTCGTGGACGATGGGCTCCAACGACGGTGAAATCAGACATGTCATATATAAGCATAGATCCAAACGCATAGAGGATACATGGTAAGGAGGCATGTGCATATAAAGGGGGTGGGGGGGTTATTTTTCATGTCACTAAATCCTTTTCCCTATAGCTTGCTACTGATTCTGATTTCCCCTCTGCGGGATGTCTCCGCCAGCACAGGCCAGCCTTGCCCGGAAGAAATCAAAGAGCTTCCGGGCCTTGACCCTCACGCCGGAAAAGTGGTCAGGAATGATCGTAGTATTGTTCATGAGGGACTTCAGGTATTTGCCGATGCGAGCTTGCTGTGAGCGGACCGGTACGTCAGTTTAGTCATCTCACCGAGAGTCTGCGAAGTACGTACCCTGAGCGATGGCAAGTCCAGTTCATACTTTACACGTTCAACCTCGTCCAGAGCTTTGATCAGGTCTCGCAGTTCCTGTGTGTTTACGGTAAGTAAATCGGGTCGTTTCAGGTGGCGTGCAGATTTACACTGACTTTCGGATTGCCGATAATTGCATCCCCGCGCAGCACTCTCAGGATTTCGTTCTTACAGGCGACGGTTATGCTCGACCATTCAGGGCTCCCCTCCAACTGCCTTTCGGTATGTGCGACTTTGGCAGGCCGCTCACCGTCGTCATCCTCGGCTCTGGGTCGTTTCCCAAGCATTTTAGAAGGAGCGGTGTCACAATTCAAGGTCGCCGCAGTCAAGATACGTGGCGCAGCCGCCTTGTCGTGTCTGCGTGAAACGCCAGCCGTCGCTGCCACCCTCGAACGTTCGCCCGGAGGACCTTTGCCACCAGCCGCCTGGTACGAACGTGGCCAGTCAAGTTAGCAACGGGATCGACGCTCCCAGCACGCGAGTCAAACTTAGCACCCATGCTCACCTCCAATTTACTCTTGCCCCTGGCTGATCTTGCGCTTAACTCGGAAGGCGCGGGATGATCCTTCTGAATCTGCTTCTCTTGGGACGGCGGGAAATTAGGGGTTTGCCCCGCCTCTGTGCTCCCATCATGGGCTTGGGCCCGAAGCGGGATGGCATAACGCGGATCTGCGCCTGCGCCGTTTTCGGGCTGCGTTGGCTCAGATCTCGCGTCCATATCTGCACTCGCTATTCGCGGATGCTTTCTCTCGGCCACAAGAGCAAGCTCGCAAGGCTCGTTCTTCAAGAACTGTACATTGCCGGAGCTATTCTCGGTACCCGGGTCAGCGGCAATCAGTCTGCCTATCCTCTCTTTCCCCCAGTCCTGCAGGTTATATGTAGGCAGGAGGTGTCTGAAGTTGAGGATGCCGGAGACGGCGACCTTGCGTCTCAGTGTGCCCCGGTCGAAGCGGCGGCAGGCCGCGTTTGAGGCGAAATCTCCAGCAAGCGAACTTCTCCTGGTGGAGGGATGATCGGCGCAATAGGATGAGACCTGCAGGAAGGGGAGGCATCGGCGAAGGCTAAGGACGGTAGGGTCTGTATCGTCTTACCTCGGCATGGAAGGTAGCTATGGGTGCGGCGGCGCGCCGACCCTCAGCGTGAACTTTGGTTAAGGCGGAAGAGATAGGCGCAGTGGGACCATCGCCTGCTTTGACGGGCATCCACTGCATCGAAGCTGGACTGGCTTTAGTGTGCCATCCAGCACCGAGCTGGTCTTGGTTGACGATCTGTTGGGCGATGTCTGGATCGTCATGGGGCAAGAACAGTGGTGTTTTCTTCGTATTTCCCCTCGGACTCGATGGATGCACTTTGACTCGTCCATGGAGGGGGTTTGATAGGTCTGGGATGAAGAGCAAGTTCTCTCCAACCTGGATCTGGGTGGGGGTGTTGATAGCCATTCTGATAGAGGTCTGCATAGCTGAGCTTTATTCTATACAGTGGCATATGGGAAAGGGACCTGCCTTGTGGTGATAGAAGGTAAAAGAACAACAAGGAAAGAAGTGGAAGGCCAATTTATGTCAGAGCTTATTAGTTCTAGAGCACTGGGAGAATGAGGCAAAGGGATACCCGTGACTAAAGAGCCAGTGCCCCCCAACTTATAGGGCTGGTCCCAGCTGGTTCAGGATTGGTTCAGGATCAAATTATATCCTGTTTGCTTTGTTTCACTTGCACGCGGCTGACTAGATAGCAGTCAGGGGGTCATGTCAGCCCCGGCTTGGCGCAAACTCGAAGGTGATTGGCGCAAAGCGCATTGCGATTCCTTTGCAAAACAAGTCAAAGGGCAGAAGCGAATCAATCCGAGCTTCCAACAAAAGGTCTTCGAAGAATTGCTGTGAAGATTCTGGACTACAAACGTCCTTTGTGCCACAGGGGTCTCGCCCGAAAAGCGTGGTCGAGTAGCTATAGCTAAAGTTAGAGGGAGACTGTGGTTGGGACTTTAGCTTTAGCCCTGCCTCGATCGCCCAGCCACCGGTCAGCACCGGTCAGTACAGTCGTTTGCATATGAAACCGAAAATCGGGTTTCCGTGAGCATTGTTTGTTCGAGCCAAATATACCCATATGCAGTAATGCGAGATGGCTTCTTGTGACTGTGTGACTCTGTAGACTGCAGCCCGCCCTCAGGCTGACAAACTGCATGTGTGTAATCCCGCGGATTACTCCGGCGCGCGTCCCAAACTTTCAGCCACAGCGCTTCCTAATAAGGACTCGACACTTCCATTTCTGTCACGACTTCACTCGACTTCGAATATAAGCTACATTTCTGTCAAGACTCTATTTCATTTATTCTTCTGTGATATTATCATGTTGTCGCGTCCGACTTATAAGTCGACGCTCCCCAGTTATGTACCCTAGTTCCGTTTTCCCCCACCTGCTCGAATACGACGATTGGTCTCGTTCTTTCCGCGCGTGCCGTTCTGAGTGTTGCCCGTCCCTGTCGGGCTTCCACTTTTTTTTTGAACGCCGACCTCTACCGTCTCCTCTCTGTCTTCTCAGGACGCTCGTCAGAGCTTCCTTGAAACTGCCGTTTACTGTTCCGTTTCTGTTACTGTCTACCGCTCCGATCTCCACCTACCGTTTACCGCCTAGTCAAACTGGCTCCTTCGACACGTGCAAGGAAACAGCGACTGGCTTCTCGGGACGTCCACACCTCGGACAACAACATATCACCCTCTTCATC